AACGTGTCTTTACACCGAGCCGGATGAACATCATGTAGCACAGAGGCCTTGACGTTTAATTCAGCCGAGAGCTTTCTGCACCTCCGGTGGACCGACTGCTTTTTCTCAACCCTTCAGCGAGCTTTTGTTTCAGGTGGGAAACCACTCAGTATGCTGCTGGAGTGCCCCCCGCCCCCCACCCAGGAGCCCACCCCCCCCCCCCCCTCACAACACACTTTCACTTTCCGTCCCACCTGCTGGGCAACTGACAGGCGGACGTTAAACGTAAGCAGGAGCAGGTGGCCTGTAACAATCCCTCCAAATGGAATCAAAGTCCTCCTGTTGCATCACAGAGACCTCCGGGTGCCTCAGTAAGCTGGTTAGATGGAGCTCAGGGCTTGTTGCTGCCACGCCTGTACACAAGCAGCGCATACAAATACGGGCGTAGCTCGAGTGCTGCGCTCCCCGTCGGTTCGGGAGAAGCGCACATGTGTGTCGCTACTTGGCAGAAGGAGAAGTTGCTTTTTGATGGAAGCTATATTTGCCCGTGTGTTTTTAGAAGCACGTCTGTGTTAGCGGCCGTCGTTGTCACCCAGCCGACGGGACATTTTAAAAATAATGTTTGTCTCTGATTTTACTAAATAACTTTGTCACACGTTTCATGTGCATTTCGATGTGTCGGATTGGCTGAGCTCTACGGAAACTGCAAAAACTCCATTGAACTTGCAAAAAAATACTTTTGAAAAGGAGTTGATGCGCTAAAATACGCATGTGACGTATCACACAATTAAATGCCGCAGGACTATCATCTAACATATACATTCATATGTTCTTCTCCAGAAAACATGAAACAAGGCCAATAAGGACTCGCACGAATAAACAACTAAAACTCGTCCAATTGAAACTCCCCATCAGAGATGTAGCTCCGACTTCTCACTAAACTGCTCTCCAGCTGAGATGAATGGCTCCCGACCAGATGATGGATGTTCAAAAGTTCACCGACAATTCACTCGCCACTCAATATATATATATATATATATATATATATATATATATACATACCAGAAATGGTTATGTATCCACTAGTGACATTTAATGATTTAGCTCATGCTTTTACATTTACATTATGTGCATTCTACCAGATATGCATCTTCTAAAATAAGACATTGAATCTTGAATAAAGAATCTGTGGGGTGCAGTCTAATATCGACCCGCGTGACAGTCGTACAAATACACCTCCCACAGAACACGTGCATTGTTTGTGGACGTCACACTGTGAAGGTCTGCAGCGCGCTCACAGAATTCATGCGCCTCCTTAATTCACGACCTAATAATCCTAATTGAAGCCAATCGCGCTACAGCTGTTTGCCGGATGCCCGCGGACTCCCTGCAGTGCTGTCTGCGTGTCGTCGGCAGATGGAATTTGGTAGCAGTCTATGCTGTTGCCCGGGCGACGAGATAAAGGATTCACAGGGAAGGAGGAGAGGGGGGGGGGGGGTTGAATGACAGCCGTAGCCCTCACATCTCACACACCGGGCAGCCAACCCGCTGCTCCGTGATTCAAACCCTCTGCAGGGGGACGCTGCATCTCCACCGTGGTTCTGTGCCTCTGCCGTGTGAACCGCCATTACTGTGGGTCAAACGCGGGTTTTTGTTGAAATGCGCCCGCGGGGCGGGATGAAACGTTTGCGGAACGTCACAAGATTAGACGACACTATTTTAAGGCGGCGGTATAAATAGTGTGTTAATGAGTCAAAGTGTCTAAAAGAGATCTATTTTTCTTTCTTTCTTTTTTTACCTCTGGTACTCAGCCTTCAATTGCTCTCTTCCTTTTCATCTGGTGTTCCACTTCATGTGGTAAATACCGTGCTCAGATTCAGACGTTATCAAAGAGCCTCTTCTCTCCTTTCATTACTCCGCTGCTCAGAGCGGCTGTTTTCCACCCTCAACGTGCTCAAAGTGGAGTGCACCAAATTCACTGCCTCTGTCACAAGAGATGTAGAGCACCGAGATGAAATATCTGCTCCACTGCCAATCTTCTCCATTGTCTGTCTGTTATTCCTTTATTTCCCCCCTCTCCTCACCAACGGAAGCATTTCCAGCCCGCTGCTGTCCATCACCTGCGAGGAGTTATTGACTATTACTAGCAATATGGCCACTTATGGCGTGACAGGTCTGCAAAGAGCACCATGAACGCACAAACCGGGCTCTTGGGGTGTGCAACGCAACTCTTCTTGTCATTCGGGTTTACTGGGAACTTATTTGCTCAGTTGAAAAGCTTATGAACATAAACGCAATTCATCAGTAGACTTAAATATTTGGATTCAAAATACCAGCCGTTAGCCGGTCAGAGAGGCTGGCAGCAGGACGCTTTCCACAGATCTTTCCTTCCCTGCTAGCCTACGGTAAAGAAATATATAAGCTGTTCATTTATCTTCCTTTTATACCGATTCCGTTTGCATTGATCTCCGCTGCTCGGCCATGATCACTTCAACTGAGTCGTACTCTTTTTAACTGCTCCAGCGATATTTCCCGCAGTGCCCACTATTGAGCAGAGGGCCCAAAATTGTTGGTGGGGACTCCCAAGCTTTGTAAATCATGCATACGGACAGAAAACATACACAAAATAGTTTTGCCGGGTCTTTCTTGAGCGTTACGTTACACATTTATGTTACAACGTATGTCCACACGCAGTACTTATTTAGGCTGTTGAGGTTGTTTACAGACAGACAAGATTTTGGATACTGATCCAGTTATTAAACTGCTCATGTATTTATTCGACAGGCCCAAAAAGCTCTGTTTTTTTCTCGCTTCCTTTTGAAAAACAGGATGCTGTTGTGAAGAATGAACTCGTATTTGAGATGTTGGTGATGATAATGCATGTTATTTTCGATGGCATTCAACTGCTTGCTAAGAGTAGAGATACGTCATATTTATATCACTGCTGCGCCATCTCTCTCCTGCTTTTTGCCCTCACTCTTATTTTCCCCCTGTTTAATTTTTTAAGTGATTAGAAGCTGACACCAAAGCCCGATTTTATTATTTAAGTTATTAAAGAGAGGAATGAAGCCACCATTTCTAAGCAGGGGTCTATGGAAACGGTACACTACATACGTTATCTACAAATAAAATGAATCTATAATATATATTTTGATTATGTTCCAATTTGGTCATATGATGTCGCTTTTTTCAAGGGGGGTAAAAGGCCCCTGGAATTTAAGGTAAACTTCCTCAAAAGATTATAGTCCTTAATAGTGGGGAAAAGTACACCAAATGACCAAATCACATTCAAGTGAAATGAGGAACCATCCGGTTGAGGAATAAGTAAAAACGAATGTCTGGTAATCGGCAGTTTGAGATATTGTTGTGTTACGCAAACGCAAACATTGATATTGGCGACTCTTAAATATTCTCACAAAGAAAGCAAAGGGGATAATGTCAATTTTGTCATAGTTTTTCCCATTTTGATGCTACCGAAGCACTGAGTGCACTGTAACAATCGCTTTGTTTTTCACGGGCTGCGGGCCGCCTGAACGTCACAGCTGAGAGATGATCCATTATTGACGGACCCGCGAGCGCATCCAGACGGCCGCAGAAAGCTATTGATTTCAAATCAGCAGCCTTTGAGTCAAAGCAGGCGCGATGGGAGCACGTCACCGGCTGGTGGAAAAAGTCCCACCGGGTGCCGACTCGGCAACATGCACAAGTGGTCACACGCGCTCGTGTCTTTAAGAGCCTTTCGATCGGAGGTGTCATTGAGTAAAATGCAATGCAACCACGCTTGTTCTTTTCCCAAACAAAGAGATACCCGCTGACAACTCTTGCATGATTCGTTTTTTATCAGGTTTTCCAAACCATTTCTGTTCCTGTGGAGACGAGAGCATTGATTTCTGGGAGGTCGGGTTTGTACTTGGGGATGCCTGTTAGATAAACTGTTGTTGTCCCAGGAGGAGCCGTACGGGTTTCAACACCAAATCCATCCCGGACAGTAAGAGTCATCTTAGACATTTTTAACTTTCAGCCACCATCATCATCATCATCATCACGGATGATCAAGATTATCAGTTATAGAATCAGTTTTTATTTGCTAAACAACGTGATGTTCGGATACTCACAATATGATTTCTGCTTTTATTTTGATGGAATCGCATCGTTATTTGTTTAATGTTGTAGTAAATACGATCATATATAGAGTCAAGGCTCCTACGATGCCAAGTTATGAAGCGGAGTGTGAAATAATTCACAACTGTGTATGGACACAGCAGTGTAGGCAGTGTGCAACGTCTCTTTCCTGGCAGCAGCCTTTTAAGTTCACAGGTCTTTTTTTTTAAAGTGAAGACACGACTGTCAGAGAAGAAAAATAGCGCAGCAATTAATGAGGCACTGGATGTGGGAAAAGTGTACATTTCAAACCGCGTGGGCTCAAAAGGAAAATCTCCCAGTCTTTCAGAACCTCCATTTTGCATTGAATTATGAATTCCGCTGAATTAGGAAATATTAAAAGCCTCCATTAAGGGCTGAAGCTCCATCCCACTCTTTACAGTACTTGAACACATTAGTTACTTTCACCTCAGCAAGGATATAGTTTCAGTGCTCCCACAGCAGACCCACACAACGTAACCCAGGTATGGAACAAGTCGAAAGTAGTTGCATAAAACATCAGAATGAAATGAAATGAGCAGTGATTCATGTGATTCAGCTACTTGCTGCTTCATCCTGCAGCTTAATTGTGTTTTCTCATCACGTGTTTTTTCTTGTACATTAGATCCAGATCATTGGAAACTAATTCTTTGCTTTTATAGGTCTACATTTTCACACATGTATGAGTCATTTTCAAAGGTGCATTAAAAGAGCAGCAGATAGCTGAATGTAAACACGAGACGCGCGGCCAGCAGAGCCGCCAGCACACCATAACGGCCACGCTGATGCTGTGGCTACTGTTATATCCAGCATGCCGACTTCACGTCCCCAGTGATTCGTTTGTGCAGCGTTTCACCGTCTAACCCCTCTTGACTCTCCAGATCTGTCCGCCGCCGTCCAGAAGTTCTCCCTGTCGCTGCAGGAGTTCCAGTTTGAGTGCATCGGCGACGCAGAGACGGATGACGAGGTGAACATCGGTAAGATCACTTTGGCCACTGCGGCTCCCTTCTGTTTTTTTGTTCTTCCGTATCCCCCCTCCCCATATTCTATCCCATTAGTCTGATTGTCCCCTCAATCAGAACCGTGTCTTTCATTTCCCTTCGGACTCTCTCGTGAGGATCTTGGACGCCTTTGGATGCAGCGCTGACACGTTGCCAGGGAGATAATGTCCGCTGGCCAAGGACCAAGTGCCCACATGACATTGTTATATTTTAACAATTGCATATTAGTGGAATTATTAAATAGAAAAAAGGGAGGGCGGGGGGCTTTATCAGTCATTGGGAGCAGTTTTCAGACAGCAGCTTTCTGCTGCATCGTTGAAGTGGGATTTGGCTATTGTGTATAGATCTTAAAGTCTGTGATGCATGCATAATTTATGCTATTGATTTTCTTTGATGCTTCCTTTGGATCTTTTCAAGCCTGTAAAAGATCAGAGGGCCTAAATGTGATCAGTGTCAGAGATTAATGGAGGTGCGAGCCTCCTAGCCTGCAACAGCAGTATAAAAGCAGCTGTGGAGAAGGCCGCTCCGGCTCTAATGGGCAGGGATCCCAGTCTGCCCTCTTCTCCCTCTTCTCCTTCTTTTCTTCTTCTTTTTTTCTCCACTGCTCATTATCCACAGCTCGACTCCTTTGCTCTGAGGCTTTAGAGAATGCTGAATTACCGTCCATCTGTGAGGGTTAGACTGGATATCGACCTCCTCTACATGAGGCTGTAATGTTCATCTCAATGTGTGATGAATAGTCCGGCTTTCCTCTTTTTCCTACCGAGGCTGAAGAGGCTCGGTGATGAGCAGAGGTTGCGGCAGACCAATTGTGCTGATTGGAAAACTACACACCCAACTCCACGCTTCATTAGCCTGAAGTACGCTTTAAATTCAGACAATGCCCCCCCCCGGATCACAAGTGGTGTCCATCCCAAATTGAACAGGGAATATTTTAGCTGCCCACCTGCTATGTAGATGGGCCGGCCCAGTATTTACAGTGCAAACGCCTGGACACAATTAGGAGCTGGTGAATTGGCCTGAGCTCGTGGCTCAAACGACGGAGCCACAGGCGTCTGTGTGCAGGGATTCTATTGCCTGTGTAAATTGGCAAATTCCCTTGAGGGGGGTTTAGAGTGTGAGATAACAGCAGGAAACCGTGTGACATTCCGCGGGATTTAAAATGGTGCAACCTTGGTGCTAACACGGAAAGAAAGAGCTGTAAGCGCAAAACACCGGGGAAAGAAATGGCGATATGATTTGCTCTAGAAGCTACACTCTCGTGTTCAGCCACCATGTCGGTGAGAAAAGGCCATGATTACTGTTTGAGGGGAGGGGGGGGGGAATGAAAGAATCAATGTGGTCATCAGTGACAGTGAGCCTTCTGACTGACATAGCCGGACCCTTGAGTGAATGCCAGCCGTGGTCTCGATGCGGTATCGGTGCGAATCACTTTGATGCTCCCAACGTCCCCGCCCGGCGCCGAGGCCCCCCAGACCTGTCCACCTGACCTTTTATTGATTTTGCTCTTCGACTTCCTGCAGTGACATTCACATTCCTAGCCAGTTATTAGGGAATCAATGGAACCAAAAGATTGATGCGGCTATTGAAATTTTGATTTTTTTTTTGGTAGAAAAAGTGACGTGGCTTCCTCTCGGAAGGTCAGTCCTTTAGTCTCTTATAGATCTAAAAAGTTAAATATCAAGCAGAAAGGCTTTTAAATCCATGGAATTGAAAAAAATCCTATAATATGCTGTACATGGACAGTAAATGTCTCTCTTTTAGTTATTTTATGAGCCTTTCCTATTCGTCCGCTCGCTTGAGATAGAGAATTCTATTTCCTTCAGTGATTCAACGGGTCATCATTTCCTTCTCCCCACTTACCAGTGAATGATATGCACGGCGTAACCTCACTTTGACTCCCATTTCCTTGCTTCTAAGTCTAATCTTGTCCCGTCAACGGCTCCAGCTGTGCCCTTTGCCCGCGTCGGGGTTTGCGCTGTTGATCGAGCAGCCAGTGGCGTTAATAGGCCCGCCTGCAGGATCACTGCCACCAAATCATTGCCCCCTGGTCTTATTTTTTGAAAAAAGCGCTGGCGTGCAAATGGACCCAAATGTCTCCGATGATGCATGGCTCCCCGATAACGACGCTCCATCTGTCCAGCTGAGGCCACGCTGTGCCTGACCCTCCATTCAATGAAGGTGTGAAGCACACATCCTCGGAGCGGATGAGGCGACGCCGTGTAGCCCCGCTGACACCGACCCACCTCAGCCACCTCATCGGTGCGTGGTGACGTCTTGTTGTAAAGCCTGGCAGGGAGGATGACAATAGAGAGCCGCATTCAGTGGGCTCCATTCAATTGAAGTATTGCTCCTTTTTTTTATTTCTGCGAGTCCTGGTTTAAAATTGGACAGCTGCTTGGTTTTATTAGGTTCTGAAAATGTGCTGCAACAGAAGCACCGACGCCGCAGCGCAAATAAACATTTTTAGCACCACGCTACAGCCGGGAACATCTGATGTTTTAACGACTGGGCCACTGTGTTTAATCTTGCACCGTGTGAACATTACGCTGTGTGCGATGCGTTGTACACGCTGAAGTTTTTATTGGCCGAACACGCGGTATTTCACGTTTGGATGTGGTGTTGTAGCAGTGATGTGTCTTTGTATTTCAGCCCAGTCATTCAAAGAGTTCTCCCAGCTTCTGACCACCGTTGAAGAGGAAAGAAGACGCTTGGTAAGAATGCACATTCTTTTGGTGTTATACGTGTTTTTGTAAGTCCCAAAGAACCAAACAGAGGAAGAGCACATGTTTTTTCTGGCTTTTATGCTCTCGAAAATGGTGTGTGCTGCCACGTATGTATTCATTTGGACCGGTGTGAAATACAGACATCTGGTGAAAAGAAAAAAGCGTGTCTGCAGGTTTCCTATCTCCCATTTCCCGCCGTGCACCAATATAGAAAGGGCGCCTGTATCCTGATCATTTATCTGCACACCAGTCTGTCACCTTATTCCGCGGGGGGAGAGACAATGAGGTTGGAATTACCCAGAAAAGTGTTTCCAATTCATAGTAGCAGGAACTGAGAGAGAAAAACAGGTACTGAACACAGACACAAAACATGGAACACCTTCTCCTTCTTTGGTCTACTCAAACACAGCGTTGCGTTTATTTCCCTTTTGTGTACTTGGTCCAGTGAAAGGTACTATACTTTATTCTACTATGCTACGACGTCCTTGCCTTCGTTCCCGTGTTGCTCTTGCTGATGCAGAAGGAGAAGACGGGGCCTGCACTTTGCATTTCTTTTGCCAAGGTCAACGTTTCAAAGGGTGCTGCATAGAAGTACAGGCGGGAATTACCGTAGTCCCCAACCTTCAGCGGTGCGTCTGATTTACCAAGTCTGATATGCAGAAAGAGATCAGCGGCAGGTTTCACTGGTAGGTTTTATACCAAGCCCAGACATTGTCATTACCACTTCGCTCTGCGTAGAGAAGCAGATGTGCAGCACCTCTGCTCGCCTGCGCCTTGTGCAGCCGGTGCTGCTCAGAAACGCCCTCGTCCGCTGGATGTTAATGTCGAGGCTCCTAATCGCGTGGCTAACTGCGAGCATGTCCCTCACAGTGCAGCTACATGTTTGTGATGGAGAGAGTTGCCCTGCGAAGATGTGGGTCACCACCGCGCAGGCAATGTCGCTTTATTATCATCCCGTCATCCTAATCAGTTTGACAAGCATAAAGGGACCTTTTTTTTTTTTTTTGTCATCTCAAAGCGCGTCGTGAATAAATGATTGCTGTAGATGGAGAGCGTGACGCCCCTGTTGGTCTGAACTAGCAAGGCTTCTCAATTTAGTAATTATGCAAATATATTTTCTCAAGCAGGGAGAAACATAAAAGAGCACTCGCCAACAAACGGTGTGTGACACAGGGCTGGTTGGCTCTCGCCAGGCTCGGGCATATGGTGGTAAGTCTGTCTCACCGCTGCATCGGTGGTCATTTGACGGCTGTCGGGGAAGATCAGTGCAGATTTGTGCACAACCTGGTTACTTGGTTTCTAAGACTGCTCTTTTTTTAATGCACTGCTGCAGTGCATATTTTGGGGAATCGGGAATGTAGGAGGCACAAGGAGGGGAAACTGCTTTAAAGGTGTGAATGTGTTTTTACGGCATTTGTACGCGCAGAAGTACAGAGAAAAGAGCGATGATTAGTCTGCGGCTTTATTTTGTGGGCCGTGGAACCAAAATGAATCGAGATGACAAGGAAAAGACGGACACAGAAATGAAATGATACCACAAGCCAAGGAGTGACGAGTAATGACGAGTCGCACAGGCTACAGTACTTCATTCAGATAGATTTGAGATACACATCTATTTATAGCTCATCGGATCACAGGAATACGCAACAAACGCCGCTCTTATCTTTGCACTTTGCACCAAGTCGAGCTTGCACATGTTTTCAATCTCCTGGGACACAAGTGTTGGACATGAATCTAAAGTCATATGTAGACCTTTGTATTTTCATAAATCCACAAGCTGTGAAAGCACTTTGATATCTTTTTTTGAAGAAGATTATACCAAGGTGGGGCACATTTGTAAGTCAAACAACCCCGTGACCTTTAGGGTGCTACTAAAGCACTGAGCTCACTTTCCCTTTCAACGGGCCGTGTGCAGTTCAGTGGTCATTAGGCCTGTTGCCAGGACTGTGATCTAAATAAAGCATATATATGTAGGCTACCAGTCCGACGTTTGGACACACTTTCTCATTAAATCAAATGTTAAAGTGTGTCCACAGTGTGCTCCATCGTAAATTATTTAGTCTAGGTCAAAATAAATATAGTTTCAGCATTAATATCGGGCGCATTGGACTCCAGAAAACTCTCTCCGGATAACCAGCTCTGACAGGCTGTTTGTGAACAAGATGAATGTTACACCAGCTTTAGGCAAACCTTTATCATTTCACAGGTAATGAATGCGGTCCAGAGCTGAATTATCTGAAGAAGCTTCAATGTGGCTATTCTTTTTTTATTGTAATGTAGTCCCTTTTTATTAAGTTTGATTCTGAGGTCTGCTGTTATTCTTTTGCCCCCCCAACCCACGTATGAGATTAGTATGAGATATTAGATCAATGGGAGTAGACTGTTTGGAAATACTGAAATAGCTTCTTAGAAATGCAGTGAATATCAAATTATGCAGTACTATATTGGAAACTCTTCATGGGCCTCCAGATGGAGTTCTCATGTTGAACATTGGGCATTGGACTGGGCAACTGAATGTTAGTTTTCCCCAAGTGAGATCTTTACACTTTAGACATCATGACCTTTTATATTTGAGGTTTTTCATGTGTACTTGATGATTGAACTGTCTTAAAGTTTAGGAATAACCTGTATAAAAAATGGGTGTAATCCCTCTTTAATTGTTCCTATTGAGTTTAGCTGAGTTTGAGTTTCCTGACTGCAATCTATACAGTTTTACTTTCCCAATATCCTCGACATCTGTCAGCTACCCCCCTACATTTCTTTTTTCTCTTTCACTATACAAAAGGCCGTTATCGGTACGGCTTTTAGTTCTTTAACAGAATCTCTGTTCAAAATGCAGGTGAGAAGTATGCGTGATATAGGTCGAGATGAATGGGGGGCTGTGACCAGCAGTAAGAGGGAGTTTTTAAATGCTGACATAAAAAGTAAATCATTTCAGATTTCTCTTTTAATCATACCTGTTTGTAGAAGGAATGCAAAGGGAATGCGATAGTTCTCACAAAGTAGCCATGAAGACATTTGTAAGCATATTATATTCTGCTCCCCGGCCGTTAAATCACTGCTCCACAAACCACAAACCTCTTTTAAAGCCCACGTATATGGTCCAGTTTACGCTACCAAATATATGACTGATAAATTGTTCCACAAGTGTTCCATAATTCATCTTGTTACTACAAAAGACATGTCGGCGTCAACAAACCATTTTTTTGGACGCCGGGAGGAACAAAAGAACGATTAAGTTTCTTCATTACATTTGATAAAAGTGCTGCGAAAGCAGAGAATACGGGACGGGACGTTTGTGGAGACGTTTAGTTTGACAGGGGATCGCTCTACGGTGAAACGTTCTCCGCGCTTTGTTGTGCCTGTCTCAGCGCGGCGTATCGAGCTGAGCGGAGACACAGAAGCAGAGCCGCAGGGGGGGGCGATTACAGGCCGGGAAAGTGCCATCGCCCCAAATCCAGCCGGCTGTCATCGCGTCGCTCACAGGTGAGCACACAGAGGGCGTCATTCGAAGCCACTGGGCCTGCCCGAAATTAATTAAGCGCATCTCAAACCGACACACATGTTTGCCAGATGCTCTCCACGAGGGAACAACACCATCCGCTCAACAAGAAATGCCGTGAATTATACTCGATGGGACTCTGCTTCACGTTTGCTGCAACGGCTCCCAGATGAGAGATGACGGCCGATAAGACGGTTGTATCCACACTTTGGTAAAAAAAAAAAAAAGATGCTCGTCACGCTGAATGGGTCTCAACTTTTCAGCAGCCGGTCCAGAAATGAGACCCAGATTCATTCCCGGCGCCGCCTCGCTGGCTCCACTTTCACCGCTTCACACCTGCACTGATAAGAGTCGCTGATACGCAAACACTTCAAAGCAGGTGTCGCGGTGACCTGTTGGGGGTCTGTCCTCAGTGGAATATAGGAAAGGGTGGGGCCTCTGCTACATGGGGTCCGGCTCTTAGCAGTGACCCAATCCGTCGGCCTCGCCGGGCATGGAGCGCTTATTTGTCCGTTGCTCCGGCGGGTGGTCAGGCCTTGAAATCTGTCTTTTTTTTACACTTTGTGATTGGCTCACCAGCTACACCGATGTGTTCTTCCACAGAAAGACATCCCAAATTCTATCTCTCAACACAAAAAAAAGATTCCTGCTGTAATTCCCTTTGCGGATAAGCCTTTCGGCGGCATAAAGAAGAGTGAAAGTGGTTGAAGTTCTGCATGGCTTGAGAAGGTTCAGCACGGCTGAGCTTGGATGGCATTTGCGAGTGGAAGGGCAGTGGCCTGTTGTTGTGGCTTTTGGATGCTAAAATCCCCCCGGGAGGAAGCCTTTTATGGCTGCTCTGGAAAACAGATAGAGGTTTCCTGTTGTTGTTTCATTTTATCAAAAGGTGAAATGGAAAAACAGGCGCAAAACAGTCACATTAAATTGTCTTCATTTTAATAAATAACTTGTGATGTGATAACGTGCTTTTAATGTTTTTTAAAATGTCAATAGATGTTCAATGTCATTTAAATGAATAGAACGTTTAAAAATAAAGTATAAGTATAATGTCAGATTTGGTCTCTTTGAATGAGGAGAGCTGGTGTGTGTTATGGCCCCCGCTGTAATGCGATCTGTATTTCAATGAGAGCGCGTTACCATAGTTTCCTCCAGGCCTTGTTGAGCACAGTGTTGTCACACAAAGACAGCCACAGCTCGTCCTCATTGCAAGATCCCAAACGATTCTCTGAAAGTGACCTCTTACGAGACGCTCGAATCCAGTGTAGCAGACAGTGAAAAAAAATAAGAAGCTTGCGTTCAATGCACTCAGCTCATTTCACTTTTTCATAGTGAAGTTCAATAAAACGCCTGACAGACGCTCTGTTTTGTCGAGGCGCCGCTCGCATCTTAAAACAATATTTAACAAGCTGCTGCGCCTTCATTTCCCCCTCTGTAATACGTGCGAGATGCATCTTTTTAATTCTATTCCCCATTCCGTCCCCCTCTATGAGATAAAAAAGAGTCCCTTAAGTGCTAGTTTTCTGCGCTACGTCTTATTTATTCCCCATGTTGAGAGAATCTACATTTTCTTCGACGGCCTTTTAAAGGCGTTCAATTAAACGCAATCCGTCTCCGCCGCAGAGCTGAAACCGCCTGGGGTGAAGTGTCGGATGCAGTGACCCCGTGGGCAGCTCGTACGCCGTCAGCTGGGAGGAATGTTCCTGTTGACCCTCGAACAACAAGTGCGAAAGAAAGGCGGCCATTGTTCTGAGCAGCGTCCTCGACCGGCTTGTTTAATCAAACAACGAGTGCGATCCACTGCGCGGCGTGAATGTACTTCGCTTAGTACGAGCCACCGTCTCGCAGTGTTCATCATTACTCGCCCCCAGCATGGATACGTACTCTCATCATCATTTATCTCGATCCTACATCACGTATGCTTCTTACCTTCATTCTTAAGCAACAGAGACTCTGTAGAAGAAGAAAAGGTGGTACAGATAATGGCCGACAAAAGGAGCCGGCGTGGCCATCAGACCACGCCGGCGCCACACCGGGAGGACCAACCCAGCGGGAGCCGAGGAGCCTCACCCGCCTATTTCTCCTCTCACTGCTTTCCGTGTCTCCTCGTTCCTTCCGTGTCACTTCGAGCGAGCGAGCTCACAGATTTCTCCTCCGCTGTAAAACGAAAGTCAGTCATGAGACGGATGTTTCTCGGGGGGGGAAAAAAAAGGGAGCAGCAACGAATGACTAAGAGAGCTGTTTGCTGGCGTGATGTATCGCCCGCCGCTCATCTCCGCTCCGGAGGGACCGGATCCAACAAAGCCCAGCGAGACTCTCTTTTTATCCTCATGAATTAACACATGAAACATGGGGGCTTAAATGTCTGTGTAACTTCACAGCGCAAATCCCTCACTCAGTCAGCGGTAAACTCCCCCCTGCCTGCTTTACACTTCTTGCCTGCTAGCTTCAATTCTTTTTTTCATTTTTTTTCAGAATCCAATTAAATTTCTTATGACGACAGTTGGGTTGTAGCTATAAATGTTTAGTTCTGGAGCACTGGGAGCGCAGCCTGGGGGCAACTGTACTTTTCTGCAACCATAATCTAGGGCCAGTCACACACACCTGACAGGTTTTGACACCCAGTTGTCAACGAGTAAATGGGGCCACTATCTTCAACTGTCCGTCAACCTCCCCTCCTCCCCCACTACCGCCCCCACTACCCCCGCACACACACACACACATACGTGACCGAGACACACAGCGCAGCCCTCCCTCTTTTGGACAAAAGGTCACACCGTGGGCATGAAAGTGCGACGTGGAGATAATGAGGGCCATAACGGTTCTGGTGCATATGACGCATTAATTAGATTTTCGGGGGCCTTTGCTCACACCTCCTCTAATGAGTTTGGCTAATTCCTTTTTGGTCGCCTGCTGCTGTCATTGAGACTGCTGGCGCGAGCGATGCCCGATGCGTCCACGTGACGCCGCTGGCCGCCGTTAGCTGTAATGCGAAGTTGCGAAGAAGTGCAGATGTCCGGCGCTCGAGCGGACGCGGCCTCGTTATCCCGCCCGTCATTAGCATTCCTCGGCTACACCGGAGGCTCACTGCTGCATGTTAACACCTAATACGTTGACATTATTGTACATTCAAATCAGCCGCGTGTCAGCAGCGTGAGGGCCGTGTCACACGCCAACGCTCAACCGAGGCGAGGGCTTAGCGGGGGCCACTCTTCATTAAATAAGTATCTATCACCTGGAGACGTCTTCGCCGTCTCTCAGTATTGAGCTTGATCAGAAAGAGTTGGACGGAATTCCGAGTTGGACGGAATTACATGAACGTTCCTCTTATTATTTTTACAATATTACAATAATTACGCTGAATCCAATAAACAGCGGGCTCCGCGTCTTGTGGGGAAAGTAAATGTGTGCCGATGCTGACGGAATGGTCCACTTTAGCTGCATAGCATCACACAACTGGGCTTTTTTAAAGTGTCAATGCGTGACGCAGAATGTGAGAGTCAAAGGCCGCAAAGCAGACTGGCAGCTGCACATGAGTGAGTTTTGATTTAGGTGAACTTTGACGGGAAAAGTCTCAGCTTCCCCCAACGATAAGGACTTGAGGATATGGTTGTTTCATAATAATTATTAATAATGCCATATATTACATCATAGTAGCGTTGCTCCATGTCAATCACAGTAGGCTGATACTCCGCCTACTCTATCAAGTACTCTGAACTTGTCATAATTGTCCGATATTAAATGGAAAGCACAGGCCAGTCTTGTTCTAGAACTCTCCACTTTGCCGGAATTCATATTTGCTGGAATATTGTGTGCGAAAAGTGGAATTACCAAACAAAAAGCAAGAAAAGTCCCTTTTCATTTGAATGCAGCAGCGTGTTTTCGAGTAAGCTTTTATGACGTCTCTTCGACCCGGGGAGAGCAGCCGGGCTGATATGTGTGTCTTCATATCTGGAGAGATTGCGTTGATTTGCAGTGAGGCAGCGGGGCTCTAGGTGCATTAAGATGGCTTTTCATTGTGAGGACATTGTCAAAACCTAACGTGCAAAAAGCCTATAAAAGATATTTACTACCCAGTTATAGACTTACAGACTGCAACCAGTGAGGCGGAGCCGGTCACAGTTGAATGCTGCGATGATTATAAGCTACAGGCATATAAGGACGGAATTGCACAAACGCATCCCACCTGCAGTGTGGATCTGAAACACAACATGCATGTGTAATGTGTAACGTTTCCAGGACACACAACACGATTCTGGCCTAAAAATAATTGTGTCCTCTCGGAGCTGCGAGCGTTCCGCAGCGAGGATCGGATCACCTGCAGGCTCCTCTGCCAGGCGAATGTGTAGAGACGCTGTTCACCGAATGGACTGAATGGAAAAAGCTGGGGAACAAACTAAAGGTCCGATACACATCATTTCATTTCTCACGGAAGACCGGTTGTGTTCCCAAATTGTTTGGAGTAGATATTCAAACTAATTCTTTAAAAGATTTAAAAAGGCACATTTCAGTTGGCACACTCACTCACGATTCAATTTGATCTCTCCTCGGTCCTGATCGGCCGCAAATGAATCTCAGCGCGACACTCGATGCGCGTAGACGGGTAGAAGCCGGAGCCGGGGGAAAAAACCTAGCACATTGACATTCCTCCCCATATCTCTGATTGAAATTGCTTAGCACTATTTCCTCCTTTCAAGCATCACACTGGGCTCACTCGTATGGATTAAATCCTGTTTAGAGAGGCTCTGGCACAGGGCCCGTTTGAAATGATCCATTGAGTCTTAAGTGAGTCGGTCGCTTTCACCACATGTATCTGACTGGACTTATTGGAAGTGAAGTGATCTGCGATTGTGATCTGATTGCAGTGTATTTAGTCTGCTCTGTGCATTGGTTTGGATATGATGTGCTCTAATGCCCGAATTCATCCCATTTATAATGAAAGGATCCGAGACGCTCAATTGGAAGATAAAGTGTGAATTTAAGCCTAATCGAGGACCTAAAACATCCTAATGTTGTGAGTGCAGATTTTGGGCAGATTACCTTTTTAACTTTCTGAAATAATTCAACTCACTTGCTTTCATTCAACTCTAAATATTAGATCATAATCCCCCTCACAGGCTTTCGGAGCTTTTTTATCTACGTCTGTCCATTGAACAGAAAATGAAAAAGAAGTGCGGCGTGGTATTGGAAATCTACATTTAAAGCACAGTAACGCTCCACGGCTCAATTATACCGAAAGCATGGGAGATAAAACGGAGGAAATTCTATTACCACACTGGCAGAGTGGTATAATTCTTGCTGTTGACAGTAGATAACGTGATGACTTGGATATGACTGGGGGATTATGCAAGCTCGCTGTGATGACCGTCAAATGCCCTCCACGCTCCCAATGGAGTGTCATTGTCTTCCTTTCACTTTCTTACGCTTCCAAACTTCATCTAGCGACGGCCAGCAGTAACGGTTTTCAGTGGTGATGTTTTATTTTATGTGCAATTTTGCATTCAAAATGAAAACAAGAGAGCGATAAAGGTTGAAGATAATGTTGTTTCATCGGTACACTTTATTTTAACTCGGCCCCAAATCATTCCTAATGTGTTTTTCTCCATCGTCTTTTAGAAGTTCCCTTCCTTGCATGTGCAGTACACATACTCTTTTGTCCTCCATCTTACATGTGACCTTATTACCTTAAGTTCAAATTGTACAGTGTGTAGTAGAGTCATCCAAGACACACTTTCTTATATAGTTATAATTAAAACTCTACTGTAGAGCTGTAACTAATCATTTATAGTCGTTTCAATTGTAATGAGATGGGCTCTGTGTGTGTGTGTCTGTCCACAGCTAATCATGCATACTACTGGACCCATCAGCCTGATGTTTTTTGTGTTCATTTATGAGCATTTATATCTTGTGGTTTTGGGGATTCACAATTTTTCATTGATTGTTTTTTGTCGTCATTAACTGCTGACTCGTCTTAACCGGCCTCAAGTGTGTGAAAGTAGATTTCTGTCTTTATTATGCAAACAAAAAAAAACCTGTTTTGAGAGCTTGCATCCACCAGTGACCAGATGACATTTCCAATCTCATGTGTAACTAATCACAAATAAAGCACAGTAAATAGATAGTTGTGTGTTTATTTTGCTCACTCGCATTATAACAAGGTGGCATAAAAAGCTGTAGTATTAAAAAAAAAAGATTGTTTTTGTTTGTTTTTACTAAAGAATAGAAAGATAAATAATAAGCACAAGTTAAACACATTATAACACAGAACCATGCTCCTGCCAACCTCTATTTAACACATGTATCACACTCTTATCAAATCCTGGACCCTTCTTAATGGCAGTACTGACACATGGGTACCATACAGTGTGATGTTCAGACACCAATGAGACCATTTCACAGGAAGTGAATGCTTGCCCATCTTCCAAAAGCAGATGTCTGTGAGCTCGACCGGGGATCTGCTGGATTACTGAGGCTACAGTCAAAGCCTCTCCTGCATCGTCCCCATCAGGTTGTGCATCTCGAAGAGAAAGTGTAGACCAAAGTCAATCTCTCCAGTCATTTTATATGCAAACAGTTAAACATAATGCTCATTAAGACAGTTATATGCTTTAGAATTAGGGTGGGAATCTAAATGTTCAATCACAAACAATTATTTTAAATGAATGGTTGGACATACCTACAAGTTCTAGGAGCGAATGCTCAATTACAAGACAGTTGCGTAATTGTTCTGCTGCTATGAAGGTAAAAACCAGACTAATGACACATTTAACTGGCTCATTGACGTGAGTGCCCGTGTGCCTGTTTCAGTTTGCAGTGAGGATCTCTCCATCACCCGACTCTGTCCCTGCCTTTGTCCCTGAGGTTCTTCAGGTGTGGCCCTTGAAATCACGGACAGGAGATGTCATGCAGCCTTCACTGTGATGCATGCACATGGTAAAAGGACTTTACAGTATACTGCACAGGCTGTATAAGAAATTAAGCTATTGCCTGAGATAGTGTAGGTAACAGAATCACTGTAATGTTTGACTGTAGTCATTTAATCCCAAAGAAAAAGAAAATTAACTTTTGCCTCACCTTCCCTACACGATACCACTAACTAAGCTAACGTATCTATGTAGTTAGTAGTGAGTCCTCCTTGGAGACACTTAAACATTACAGTGTACAACATGAGCCCACATGCACGTGGAAAGTGGGGCTTCATGTCAACACAGCAGCCCTCCATGTCAATCTTTAATAAAACACTCCGCCACACATGAAACATGAAAACAACGTAAAGTGCTGCTGCCTGAAAAATTCTTTTGACAAAATACAAAGTCAACTTACCTCCGTGTCGCTCCTGTCCTGTGCTCTCGTCAGTGTTTGATGGTGGAAGCAGACACCGAGCGCCCAGTCGATCCACCAATAGGAACAGCTGGTTCATAAGCCCCGCCCACGACGTACAAACTCAAATCGCAAAAGTTTTTGTTTCAAGATCAAAGCTATATTTTTGAGACCAAAAATGTCTATTCTAATTTCTAATTCTAGTTTCATAAGCAAAACTAACAAATCATTTATTCTCAGTTTATATATATCATTTACTTATTACTTAATAATAAAGAGACAAATCTACCTTGTTTCAGAAGCCAAATGAAAACAAGCCTTCGTTGGTCATTTGCCGGCCAGGTTTTCGACACGATACCAAATAAAATTGGTTTTGGCAATTGTGCTAATATTGTAAAGCACATGAACACAACCACGCCGTGACTTTACCCTCCCGAAGCCGCTCGCTCTGGTTGGCCGATGGAGCTGAGAGGGTTATTTTGGGGACAATAAAAACGTGCTGTGATTAATTCTTCCAAACAAAAGCTCCATCCCCAGACGGCGTGTGTGTGTGTTCAGAGGACTGTAGCCGGGAGAGGACCAGACCGTCTCAGCCGGCACGTCTAAGTCAGTCGTGCTCTCGAAGATGTATTTTGTGGCCCCTTTTCTTCTTTTAGTTCATCGCATACACTCAGCACACAGAATAACGCCTTAAATCAACCCAACGGCCGTTTCCTTAGCGACGGGGCTGCCCGGAGAGCAGCCCCGGCCGCTCCAATGTCATCTGATCTCGGCGGCTAAAAGCCCATCTTCGGCAGGAATTCAGAAGCACCTTAATGGCACCTTCTGCCGCAAAAAGCTCGCTGGCAGAGGATTGGGCGCGGGGCCGCCATCGGCGCCATATTTCTCCTGTGATCGTTTTTCCGTCTGGAATGGGAACGCGGAGGCTCAAGAGGATAGCTTTTTTTTATTTATCTTTTTTTTACTTCGGTCGAGACGCGGGAGAGGACACCCACGTGTGAGGACATGCCTCAAACATTTAAATGCATTGCAGAGCTCCCTCATCTGCCGCGTCATAATTCAGGGGGGCCGGTGCCTCACCGCTCACATAAAGCGGCTCCATTTTCTTCTGCCGCGCAGAACCATTGTCGAGCGGTCTATCGCTCATCTCTGCTGTGCTCATTCTGGGCGCCGCACAGCGGCACGTTGCTCATTGTCACGGGCTCAGGAGGTATTAATGAATGTGACTGCTCAATCCTGCCCTCGTGTTTGGACTCAATGCATCGCTGTTCGACTCGGGTAGAATCACTCTCAGGGCTGTAGCTTCTTGTGTGTCACACGCTTTGTGGCGCATTGGTGAAGCGAGACCATTGTAATAAAACTAGTAGATAAAGAGTGAAAGATTTGGATGGTGTTTCGGGTCCACAAGTCGCTTGTTATTGTTCAGAAAGTTGCCATCTCTCAGTATGGCATCCATCTGTTATTTTCCCTTATTTCTCGTTTCAGATTCAGAATGCTGATGATGTGTTAATTACTCCCCTGGAAAAATTCCGCAAGGAGCAGATCGGCGCTGCGAAGGTAAGAGGCGGCAACGCGGCACGCGCAATTAGCTGCTGAATCGCGGAGGATCATTTACGTTACTCTGAGAAAATCCCCCCAACCCCCAACCCCCCCACGGTATTTAGATCACAAATTGAAAGTCAAGCAAGTCAGACTGCTTTATGAACAAAGACAACGTTTGTGAATGTGAAATTGATGTACACATAATGTATATACAGGACAGTGTAAGTCAAAGTGTACGGCCCGTTTTTTCATGCAGTTTTCCATTTCTGAACTGTGAATTCACAGCATCTAATATACCTCCGTGTGTTTTGTAATCGGATTACTGCGCTGCCACTGGCCGTCCTGGACCGTTACTGCTGCTTGGAGGCGTCCCGGCTCCACAGTGAAAATGTGTTGTTTTCGACTGCAAAGAACAGTGTGGGCTTTCTTCGCTACAAGCCATGCTTTCATTGCCGGCCAACACAGAGGCATAGAATGAAAGCAGAGCAGCTTGTTTGTGGTCTCTCCCCCCTTGATGAGATCACACATGGCGGCGTAGGTAGAACTGGAGCCCTCGCACCGATCTCCCACTGAGTTTCTGAGTCCGCAGCTGACTCCACGCCGGGGCTCTGTGAATTTATTCACACGTCTTAACACAGGGCCCGAATCCCCCGCCGGGGACATTCCAGCCTCAAAGTCGCACCCTTTCGTCTATCTGGACTTATTCGACGGGACTCGACAGGCACTGGTCCGCCAAAGTACTCATTTCTACTCCACTTCTCGGTGCCGAGGTGTGAACATCAATCAATCTGTGTTTTTTATTTTTTATTTTGGACTGCCCCAGACCAAATGACCATTGTCGCTTCATGTCCCGGCCGCCGCGTGCATCCACCGCGATGAGACGGCACATTCCGCTGCCGTCTCCTCCACCCGCTCCACCATCACAGTGTTAATGCGCCGACTCCCTATGTTTATAAAATGGTTTCTTAAAAGCCGCAGCCCCCGCCACTCCCACTACCTCCTATTTCCCTCTCCGACCACTTCCTCCTAATGGCTCTCTCTCCTCCTACGGCGCCCCCCCCCCCGCTCCCCCACCCGGCTGAACATTAGCCCAAACCAGAGTGAGATAAAAGGCAGACATCACGAGTGAAAGAGCAACTTTCCGCTGAGAATGTGGAGAGAGAGAGAGAGAGAGAGAGAGGGAGAGAGGGAGAGAGAGATCCGCGGGCTGTGTGACCCTTCCAGTTACTGCGCTTTGCGTCTGAGAACGTCAGGCGGACCAACGGGGGGAGCTCTTGCCTTATTTGGCTGTGCAGCGCGAGTAATCCCACTGAGGTCACGTACCAGGGTATCGGCTTTTGAGGAACAAGCACAACACTTCCACAGCCAGAACAGTCTGCCGCACATGCTCGGAACAGTCTGCTTCCCACAAGGCCGAAGCAAGGAGCCGTGTGGAATGAAACACCCAAACTTTGCGCCGACATGAAACAAAAGCAGAACAGAGTTATTTTCAGTTTCAGATGCATCAGTCGTGGGCCGATAAGGTGTTGAGATAGCGGTGCTTTCAGGAGTGAAACAAGAAGTGAAATTCTGACTCTGGTTTCAAGGTGCATCACTGCGTCAAAAGAGTTTGGCTCTTTGAATCTCTAACCCTCAATCCCGACTCCTTCGACCCGACCGACACCTCGGCCTGAACTCTCACTCGGTGCTACTGAGGGACCATTGGACGCCCAAAGTTGTGCACACATTTTGTTTTCGTGTGTTTCTCTCAAGAAAATTCCTGCGTTTTTCTCTGGCGCTGCTCCCCTTCAAGGGTCTTCAAGAGGGGACCCTTGACTGTCCGAGTGTGATTTGCGCAAACAGACCCAGATGGGAGTCAGACGGCCACGTTAACCGGAGCTGTCCTCGTCCTGCAAAGGGTGCATGAGATGATTCTTGGCGAGCTACGGTCTCAAGAGGCAGAGGCGACTTCAGCAGTCGGGCGGTGAAATCCGCAAACATGCGAGCCGAGACCCGGGCTGGGTGAAGGGGGGCGGTTTGAAGTGCCGCGGAGATGCAGTATGCTCGCCAGCTGTTGCAGAAACTTTACAATGGTTCAGATTTATTCCTTGGTATTACTGTGAAACGATGTTGGGACAGGTCAGTAGATATTGGAGGAGTATTTCATCTTGGTGATATCGGTTGTTAATGCAGTGAAGGTCTGCTGAGTCCAGCTGCGTATAATGAATTCCGTCAGGTTGTCAGTAGGTATATTACACATTCCACACAAGGCATGCACACGCACGATGGAAAAAACGGCATTAACGTTGAAAACACCTAATAGCAGTGAGGAAAAAATTGAAATCAGGGTGACAGCACTAAGGATGACTCAAAAGCTATGCAGCGGAATCAACAAAACGCATGAATAGACATATTTCTTTCTATTATCCTCATGTCCGACCCATCGTCCCCCCCCCCGCCTGCCTTACTCAACACCGCAAAATAACACCATTAATCTAATGGTGTCACAATGGAATGACTTTTTCTCCTGATCGGCTAGAATTCCACGGGGCAGTCGCGGTAGACTGTGAAAGGTCGGCCTTCACCTGTTTGAAGGCCGAGGGCATCAAGCGCGGATGCATCAGCCTTCTGCCCAAAGCAGCACGTGGCGAATGAGCTGCGCTGTACAGCAGCGAATAAAAATGGTTTTACTTCCCATAATCCCGAGAAACGGATGACGGCTCACGTCTCTCTTGTGTTGTTCTCCTGTTTTTGTATTTTTACATGCATTTGTTTTTGAGGGACACTTTTAATACCTTTTATCCAGACGATGACTGTAGTGATTTTGAAGGATGAGCTGACACGGTCTCATTAAATACACTGTTGTATTTTATTCCGCCGTTCTCACAGGTCTCTGGTGAGAGAATGAACACGGGCTCCAATGTTAATGTTTCACAGCAGTGCTTTTTTTTTTTTTCGGGCCAATCGTTATGCCAGTTGGTTGTAGTTAGAATGACACAAACGGTTCGCTAATGTAGTCTTTATTCTCCAAAGTACACAGTGCTAGTGTGGACACTGAACTGAAACCCATGACAGAACAAATGACTGAACATAACTAAAGACATCTGGATGTGTTGGAAGATGGCCTCCATGCCGACGTTAACTAACGTCCTGTCCCCTTCAGCATAATTAGGGCGGTGTTAGGGAGCTCCTTAGTCATCGCTGACCTTGGATGGAGATTTCCCCTCTTCTTTTTTTTTTTTTTTTTTACTCTCTGCAGCTTTGCTCCGACCTTCAGAGTTGCTCCCAGATCAAATACAAAAGAAACATCTTTGTTCGCTGGCAAAGTGTGAATAGTATACGGAGCTTTTATTTCAACTCAGAGATTTCGTGCATCTTGTGTCGGATGGAGCCTGGATGAATATTCTTTTTTTTTTTCAGCTTTGCAGTTTGCATCACACGCATGCACAAAATAGGGATATTATTAGAAGTCTGGACAATTTGTTTTTTGACTCCTCAGAGGCAGATGTTTGTGATCGGTCCTTGTTAATTGGCCAACTTGCTGCTGTCTTCGATGCGTCCTCTGGAAGTGGGATGCCAGGTGAGGAGGGAGACTGAACGGGTGCTGAAGCCTTGTGTTCTTGCTGCTTCCCCCCCCGTGGAAGACGGACCAGCCTGTGTGGGGCGGAGCATCCAAATGACCCGGCCATTGTTATTTGACGGCCATTCTGGACCCCTGCTCCAATAAGCTTTCTCTAACCACTTAACACAGATAGTCCCCCCTTTCATGTCACTGCTGGGCGGATCCATGCGGGGAAATAGGCTGCACGTGATGCCTCGCTAGCCATTGATGTTTGACGGAAGTCTATTGTGGTATCGGGGGCTTTCTTTCCCCTCTACGTGCGCGCACACACACACACACACGCTGACACGGTTCGACCTCCCTCGCTGCTTACATCTGTTGCCATGGTGACGGGAGGCTCAGAAATGATGGCCCTGAGGCTCGTTAGGGCCAGTTTCAAAAACTGGCGATGCGCGGCCGGTGCCCAAATATTCCTCCTCCCGTCTTCATGGCGGCTCTCAGCCTCCTTTCTTCAGCGGGCTGCGTATCACCTGATGAGCGTGAAGGAAAGCCGCGTGCTGTTTCTCTCAAACCTCTCCTCCCCGACACCGTTATATATTATATTACAATATTCTTTTGCTGTTAGCGGACTCACCCACACTACAGCTGGCATCAAAGCGCTCTTAACTATGACACAAGATCTGCCGGGTTTTAAACTCCACTCGCCGGAGGACACTTCTTCCTGTCCTGCACCTGATTTATTCATGAGGGATTCAAGAAGGAATCTCCTGCGCTGGGTCCATGTGAGTTTTGCATAGCACAGAGTGCAGGGAAGTACCTGGCTTCATCTACTGTCAACCACCTGATATATAGATCTATATATAGATACACCTGTATATGTGCATAAGCATATATATATATATATATATGCTTACTTATATACAAACTTACCAAGGGGGATTTTGGGGGGTGATCAGCCCATGGGCAAACCAACAAACACCTGGCGTTCTGCGGTGGGGGAGGTGTGTGGAGGGGGGGGGGGGGGCTGTTTACACACCTCCTGGCTGAAACAAAACAAAAGGCAGGACACCGTGGGTGACATAATCCGGGTGGCTCTACCTCAAGAATTTACTGCAGCTCTGAGTCATAATTTCACGTCAAACAGCAGTCACTATCGGCTCCTTCTTTTCTTCTATAAATAAAAAACACTGGAACCTTAAGGGAAATTGATTTCCCGTCAGTGTCATATCATATATAAGCATGTTTGTCTTATACAAACCTTTTTTTTTTCCTGAATAGTGAGCTTTTTTTTTTTTCAACCCACACCTAAAGGGATCTTTCTCTGGGCTGATATGACGAGAAAGATGGAAATAAGATGCTTCTACATGAAATGATCTATTGATTTGGGTCCTGTGCCTGTAATGGTTATGTAGGAGGGTTACAGTGTCTTGTGTTGAATTCCAGCAGTGTGTTTAGCCGCTGTGGGGGTTGCTGAGGCAGAACCGTCCTCTAGGTCATACGAGTAGCTAGAAGATTAGACTTGCTAAATTTCAGGGCCATGGGAACGAAAACAAACAAGCAGGATCCGCTTACATTGGTGGTTTTCTCGCTACCCCCCCATCCACGCCAGCACCTTTCTTTTATAAATGTTTGCACGGCGAGATGGGCATTTACCGGGCGCAGCTCGGTTTAGACGTCAGACACGCGGATGAGACACTCGAGTGCCCACAGACACACAGACACACAGACAGACAGACAGACACACAGACAGGTTTGAGTAAGTGGAGAAATGTACCGTCTCTTTGGCCCGTGTGCATTTATAGATTTTCATAAGGCATGAAAAGCCCACGTCCGTCCTGCGGCCCTCGCGGGACACCCTGTCTGAATCCTGGGCCCTGTGACAACATGCACGCCGCACCCGGCCCGGCCTGACTGTGACACTGTGGCCAGCTCCCTTGCTCCATCCACGATGGACGCTCACGTGTTGTTTCCCCGCTGACCTGTGATAATCTGTTGTCAGGAATGTTAAATGACATGTGGCGTGTGGGAACGTAGCTCCACCCCCACCTAGTGGCGGTCGAAACTCGCACAGCAACATCGGGTGGGGAAAGGGTGCAGGACTCTTTTTCTTTTCTTTTTTTTTTTTCCGCTAACGTTTAAGCCTTTTTGTGTGTCTGGTGGACCGTGTTTAGGAGGGGAAGAAGAAATTCGACAAGGAGACGGAGAAATACTACTCCACGCTTGAGAGGCACCTCAGCTTATCATCCAAGAAGAAGGAGGCATATCTGCAGGAGGTAAAAACCCAAACTTCCCCCATCTCCAAACATGTCTCTGAATAATGCGGTTTTATGGATGACTGTCTGCCACTAAAGCCATTTTGTGTGCACAACCCCCCCCCCCCCCCAGAGTCTCCAGGTGGGGATTAACCTTCTTTGTTGCGGCAATAACCCCCACTTTGTTTGCTCATTCTCAGGCTGACACGCAGATTGATAAAGAGAGGCAACTCTTCTATGATGCCTCCCTTGAGTATGTTTTCAAAATACAAGAAGTGCAGGAGAAGAAGAAATTTGAGTTTGTTGAGCCGGTAAGAAAAGTATCAGTGAGTTAGTGCTGAATGTGTACTGAGGCGCCAGTTATTGCTTGGTCTTTTAGTCTAAAACTCTAAAACTAAACATGTAGTTAAAAGATGGGTTGAAAGGTTGTACTTGCCGCTGATGAAAGTGACATTTTAATAGTTCCAGCAGAATGAAACGCCCATCTGCGCCTGCACATTCCACATATTTTCCATCTTCATTAAAATGCTCTGAAATAAAAGTAGAATCCAATTGAAAGGTCAAATTAGATCAGGTGGTTGTTGTCAATCGAAAAGAAGATCCAAGCCTCCGCCTGACAATTCTAACAACTTCAGGCGAGAGGTGACGCGGAAATATGAAGTGATCTCGCTGTTAAATGTCTGGGAATGTGAGAGGGGAGCAGACTGATTTTTTATTTTTTTTTAAATGTAAACCTCCAGCCCATCGCAGTGGCGGCGCAAACATGACAAGACTCAACCTTGCCAGTGATGAATCCCCTGATAAGATGGTTCATCCTTCAACATTTGCTACACGCGGCATCTGAGGAATCAGAAATCAGATGGGATCTGTTTTTTTTTCTTTCCCTCAACTATACTTCCATTCCCCCCCCACACACACGCACACACACACGCAGAGTAGACGCACAATGGATGTTTGTGCGTTATACGTGTATAAAATCAATATCCGCCCTCCATGAAGAACTTTCTGAACATTCCCTGATACGTTATTTTGTCCAAAATAGGTACAATAGGTTTGTTTAGTAAAAATGAATTACATTTCAACTGACAGCATGTGCAGCATCTACATTCAAATTATATTTTTTCTCCTGTCATGCACAGAGTGGCATTGACTCTGATTAACTGATTGACGGCACAGAACTAAAGCAGCTTGTCAACGTTTTAGTCGACAGTATTATAATTAAATCAGGCTTATACAATGAAATCAGCAGCGACTGATTTACCCGTGTTTTACAGAGACTGGATGAAAAGTGTGTGATTGTAGTGGTGATGATTATTTTGGGTGTTCACATTGTACCTTTTTGCTGTCTGAATCAGTAATCAAGCTCTATTCTAATGCTCTAAAACCCCTTTCCATATTGTTCCTCCCCAGCTCCTGGCCTTTCTCCAGGGTTTGTTTACGTTCTACCACGAAGGATACGAGCTGGCTCACGAGTTTGAGCCGTATAAACAGCAGCTCCAGTTCAACCTACAGAACGTGAGTCTCCCGACCCCCCGAGCACGAATGCAGCCAGCCGCCTAATCACATTCCGCGGCTTATCGTACGCCGATATAACAAGCAAGAGTGTTCACAAATGGAGAGACGCGCGATTAAATGAGGCGCTGCGCCTCACTGGGGATCAATATTTTCAGTGTTGTATTGCAGGCAGTTACTGCAGGCCAGTTAATCCAGAAAAAAAAAAACTACAGCTGCTGCCGTGCCCTCTCCTTTCCATCACTATGACCTCTCCACTCGCAGCCTGAGGGCTCAAATTTTCTCTCTGACCCAGAATGTCAGCATTGTTGCCCTAACAAATACCCCCTCCCTCGACCCCCCCCCTCCGTGCGCTCAGAGGGCTCCAATGGGAGCTGGACAAGGTGAGCGTCTCTCTCCGGTAGTGGAAATGAGACCCGAGCCTCACACTGACCCACCTTTTTGAATCAACGATTGAGTCGGTTGAGTTGTTTTTCCTCCGATATCAATACAGTAAATTTGAATCCGCACAAGTGCGATGCATTCATCAACAGTTGACTTGTTTTGCTTTGTTGGTTTCACTCAGGGGCAAAGTGAGGGTACTTGAGATGAGAAACTGCAGGGGAAAATAAATGAAGTCGCACAAGACTTCCCCTGCTAATGCAATTACGATCCAATCCTCCGCAGACCCGAAACAACTTTGTGAGCACTAAGCAGGAAGTGGAGAAGCTGATGAAGAGGATAAGGTCAGCAGACCAGGACTACAAACCCCCGGGCCAGTGGACGATGGAAGGCTTCCTGTATGTCCAGGAGAAACGTGAGCCTCCCCCCCTTCCCCCCTTCCTCTCTCCCCCCTCCGCCCCTAAACTCAATTATGAGTGCATGGTTATACATCCATCACCATAAACATGTCTGGGGCTTTCCCAGGCCGCTACAACGGAGACCCTCTCACACAGTGCTCATAATTCACCCTGCTTCCCGATTCACTCTGATGTGCTCTCGCACACAAGGGGGGAAGCGGGGGAGGGAGGGAGGAAGGGGAGATAGGGGTTTTTATCAGCAGTGATAAACAACATTTGATTCATCACACTTTAATTGCAAATTGATTTTCAGAAGTCTTTCCAGAAGCCTGTGGTTCACAGAGAAAGACTCTGTCTCACGCCCTCGCGTGTGCGTGTTTCCGTCCCAGGTCCCCTGGGGTGCACCTGGACGCGCCACTACTGCACCTACGAGAAGGGAGGCAAGACCTTCTCCATGAGCAGCGCTGAGACAAAAGCCACCGCAAAACAGGTAGTTTAGTTTACTGTTTCTGTTCAGTCTGATAGTCATCTTCATGGGCAGAAGAGCCCTTATACGGATGTCTCTCCCCCCGAAAACCAAAGATTTGTTTACGCAAGGTGGACAAAAATGGTCAAATAATAAAAGGGGACTTAGGGAATCAACATGACCTCATTACAGAAAATGAGGGTGTCTTGTCTTTGTACACAATCAAATGAACGCATTTGCTCTGTTTACAATAATCTACTTAAAGACTATGTCATTGTGTAATAGATCACTGCCACCAAGAGTCTGGACTCTCTTATTCTGTTTGCATAAGTGCGTAAAGGATGAGCGCATTCAAGTGTATATTTATTTATTGATGTATGGTATGTTTGTTTTGTAGAACGGTCTTGTCCTCAACCAGCCGGAGATGTTCAAGCTCAAGTCCTGCATTCGGAGGAAAACGGACTCCATCGACAAGCGTTTCTGCTTCGATATTGAAGTGGTGGAGAGGTCTGTGATAGTTTGGATTCGTAGAAGTTTTCACGACAATGTCCCGCCACCTACATGAACCGAAAGCATGCAGAAAACATGTTATTCCCACCACGACGAGCACGTCAACATCCCTCCGTGTAGAGTAGAAAACGGATCAGCATGCTGGTGGCATACAGGACGGTATTTACTGTGGCATTGCTTTAGTAAGTCAACATTTTGAACTTTTTGTGTCCAACTGATTAAGAGAGACAACCATTTATGATATTAGCCCAGTATTGTAGATGGCAGTGCCATTTACGACAATTACCATCCCACCTCCCAAGCGCACACGCGTCAGCTCGGCGGTACAGCGCTCGCCCTCAATGCCACTTTCCAAATATTTGGTAAAAATATGGTAGAGAAATAACAATGCTTTTATATGTAACTGTCTTATCAAAGCAGACCTCCTCCCCCTGGAAACAGAATGTGTGTGTTTGTGTGTGTCTGTTTACAACTAACCTATTTGAAGATCTAGGCAGTGCATGTGGAGATTTGTTGTTCTAATGCATTTTGTGTCCTATTGAACGCGATTCATATACTGGCAATCAACCTAGATTACCATGAGAGCACTCATGAGTTGCAAAAGCCGTTCAGGTTTGATTAACATCTTCAGAGAGTCCCTGTTTACCAGATGTTTTCAGCTCTGTTTGTCTCCTGCACGCCCCTCAAGTCCCCTCCTTCCCAGGCTCCTGTTTGATTTGATATTTACCCAGTCCCGTCTTTTCTCTGTGTTCGTGTCAACGTAGAAATGACATCTATCGTGGAACTCTTTTCAGGCCGCTTCAGTTTTTCTGTAAAGTCCGGTATGTGAACCAGTGCTGCCCTCTCAGAGCAGTTGCATGCGCTGCATGTGTGCTGCCATTCGGTGTCACCCGCTCAATCTTTAATCCAAACCCTCGGATGAAACACCGCCGTCTTCTCGGCGCTTCACAAAATCACTTTAAGGACACAGACCTTCTCGGGTCTTAACTGATTTCTATTTGCCTGCAATTGCTCAAATAACACATTGATTTATGTCATCTGGGGAAAATGGATCATTACGCCCCTCTTAAGAAGTTTGGAATCTTTTAGCTGTGTGAGAACACTCACAAGTGATTTGTTTTTAACGGGCTCCTTGGGGGGATGGGATAAGGGTTCGGCCAATGATCGAACGCCCTTCGGGAGAAAGATGAACAGCGGCCCGGATTGATTGAGTTGTGAGAGCTCGGAATGAGCTCATCATCGGGATGTGTGCTCCAGAATATAGAGCTATACCTCATCACCGAGCGTTATTGTTGCACAGCGCCAGGAGGGCCGGCCCCGCCCACCCCCCCCCTCCCGGATGTGGTGTTGCTGAACATGGGCCATAACTGCAGTTTATTTGCAGGACGACTCATTTGTCATAAACGGGGCGATGCCCCCGAGGTGCTTGTTTCCAAACCACAAGGACAAAGTGGGCCGAGCTCCAGTCGGCTTCAAGCTCATCCATTCTTCCTCATTACAATAAACATGCTGTTTGCGCTTACAGGCAGATTCTGGCAAACCCCGCCAGAAACCGATCTTTAAAGGGTTATTTCACACAAATGAATCAATTAGTCAGCCATGCAAATGGTTTCATTTTATATTTTTCGCAGATTTACGCAATGAATAGATTTCGTCTGTGGTGTCTCACGACAATGAAAAACATGTAATTAAATGTATCCAGCATTTAATTAATTCATCTAGAAAGATCATCCCCAGTTCACCACACACAACTCACAGTGGAGGGGCGGGTGTGGGTGTGGGGGGGGGGGGGGGGGTCAATCTTGTGAGCCTCAGAACCGTATTCCAGCCAGGGACGCGTCACTGTCCAAGAAATATATCTCAATACTTGGTTAATGCCAAACTACCTGCATGGCGAGATGCCACTGGAGGTCGCCCCCCCCTCCCCCCCACCGAACACATGCAGCGTGACATGGCTCCACCGCTAGTACTAACTCTCACTACCGGGTGGGGTTTGTTTTTTGTTTGCCACTGTCAACAATAGATGATGCTAGCGGTGCTTTGTATGGACTGCAGGTAAGGCTCAGCTTCCAGCTGTGTGTCACATGAGTGAGGTGAGGAATAAACGTTAGGGTGTCTGCATGCTGGGTGCCAAAAAACAATCAAAACAAATCACTCTAATCCGAAGCACATGTAGCGGTTTTCTGGGAGTGGAATGCCATGCACCGAGCCAAGCGAGGCCACAGTTGGAAGTCAAGCATTTGCGCACAAGCTATTTTAGTCGCACTAGTCCTTTTATAGTGGTCTCGGGCCAATGTAAACAAGTCTGTACAGGGGCCCCCGAGGCATGGAGATCAGACTGAGAGCAGCTTTTCTCTCTGAAATCCTTCCAGGCACGGCGTCATGACACTGCAGGCCCTCTCGGAGCCCAACAGAAGACTGTGGCTGGAGGCCATGGACGGCAAGGAGCCGGTGAGGAACTCCGCCTGTTTGTCTTTGAAGGGTTCATGGTGAGGAGGGCTGGCACCCTCGTCTGGACGTCTCAGGTTCCGTCCTTTTCCGAGGAGCCATGACCTCACCGTGCACTTGCTGATGATTTGTAATTTGTAATAATGGGACGGTCCGCCTGTGTTCTTTCAGGGATTGTTTTTTAATTTGAACATAATGATTGTGTGCACTTTCTCTAGATTTACAACCTGCCAGCCATATTGAACAAAAAGGAAGAAAGTGAGTGTGTATTCTTTATTTGCACGTGTTTATTTCCAATTCTTTTTCATCATTGAAATTCTTAGATTTAGCTTTCTAAGACTTTGAATGTTAAAAAAAAAAGCAAACAACAGCACGCACATATCAAATACGTTGTTGCATACAGCCTTCTCCATTCATTAACACAGTCACTTGACACACACCCACACAGCTGACATGGCGGAGCCTTTCTGCACGAGGGCTGCGCGTTATTAGTCAGAGCACAAGCGTTGCGGGGAGACGTTATGTTATTCCCACACGATGCCTGCTTAACCCAGACGCTAATTGAAGCACCAACCATATTCCTGTGTTGTATTACAGCATTTCTTAATGAGGCGGGCTTTAACTTTGTGAGGAAATGCATCGACCTGGTGGAGATTAGAGGTGAGGCATTTTAATCTCACAGCTTTCATCTGTCACCTGAATATGAATATGAATATCAATGCGCTCGGTTCATTAGTAGACATGACGACGCGTTGCATTTGCATAAGTCTTAACTAAACAGAAAAACGTGAAATTTCTCTGTCATTGCCACGCAGGAATAAACACAATGGGACTGTACAGAATTGGAGGGGTCAACTCCAAAGTACAGAAGCTGCTGACCACGGTCTTTTGTAAGTAGTCCTAAAATCTGAAAATAACTTTCACAATAATGTTCACAAGCTCAGCAGAATAGAAACGACTAATGTGCTCTGTGCTCCAAGGGGCTCCAGCCAAACAGTTGAATATTATTAGTCATTTGTATGCAGTATTAAGTTACATTCTTACATGTCACATGGCGAAACCGACTGAATAGATAATTCTGTCATTTTTCCAAATGCCCGTTTGACCATCATGTCTCTGTGTAGCTAACGAAGCCTCCGCGTATGAACGCCTTTGTTTTTCTTTTGTCCATTTCAATATGAATGTGGAGCCTGAGGAAACCCAGGGTGAGCAAAGAGGTCCTCCTAGTGGTGTGATAGTGTAACAGCCTCCCTGGTCCCACAATGCTCTGTCATTACCTTATTAGATGATCCAGGGTGATCCTGTTTGCATGTGCATGTGAACAGGAAACGTGCACTCACTTCCGATCGTCCTCCCTGGTCTCCCCTCACTAGAAGACAGACAGTGTTTTTATTGTCAGGGTTGTGTCTTTCTATATGTTTTTTTTTTCTCCATGAAATCTACAGCTTAGGGGCAAAGGGGTAAAAATAAAATGTGTTTCCAACAGCATCCAGGGCGCCCGTTGATATCGACCTGGATCCAGACACGTGGGACAACAAAACTATCACCAGCGGCCTGAAGACTTACCTCAGGTTAGCTCGCCCCGCCAGGCTGCGCGTCTTTAGCTTTCAGGAATAATCGTTATCTCCATAACAGCTCGCTGAAGGCTCCCCGGAGTTGGTCACGCATTCTGCGCTGCCGCTGACTCACAAAGGGAGGGGGCTGCATTCAAAAGACCCGCGTCACTCAGGAAATAAATGGCAACTCTTCCCTTCTTTATTCACCAGGTGTCTCTCTGAGCCTCTAATGACCTTCAAGCTGCACAAGGATTTTATCCTGGCTGTCAGTAAGTTATGCAAAGTTACTAAGAGGGTTGTATGTGGGGTTTGGGTTTAGTTAGTTACATACAAAACAATCCGTGAAGTACATATACAAACTAATGTGGATATGCATTTCACCATTTACCGTTTAATTATCACGCATGGAAGAGAGAATCCAGATGCAGATTTAAGACATGTTCTGTTGGATGTTTGATCCATTATGGGTTGATTGTATTTGTGCCATTTGATAGCCTATTTGGAAAATTCAGTATTTTAACATTTATTCGATTCAGATTGAATTGTCATTGACATTGTAAATGTGTATCTGACCTTTTTTTTAAGGGAGATTGAAACCTGTGTGTCAAATGTATTTGTTTAGAAAGAGTTGGCTTTTGTAGGTGCAACACCCGGGTCCAGGCAGCCGAACATGAAACGAGCAGATTCAACCAATTTTAAAAAATGGCTCCATGCCAAAAGCGTCTAAAAGCTCTCTTAAATTGTTTAAAATTTCTACATCTCCGGATACGGTGTGTCGAGTTGAATCTGAATTTGAAGAGCAAAATTTGACTTTGACTTTAAAAGTGTCATCAAATCTATTAAATCTGTTTAAAGATGATACAAAGCTGCATTCTTAGTGGCCGCGTATTCTTCTGACAAAACGTTTACACAATCTAATTCCCTGTGTCTCCGATCGCTGCACCACCTGCTCATTCTGTATGCGTATTTCCTCTCCTCAGAGTCAGACGACCAGAACTACAGGGTGTGTGCCGTCCACGCTCTGGTTCATAAGCTGCCCGACAGGAACAAGGAAATGCTGGAGCTGCTTATCAAGCACCTCGTCACGTACGTCTTCCTTTGATGAATCTGTTACTCTGCAGCCTTTTGAAAAGAAAAAGAAAAAAACAGCTCTGTGAAAGAAGATGAAAATTGCTGAGACGGATTGAATTGTCCTCACAGTTTCGGGTCCAGCCTAATGCGTTCGTAGGTGTTTCTGATACTGTCTGATAGATGGTAAAGAGGGAATCTGCCACCACTTAGTGAGGACGTGTCATTATCACGACAGAAGGGCCTCTTAGAGCCTTTGTCCTCTACCTGCAGAGTTTCCACACAAAGCCAGTCCAACCTGATGACCGTGTCCAACCTGGGCGTCATCTTTGGGCCCACCCTGATGCGCTCCCAGGAGGAAACCGTGGCCGCCATGATGAACATCAAGTTTCAGAACATTGTGATGGAAATACTCATCGAGAACTTCAGCAAGGTGAGTTGACCTCTGGTGTGCAATTCAACACATTATGGAGACAATTAAATGTGAGTGCCAGTCTGAACTGGTGGGGAATTCACGGATTGCCCGGTAACCAGTGCTCCTTTCTGGACCTCCAGATCTTCCATCAGCCCCCGGACCCCAACGTGCCGCTGCCCCAGCCCCAGAGCCAGCCCGGCTCCCGCAGGAGCAGGGCCATCTGTCTGTCCACGGGGCCCCGGAAGCCGCGCAGCCTCTACACTCCAGCGCTGTGCCTGGCGGATGCAGAAAGTGAGCAACATGAATGAATGTTGACCACATGACATTTTGGTGACGGCCGCACACAGCGTCTCAGCACGCCGTCTGAAAGCTTGACCTCCGTGTGGTTGCCCGCCGGATTAACAGTATCTCTTTGAGCCACCGAGCCCCCCCCCCCCCCCGTCGATCACGCAACAAGTTTTAATGAAAGGTTCGTGTGCGTCCCTCTCTGGTTCCTGCATAGGTGACACTTTTAGCAGCAGTCCAAGCAGCACCCCCCCGGGCAGCATGGAATCCCTTGTCTCCCACTCCTCCCAACAGAAAAGCTCCTCCCAGACGGGCTGCTTCGCCGCGCTCAAGGACAAAGGGCTGTCCGGAACTCCGGGCGAAGCCCGCGCGGCTCCCCCCCGTCGGCGTGGCGTGGGTCAGCAGCCCGGAGTCCAGCTCCAGGGAGGACGCCGGGCGCACCGACGGGGAGTCGGAGGACGCCCTCAGCCTGTCCTCGCCGAGCACGCCGCCCGGGATGTCCCTCGCCCCCAAAAAAGCCCCGCACCGCCACATGGACCTCAGGCCGGCGTCTCTGATCCGCTCCGCCGGGCCCTCCCTGTTATCGCTGCACATACCTGAAGGTAGGACGATGGTCACGTCCTGCAGGGCGTTGCTTTTGTTCCCCGCGCGGCAGTGAAGCGGAGAGACGCCTCCGGCAGGCTGTCACTCTCGTGGACTAGCCACATTGTCATTAGTTATTCCCGCGGGACTCCCGACTGACAGCATTCCCCTTGCCTTCAGCTCACTTCAGACGGCAGTGGGAAAATATCATTTGCATGACTGATTTCAGTGACATTCATTACGGGAGCTGTTTTTTTTTTTTCTTCCCATGTATCAAACTTTTATCTCTTTGTGTCATTGAGCAGGAGACTTATTACTTGTTTTTTTCCCCCCTCAAGGCCACCGAAGCTGCAGCGGATCTGTCCAAAGTCTGTCAACACTGGAGCCCGACGAGGGTTTGAAGCCCTCGCAGCACCCGGACCTTCCACCGAAGCGGGGGACCCGCTGCAGGGAGGACGCCTCCGTCAGCAACGGCTACCAAAGGCCCGGCTCCGTGTAATGGCTTTGAGTCGCTTATCACTTCAGCTCATTAGAACCGAACCCTTACTGCCGTGCGATCCATAAAATCTTATTTTGTGGACGTTTCATCCAGTATTACTCACCTACAAAACAGTGCTGAGTCGATTAGATGAATAATTGATGAGGCAATTGTCAGAATATCTACAACTAGTCTGATTGATTTTCTTTTATTTATTTATTTATTTATTTTAGGTTATTATAATTCTAGTATATTCTGTACTGTTTGTCTGAGAAAACAGGCTCCAGGAATATGCAGTGAGCATGTTTCACTATTTTCTTCAATCAGCTGATCATGAAAGCAATTGTTGGTTTCAGTCCACTTCAGCCTCTGGTAGTTCATATTGTCACATTCTGTCCGTGTGTAGCTTCATATCCCTCCCATCAGTTCTTACAGCTGGTGTGCAATAGTTCGTCAGTATTTCTCTCTGTCTCATCGCGTCACCCTGTCTCTCCCTTTCTCTCCCTTTCTCCCCCCCTCTGAGTCGTCAACCTCCTCCTCCGTCTGTTTATGAGCGTTGAGCATTGAGAGGTCTCTGGGATCAGATGAATGTGTGTCCTGAGATTTATGTCTTTTCCTCTCTGGTGGGAGAGCTGGCTTTAATTACGCTGCGCCTGCTGCGGGGGTTGATGTGACCCAGCAGCAGTCTGCACTCCTTCTCCCGGGACAAATAGATTGTTTGACTTGTCGTGTCTCGGATGCGAGTCGTCCCTCGTCTCTCAAGTGGTTTCCATACGTACGCCCCGCCGCTCGCCCCCGGGGCTCCGCTGTCCCCTCGACTCCAAGGTTGTGGCGCGGTGGGGTCAACTGTTGCCTCGTTACAGGGTTGAAACTCAATAACGCAGCGCGCCGGAGCTGGGTCGGGCCGCAAGGAAGGAAATCTCCCGTATTGTGGCGGAACACGTTTCACCTCAATTTCACAAACAATGAGGAATGTTGACAGCGCCCCGACATAATTTGACAGACTTGTTTTTCTTAGATTTGGATTTTCTTCCCATGGCCGAATTGCATTTTATAGATGATGATATATCTAAATAGATGACACCGCCACCATTTCACCTACTCTGATGATCTGATCACAGGGTTCATCTGCATTCACCAAATTAAATGTATAATTTACCCTGAATACAATCGAGTGGACTGAACTCTCCCATGTTGTTCCAGGGTCGCTGCCAGAGCACTGCTTTTTGAGACGGCCTCCTCGCCGCAGTCCGTTCCCGTCGGCCGGTACGGACACCGACACTTTTACACCACCTCCATTCCGCTCTCAACTCTTCAACTCTCATCTTCTTTCTGTTTTCTTTTCCTGTGGTCTGTTACAGGGACGCCAAGGCGATGTATTCCTGCGAGGCCGAGCACAGCCACGAGCTCAGCTTCCCGCAGGGGGCGCACTTCACAAACGGTAAGCGGGGGCTGAGATGTGCTCGGGGATGAGAGGCCCACCAAGGCCCACCAGCCTCCTTCTGTGGGGCTGGTGGGCCACTTGGACAGTCCGTCTGGGTTGTCCTGGCAGCACACAGCAAGGACTTGGCTCACTCGCTGTGTTTGGCCGTGGAATGAAATCCCCCATATGCGCTGCTGAAGTACAAACAGCCCCAGGATTTTTTATTTTTTTTATTGCTTCTTGCAGTTTCCACTAGGAGATTACTTGGCCCACAACCAGCGCAGGCAGGTCACTGTAACCTAGGGATGGAAGGAGCAGGGGCCTGTTCCCTGTTAACACAGGCAGCAGAGCCAAACGCCAAAGACGTCAACAAGCGCTCCCCGCCGCTTACCAGCAGCCGGAGTGCTTTTAGTGCTGTCAGCATTAACCGGACAGTTTTTCCTCCACATCCTTGTGCAGCTTATCTGGCAGGTTGTTTTAGCAGATCATTTTTCAAGCTGTACCTCCTCACTGCGGTGTATCTGAGCAACAATTAACCTTGATGTTTTTATGGCTTATAATGTGTGATTAAGCCGGGGCAATTCCTGTTTTTGTGCTTTGCTGAAATACTCCTTAGGGACTGAATTCAAAGAGCAGGCTGACCCAGAGCCATGTTCATTTATTCTGCCCAATAGCATCTTTTTCTTTCTCTTTTGCCTCGATTCATTAAGTCTGGGAAATAGTGTGACCAAATGCGGGATCAGCGGTTCTATTCAGACGAAGAGCCTGCTCGCAGCTTCTCTTTAAATTCAGTGTTTTCTCTCTTTGTGTCCTGTAGTCTACCCGTCTGTGGAACCCGGCTGGCTCCAAGCAACATACGAGGGGAGAACCGGTCTAATCCCCGAGAATTATGTTGTCTTCCTCTAACAAGCTGGTAAACATGTCATCTTTTTCATGGTATCCATGGAAAAAAAAGAAAAAGGACAATGCACAGTGTGGCTAATTGTTGTAATGTCTCTATTATTGCAGGTAACTAACGTGTCTGCAGTCTATCAAGCAGGGCAGTGATGCTTTAGCTTTAACACAGCTAGAAATTCAAAAAATGCGCGTCCCTTGCGGCAATGGCTTCAGAGATTCACAGATGCAGAAGAAATAGTTGTTTTTAGATGAATATATATTACCCGTCGAATGCACTGTTTTTAATCCCAGTATTATCCTCCAGAACCACGAAACAGTCACAATCAATTTCACAAGTTTTATTCTCAGAAATATATTATCTTTTAACTTTCCCACTGTATCGACAGAACACTTTCCTTTAATCAATGGAAGTCTGCAGATCCATAAACATTCTCCAGTTGCTGCAATTGAAACAAACTGTGATTTGACATATCGATACTAATCTGGTCTATTAGAACCTAATAGAAAAAGCAGAATGGGTTTGCACCTTAACCTTCATGTTTGTGGCAGGTGATCATTGTTCATCCACTGAAGCTGCTCACTGCTGCAGTGCACTTTCTGGTCAGCAACACGGCACTGTACTGTACATTCATCCTCATGAGTCCTTCTGCAGATGCTAATCAAAATATTCACTTTGTTTAACTGTTTATTACTATAAATTATCACATCAAATATATGTGTAAAAATGTGTTGTTTTTTTGTTGTCATGGAGTTGAATGACCCGTGTGGTACTGTACTCATCGGTACACTGTTGTACCAGTAATGATAACAAGACATGTTTCAGATTATATTATGTTAACGATACCATGTGATATTTCAATTTTATATAAAGTCACAACATTTCCTAACTACAAGGTCAATGATTATTGAATAAAGGTAACTTTTTAACAGTGATACTATTTCAGAAATAAAGAAGTAAGAAAATAATCATCAACACTTTTGCTCTTCAGTTATTACAAACTGAAAATGTATTTCAAAGAAAGACCAAAAATGTTTTCGGGTAAACTGTTTGAAATCTTGCATGTGCAAAGATCAGGATGTTCTTTTCCCATTTACATTTTTAAGAGTGCGAGGCGACCTTGAGCATTCATAATGGAATAAAACTCCCTTACACTCTGAATTGGCAGGGGAAGTGGTATTAATATCTTAAATATGTAACTTTTGGCATTCCTTTTTTTATATATGGCAAGCTTGTTTCCTTGCCTTCATCTACTGTACCCTGACAGTGCATCAACATGTCTATAAATAAACAGTGTGATTTATTGGACCTGTGTTCCTAATTCTTTCTGACAGTTTGTGGGTTTCAGAGACTCAGTTTAACATTTAAAAAAGGCAGAACAGTGGAAAAAACGTTTATGAATTACTGCACTTTCCCCAAATCTCTTGTTCTAAAAGTTTTTTAACAAATATTTCCCCAGTGTCTTCCCCCCTCAAGTTGGTACAGTGAGTCTCCCTAATATCCCCAACTTCATTAGTGGCTGGTTTCAGTGTCTCCTGAATAAAATGTTGGGGAGGCAGTTGATTATTTGACATTTTTGTCCACGATCATTTCTTTGCTTCAGTACAAAAATATGATTTAGTTGTTCTTAAAACCTACTTGTATCAGCTATTTTAAACCCAAACTATAGGAGGGGACCCGTTGGACACACCGGAATGAAACCGCGGAGCTTCATTATTAGGCACTTCTAAATCTATAATATAGCTCCGTACTGAAAACATATTTTTGAGGAATGTGTTTTTTCATTCCGTTTCACAGTTACAGACCCTCAAAGGCAATTGGTGAAAGCATAGATGACCGACTACAATAGTTAAAGGCCATAAATAATATAGTAATTGTGGGGGGCGAAAAATCCAATCACCATCATCTGTGCTGGCTTGTGTTCACTTGGTGTGGAACACCAGGGGCTTCACCATCCCTGCCAGGACTTTGGGGAGCTGGGAGGCAATGACCTCTGACATCATCTCTGGAAACTCCACCCTCATGGCGTCCGCCTGGATGAAAGTGCTCAGACAGAACAGGTTGACCTTTTTCACTATCTGTCAGAGGGGGAAAAAATGAGAACTTATTAAAGTAGCAATTAGATCACAAAGAGGGTCAATGCCGGAGTGTGTGGGGGGGGTGGGGGGGGGGGCGTACATCGTGCATGGCGTCCATCAGTTTGGTGAGGTGGTAGAAGCGCTGTGAGCTCGCCACCAAGCCCTTCTCCCTCATGTGGATGGCTTTGGTCAACTCCCGGATGTAGTTCTGTCTCATGTCTTCGAATGCTGCCTGGCTTTTGAGTCCCTCGAGAGGCACTGAAAACAGAACAGGCTTCTAGATCAAAACTTTTTATTTATTATGGACTTTAACAAATTAGACTCCAGAAACACTATGTCAACAATGGCCGTTTTAAAGGCAACCGGCTGCATTTAAAAACAAAGATTTCCAGTCGTTCTATCACAAGGGAATGATGGCAGCTGCTACATGTGTGTGTGTGTGTGTGTGTGTGTGTGCGTGTGTGCGTGTGTGTATGTGTGAGTGTGGTTAATTAAGAACAAGAAAGTACAAAGCACAAGCACAAAGTGAAAACTGAGTCATCCGTAATGTGCAGCAGGAAGCCTTCTGACTTTTACCAGTGTTGAGTAATATTATGGCTTTCATGCAGAGAAATTCCTCGCGGGTCACTTGGAGATTGGCAAACTCTTGGGGGATAAACTGTATTGCCAGGCACAGGTCGTAAATCGGAGATCTCCTCATTTGCTCCCTGACGGAAGAAAAATACACAAATGTTTCTGAAGATTACAGAGCCTCCTTTTCATCCTTCATCGCTGATTTGTCAAAGCACAACTAACTATAAAAACCTCAGAATTACTTGATGATAGATAATGATGATAACGGTCACTTACTGACTGAGAACCAGATCAGGGGCGAAGTATAAATATTCGCTGGTGACGTTTTGAAAGGAGCGCCACCCGAGAGAGAACACCATCAGGTTCATCCACGAGTACTGGATGAGGGTCATCTGATCGGTGATGTGAAGATTGCGAAAACCTGAGGAGAAGAACATCTCTTTTTTCATCTCTTTTCATTCATATTCTTTCATAATAGATGCAACCTCTCATAACATCTGTTCACCATTGGCGCTTGGCCTATATGGACTTGGACCAATGCTTTTTTTTATATACCGCATGGAATAACCAATCATTTGGGCGTTCCATCCCAGCCAGCGTTTAAGGCTGAGACTTTCGGGCGAGTGCCGCCCGGGGGATCTCCATGGCGACGGCCGTGCTGACCCGGACGCCGAGAGCCGTTACCTGGCAGGGACTTGGACCACTTGACGATCCACAGCAGCTGCTTCTCACACAGCCTGTTGAGGCTGTTGAGCAGAATGTGCGGGCCCTCGGACTGGCTGCTGTCGTAGCCCGAGTACACGGTCTCCGGTTCGATGTTCTCCAGGATGTTGAGGATCTGCTGGGAGAGTTGCACCTCGCAGATGCCCGGAATGCAAGACATGGAGGTCAAGGCCTGGTTGTCGCTGGACATGGCCAGGTGGGACTGGAACATCATGGAAGGGGGGAAACCCAACGCTTTCAAGGCCCCGAAGCGCTTCAGCTTCCTGCCTGTGACATGAGAGCACGGCTCGGTTAGATGGGATGATAACAAATCACAGAGCTCTCTCCGTCAATGCTGCGTCAAACCCCAACCGCCGAGAGGATCCTGTTTGAGTCATTGTGTTCTTTCTTTCTCGGATGCTGCCCGTGAACAGTTGGTGCTACACAACCAGTTTCATTTCTACCTTTGGGGCGCATTAGCTGCATGCGGAAAAAGCAAACCGACCAAATGGTTACCTCCGAGCATCATTCCAGCTTGGTAGCACTTTCGAAGGCGGCACGCGGGGCAATTTTTCCGTCGAATCTTGTCCACAATGCAGTCATTTCGCCCAGCGCAGAGATAGCTGTGATGACCTGTTGAGCGGGAGAAAAAAGGGAACAGACAAAACACCTGACTTGATGTTCAAATAATGATCGTACGGGGGATGTAAATGACGGAAGGGTAGGGGGGAGTGTTGAAGGGCTCTTCACTATTAATAAAGCCACTCCATGCACACAGGCAGCGTTCTGAGGAGGCATCTGAAGAAGAGAATTAGATAAAAGTGTGAGGACACAGTGACACGGCCGTGGTGAGACATGGTGGCTCGTCTCTATCTCGCAGTCGGAGATAACGAGAAAAACAAGTCCAAGATGAAGAACACAGTGAGCGCTGTCCAATGTGATACTGTTGATACTAATGACCTTTTAACAACCAGCATAGAAGGTCACTCACATTTCATGTGATACGACATCCACTGTAAAAGGGCAACGGCTGACATAAGAGATTTATGACAGTGTGTTTTATTTATTCCTTCTTATCTTTCATTTTGTTTTTTGGGGCACAATTTCCACTGATCAATCGAGAGGAAAAGTCATGGTAGAAGACACATTTTCATTTGCAGGCACCTTTATATTTAAGTCGTCTAGTATATTATGTAACAGTGGGAACGAAACACATGCATCGACACGGGCACGAGAAATAAGTGAACTGTGAATTGGAACAGGCAAATGGAAGAACAAAAGGACAGCTTGATCAGCTCTCACTGGACAGATGTTAAAATGTATCTTGAAATAAAACTATGTTCTGGAGGGAAAAAGCAGTTAAACTGTCTGCTGCAGCTGATGAGTTTAGTCCCTCTCATAACAATCCAAAAACGTGGCATGAACAATTTTGGCGGAACGCTAGTACAAATAAAAAAATCAAAGAGAACTATAATAATTTAGTAAGTACAACAAAACTATTTTAAAATGATTTAGTAGATTGAACAGGACATATCCGGAAGGTGGCTTTCTTCGCTCACCTTCAACTGCTCGCTTGAAAAAGACTTTGCAGCTGCCGCAGGTCAAGACTCCGTAGTGGCAACCGGACGCCTCGTCCCCACAGATCACACACAGCCGCTGAGGTGGCATACTGAGAAATAAGAAATATAGATTACTGTACATTGAATAGGTCATAACGGGTAGATCATCAGAGTGCGATCCTCATTGGATGTAAGGCTTTAATGAAGCTACAGTGAAATTAATGATTTTAAAGTGATGGATGTGACTCAGAGTTTAGAGAACAAGAGATGCTCCAAACGTTTATGGGACTTTTTGCTGTCTCAAGGTGACAGAACTGATCTATTAACTCTCCTTTGTGTTTTCAATAGAGACAGTTCAGACAAAGAGTTCTGGGAGATGAAGATGACACATAGTCAGACGGAAGTTTGGTTTGTTCCACTTTCTTTTACTCAGAAGTAGGCAGACTGCAGTATTTTCTATTATGGTTCAATCTCATTTAGCCCACAGTTCCAAACGAACTCCACAGCTGACCAGATGTTGGTTGGAACATCACGGAAGGAGGTTATTACCCGGGGAATGCGGAGAAAGGTGCCGGGTTCCTGTGCGTCATGGCCTGGTTCTGGATCCCGTCGTAGCCGCCGTGCGTGAACAGGTCCTCGGTCACCCCCGCGGACTGACACCAGTACTGCGGCTCGGCCGGAGCCGTCTGCGCCGGCCAACGGGGGACTTCGCCCTTGTACACCGTCAGCTGCTGGCCCATGTTCGCGTCGGCCTCAAAGTTCATGACGGCCTTCCCGGACGAGCCGGACCTGGAGTTGGTCCTCACCTGTCCGAGCGCCGGCAGCTGCTCCGACTGGTTCGGGTCCACCAGGAAGTTCGGAGATCCCTCCAGCCCCGCCCGAGGACCCACCGCGCCCGGCGCGAAGCCCGACGACTCCCCGTCGCTCAGCACCATCTTCCCGTCGCCGTCGCAGCGGGTGTCCAGGGCGGGCATCTCCGACGCCGGATCGAAGCTGGGACAGGGGGACTCCATAATCACAGAGGGCTCCTTCTCGTCTTTGATGAACTTGAAAGCCGCTATCGACGAGGAGAGGCTCAAACTTGCGCTCGGCAAACTTTCGGAGGTGGCCGCGTTCATCCTCCGAACTCTCGCGAAATCCTCCCACGGCACTCCGTCACACTTCAGGTATTCACCACCTCCGCCGCGGTCGTAGAACTGTTTTACCCCGGGTGGGGCATCCTGCATCGCGAAGTCTTTGAAAGCGGGCCCGTCGCCGCCGCTCGTACTCACACCGTGGAACAGCGGGCCGACGTTTCCAAAATGACGCGCGGTTGAGGACATGCAGGTCAGAGGCTGCGACTCGTTGGATAATTTAGCATTAATGAAACTCGCTTCGATCAAGCCGCTTACTCTCGTCTCGGCGGAGTCGGCCATCGAGGAGGTGCTGATGATGGTGCTCATTTTATTCTCCATATTCTGAGCGGCGGAGTGCGCAACGGAGAGTGCGGTGCGCCCGGAGGTTGGGCGCCGTGTGATGAGCTGGTGCGCGCGGAGTCTTTCCTGTATCCTCCTCCCCGTCGACAAAAGGCTGTGGCTTCGTCTCCTTTTCACATGCGAGGATGTTCAGGAGAACTGAGAAAAGTTTTTTTTAGCCTGTGTGTTTTGGGCTTTAGGGTTTAAAATGACGCATTTGTCAGAAAATAAACTTGACATTTTGGGGTAAATTGCGATTTGTCCTGAGTGCGGGTGTCATGTTCCAACGCCGGAATGGATTTTTTTTTCTCTTTTCATAGATTTCAAACAGCTTTCCTCGTTCATACCACACAGCCGACCCTCCGGTGCCGATGCGAGGGGAAGAATTGAGGCCGAGCCCCTCTACAGGTGCATGGGGGTCGCAGCGGACCTATAGGCAGCCAATGAGGAGAGGGGATGTCTTCAACGCCAAGGGCCTTTAGTCTCCGCCCCACTGTTCATGACCGAAGTAAAAAAAGATGACATGTTGGGCCAAGTATGCAGAAATGCTTTAAATAAGTTAACAATTGGCTTAAAATAACAAACTCCTTAGTGCTTACCAGCCCTGCTGAGGCTCAGATATGAGTAATGTTTTTTTCAGCCTGAGAACAGGTTTTTTAATGTAACTAAGAGACAGACGGGAGAATCAAATGATTAAATCATTTTGGCTGTGAAGTTTTATACTACTTTGTACTACTTCCATCGAAGTGACAACCAGCTGTTTAGTTAGGCACAATTTAAGTTAATGCAGAGTAATAAAATCAAAGATAAAAGAAAATATTTTAGAAAGATCGCACTTATTGTTCGCATTGGAGATATTTTTTATTTTTCACATTTGATGTTTACCTCCGAAACTTGCTCTTTAATTGACCAAATGCACTTAAATAAATTTGATAAATTGAAAACTATTCGCCAACGCATCATCACATTCGGCCCTCTAGTCACCTCATTACCCGACTAATTTCCATCTGTTATCTCGGCCGGATAACAACGGGTGCTTCTACTGTTGGAGTTAATCAGCTGAGTGTGGATGTTGCTGATTCATGTACCTATGATGCACACAGAGGCCTTGGCCCTGATTTCGACCTACGTCATTCGTTTGCCAATATCAGAGAGGGTTCTCATGCTGTGGCCTGACATAACTGTTGGACAACTGCTTCACATTCAAATCTACAAGATGTGTTCTTTAAATGTTGTAATGTCTACTTTTCAGACACAGTTTCTAATCTGTTACTGTGACGCTCATGGTTCATGGTGCACGTCTTGAATTCCTCAGGCAGCTCCCACCTTCTTGTATGTTTTTTAATCACATTTCTAATATTGCAGATATATAAATGCTTTGTTGTGAACCCACAATATTCTTCTCAAAGGAAATAGTTGTGTTGCTATTATGTCAGTGTTAAAATAACGGCCACGTGCCCTAGTTTTATTCTGTATAAATGCTTCACAGCACCTCTGTTCCGAGACTTAAATGTATTTTTAGCTTTTGGCCCGACCCTTGATGCTGTTTGTCTACCTGACAGGTCAGAGTGTTCTCACACATTTACCTTTCTACACAGGGCGGAAGAAAGAGGGAGAGCACATCAGCGTCTGCTCTAATGGTTTTTAAAAACCCATAAAACCTTTGTACGCCATGATGTGAAGACAATCAACACATTTTAATTATATTTTGCTTAAGTGACCATCGTCCTAATAACACGCACATAAAATACATTTAAGTTAATGTAAACCAGAGTCCTGTTGATTGATTTGAAGATACCTCTCATATGTTTTTGCTTCAAAGAATTCTCTAAGGGCACTAATCATCAACAAGTCTTCATTTATTTGGATATTAAATCCGACTTGTGAACCTGACACATCCAAACATCTGCTTCTTTTTAATGCATATTTATTTGAACAGGTTTTTCTACTGCAGACGGAAAAAGATGGCCTCAAAATCAAACCACAAACAGCTGGTAACTGGCAGCACCATCATATGTTACCAGTCATTAGTACATATTTGTGCAACAAAATTCAAAATCCATTAGTGCCACCACGATTAAGTGTGCATCTACAATGACAGCGTAAAAAGAAAATTTAATGAGTTGTTCTCAAAGGTAGAGACATGTTGACCACTTTTTTTATTAGAAATAAAGAATATTAATTTTAATTTGTCAGTGGCTAATGTGTGCCACTTTGACTGAACGCCCCATTAACGAGGAAACAGCAATGTGTCAAGTAAATACATATCCAGTCTTTTTTTAATTGTTTCTAAGACAGTATAGTTGGCTCATTCTTCTTCTCCTCTCCCTCCCGAGCATGCATGACTCCTCCCAGTTGGCTGATGAGTTTTGCCAGCCTCTCCGTGTCGTGGTCCGTCCTTTCCAGCAGCTCGTAGCGGAGACTGGAGATGTCCTGTTTAATTTCCTTCAGTTCACCTTAGGGGCAGCAAGTGGAACAGCGTCAAAGAAACTGCTTGGTAATCAGTGATGCAAAGAGGAAAAGTATAGCTTCATCCAAAGAGTTAGTTGAACTCACCTTCATTAATTTCATCATTATCTTTAACTCTCTGTGCTTTTAAGATGTATCTTTTGATGAGGCGATTCATTATATTCTGAGATTAGGAACAGAGGATTTCAGTCTTAACCCGTTGAGGTAATTGTTCCTAAAATGTAGAGCTGGTTCAAGAGAAAAAAACAGCTGCCAACTTGTTTAATCAGGATGTGTGATTATTAGACACAGAAAATCTTTTTCAATACCTCAATGTGTCCAGGTGCTAAAATAAGGTCCTAGCATTGCAGCATCTATTTTCACTAAACAGCTCAGTTTAAGTTAATCATAATTAGGAAGAAATTGTTTTACTTGGTGACGGGTTGGACAAAGAGATGCTTCCACACTCAGGTCTTCCTGTTGCCTCAGCTAAGGTCAGAAACAACAAGAGGAAGGAAAAGAAGCCCTTTGAAACCATGCTTCCAAGGAACACTCTGCAACTTCTAAACGTGACACAAGAGGGCCCTGTAGGCTTTTTTCAAAGAATGTACATACATCTATATCCACCAAGTGGGTCATAGTCATTTCATTGCATGAATTATCGTCTGTGTCAGCAGCTGATGCCTCACCTTGCTGAGCTCCATCTCGTCGATTGAATTTTCTCCACTTTGGTCTTCAGGTACATGCCAGAGGAATTCTCTTATTCCCAACAAGAAGGAAATGACAGACGTGGGACTGGGAACCAGGTTAAAGGGGACAGGCAGGGTCCCACCTTGCTCAAAGTACGAGAACCAGAGCTTTGCTCTGGCAAACTTCCACTCAACATCAGAGTCATCCTGCAGCCGCAGAGAGGAAACGGCGAGAGCCAAAGGAAACATTTGTTGAGCTACAGGAAGTTTGCAGATTGCATTTCCATTGTGCAACATCCATATAATTAATAATTAAATCTGCACTACTATCGTGCAACCCAATTATGGAACGTACACAGGACCAAAAGGAAGCGTAGAACTTCCCTTCTGTCATACGCGTCACAAACATGAATACCGTACGGATTGGTAGGGCGTACCTCTATTTCCTGGAAGGAGCTGTTGAACATGGCAATGAGCATATTGAGCAAGACGATCACCATGATGATGTTGTAGACCCCATACAGAACGTAGCCTATGTTCTCAATGAATTTATGGTCGATGTTAATGACCACCGATTTCACTTCTGACAAGCCGAAGATGGCCCAAAACAACGTCTTAAAACTCTCTTCAAGCCTGGAGCAATAGAGAAATTGGAATTAGATATGTGTCGTGCGACCGATTATGTCATAACAATTGGACACAGATGAATGTATGTATCTAAAGAAACAATTGGAGAATATGTTGAACATTTTCAAAGCTTTTTTAGGCAACAGCCTGCAGTTTACACTTACGTCGTGAAGGCATCGTTGTACTTGGCTCCGAGGTAGTACGAGTACAGATTGAACATCCCCACCATGAAGGCCACGAAAACCGTTGTGAAAATCACCATGAACTTAAAGATGTCTTTCACTGTTCTTCCCAGAGAGATCTGCAGCGGCCCGAAGCTCTCATTGGCAGGCAGGATGTATGCAATGCGGGAGAAACTGAGCACAACTGCTATCGCGTAGAGGCCCTCAGAAATAAGCTGCGGGTCTGAGGGCATCCAGTTGATCCGGGCTGCAAATAGACGGATGCTGAATGTGACTGTTTTAAATGCTGTAAACCTTCAATCCATTTTAGACACTACCAGACAAGCTCATACAGGGAATTTAGCCTGGTTATTTTGATAATGAATGCGCCAGAAAATCAAGGCTCTGATGATACCATACACAACTTGGCAGAACAAATGTAAAACAAAATTCCAGTGTAAAACTGACGCAACCTAAAATCAAAGTCTAAAAGTCTTTAAGGTTAGCTTTATATGGAAAGAAAAACACTCTACTGAAATACTACAACTTATAATACAGATGTTTTCGTCGGTCGACACTTACCCAGCTGGAAGTACTGTATCTCAGAGGGCAAGGTCATGTTGGACAGGTCAATGAGGTGCATGTCGACATAACACTGGGCAGAATATGCATGCCAGAAAGCCATTAATCGGGCAATGAAAGAGGTCATGAAAATGGCTAAAATACTGAAGTCAAGAAGGTTCCAGGGTTCGGAGAGGTATTCCCGGATGTCCTGCGCCCAAATATCTTTGCATTCTTCCCAGATCTTTCCTGTACGAATACACATAAAGACAAATTTGTTTTACATTTGTTGTATTCTCTCTCAAATGAAATAATGGCGAACATATATACACATGATCACATGAATCTGTAGTCATATCACATAATATACCAACGCTGTATAGTGGAAAATCAAGTTTGATAAATCGCTCCAAGGCCTCGCCTGCTGAGATAAGTGAAAATGTCACCTTGCCATTTTGTCGTCTTTACAAAAGTCTTTACCGGTATGATTTACTGTAGCACAGGTGGTAAGATTACATAAAAATCTATGAGGTGCAATTTCCTTGCATGATAGATGTTAGGAGATTTAGAACGCACCAATGACATGTCATATCCTTGACCCTGTGAGCACAGCTGAGTGTTATCATTTTAACTGTGTGGGAGGAAGATGCTAGTGGAATAAATTACCATTACAAAATAAATGTAATGTACTTTTCTACCTCCAAAAAAAAGTAGCCAAAGCTAGTTGTGAAAGGGATACGGTGGGTGGGTGGGGCAGGGTTTACACTCATGACCTATGACCCAGGATATGATGAGAATCTCCATCCAGGTGAAGGGGGTGGTCTTCATACGAAACAGTTGAGAGGGGTAATCGTGGGTTGTCATGTTGGGCAGCAGCGATGTTCCCCCCAAACGGTCTGCTGCGTTCAGGACCAGCAGGCAGAGAAACATCATGAAGGAGGCTGCATGGGCCACGAACTTCAGGAAAGGTCCACACATGAGTCTCCCCACCTGACGGAGAACAAACACTATTTTGAGCTGCACTAAATTATTTTTTTCATTGTTCGGGGTGCTGATGGGCACTGACAGCTCATCAATCCAAGCGTCAGATAAAAACACGAAACAGAGCTGCAGCATGGCCAACAATATATAAACCAGTCATCCAGACCAGAAGAAGACACATCACCACGTTGCCGGTTAATGGTGTTTTTAAAGCTTCATTGATCATGCAGCTCCACAAGCTGATAAACAAAGACAAATGGTCGCCGTATAACCTTTTTGTTGGGCTAATGTTTTAGAAAAATTGGCCAATTGAAACAACTGGCAGACATGGAGCAACAGTAGAGTATTGTCAGAGTCCAACAGTAACTTCAATATTTGGCTGTGTTGAGGAAGCGCTAAGGATGAAACTTGGGATTCAGTGTCTCGCTCAAGGACCCTTAAAAATGTGCACACGAGAAAACCTAAGCGTGTGTTTCCTGCAATCTAGCATGCTGAGTTTCCCAGTCTCTTACAAAAGTCACACTAGGGGGTCTCATAAAGAGGCAGAATGCCATAGTTGGGAATCAGCTAAACGAAGTAGTTCCGTTTCTGTCCGCCCACTGGTGGCCAAGAGAAATGGTGGCCTGCAGCTGATCCTATCACCAGCTGAGCCGCTGTCACATCAAATCACACTGATTACGCACTGAACAGAATTAAAGGCACTGAATTTTTTTCCCTTTACGTTGAAAACAATGCACAGATTTTTTAAACTCACCTTACTTGATGGTGCTACCCAGTAAATAAAAGACAACACAGGCAACCCAGCAGCTACACCGAGGACGAGAAGGTTCTTCACTGCTGTGGTTTGCTGACGTAGTCCCAACAAGTTTTCGTACCAGATGGACAGGAGTTGCTGCTGGCAGTTTGGATGTGCCACAAACTTCGGCATCGGCAATATGTGTGTGAGAGAGATGTTCAACGTGAGTACATGTGCATCAATTCTAACCCTCAGAAGAAAATGCGTTTCTCACATGCTTACCTTTTTAACTTCATATTTGATTGCAAGTTTTAACCTGATAAGGTTTTGTCTGCCCAAGGTCTCAGAGCTTTGACTTGATTCGATGTCCCCATTTAAGATGGCCTTCACCTCCTCCGTGTTCCGACACAAATCCAGGACTCCCACCACAAAGTCTTTGCACTGCATGGATAATTTCTTGTAATCATTCTGTAACAGACAAAGGCAACATCTCCTCATTCATATACTTTTATGAATCAACCAATACCCCAATGACAAACCTCAAACCCTGTTCTAATTGCAACCAGCGAGAGGACTATAGGACAATAAGGTGCAGTTTTCTTAGTACCTTGAACTCCTTCTCAATGTCGGCCAGTACTGCGAGCTCGTTGCTCAGCTCCAGAGCCGCCATCACTGGGTCCTCATGGGAGAGGGACAGATACGCCGGACTGGCCAGACATTTATAAGCGTTAATGCGGGATTGTGAATGGCTGAACGAGTCATGCCTCCGCTGCTCGCTGCAGGCCACGCACTGGCAGAAGTAATCATGGGGCCGCTCCACCCGGGCCCCTTTCGTGAGGAGTATATGAACGATTTCATACTCGTGGCACTGAGAGGCCAGGATGATTGGAGTGATGTCTTGAGAGAAACGCGTGCCATCCTCGTCGTAAGCAAAGAAGTCATCGTGCGTGTCTGCCTGGCTCGGTCTGTTGGTCAGCCTCTCCCCGTCCGCAAAGGCCTGGTGGCTCAATATGGCGTCCACGATACGGACGTAGCCTTTGCTGATGGCCAACAGCAAAGCATCTCCTATTCTAGAGAGGTCCTTCTTCCTGAGCAGGAGCTTAATCACCTCTAGGTGCTCGTTGGCAACCGCCAGCTGCAGTGCATTCTGGCCCATGTAGTTGACACAGTTGACGTCGAGCTCCGGCAGCTCCTCCAGCATGCGCCTCACTTCGGGAGTGTTGCCGTATTCTGCGGCTTCTAAGAAGAGTTCCTCCGTGGTGGAAAGGCAGGAGGAGGATTCGGCGTGATACAGGTAACCGGCTCCCCGAAATACTTGTCGCCGGGGTCGGGCACCAACTTGCTGCAGGGTCATGGTTCCCCCCTCATTCCTCCACCTAAACATGGGTAAACATATAGATGCAGACCATGCATATCTGTGCAAATGTATTCATGTATACCAAAATACTCAATCCATGTGTTAGATGTACTATTGGTTTTTTTCTACCTACCCAACATATATCTTAAAATAACATGTTTGCATGTTCCTCATTATTTCCCTGCCTGTCTGACCATAACCATCTACACCCGCTGCCTGAAACACCCTGTGCATGTCTCTTTAAGCCCTCCCAAAAAGCCCAGTCTGCTCCGATGGGCTTGTGAAAAGGATGTGGCGCACATTGGTACAAGGCCTGATAGATGAGACAAGGTCCTGGCCTACAGACTGTGACGTTCAGTGTTACTGGAGCTGTGCTAATGAAGGGTTGTAGAAGGTACTGCTTGAAATAAAAGATGACAGAACATAGACATTCATTTGTGGGCACTGTTGTGTGGCAGCGAATGAGCCTTTGGGACGGTGCTGATTGCATTTCACTGTGTAAGGGTTGTAGCCCAATCATATGACGAGTGACGTCTCTTTTGTGAAGGCAGTACTCAAGCTTTGGGTGGAGATACTCCATGGAAAAAAAAACTGACTGGCTTGTGAGATATGCAGTTCTATGTTAGCGAGCACTGAAAAGTGACGTTTTCAGGATTTTAGGGCTCTTTTTCATAGAACTGACTTATTTTATTAACTGTTTACGGTAAAGTAGCATCAGCTCAGTCTATTGTTCCAAAAGCAGACAGCAACGACCTATCGAAGGACAGCTGGTCTCAGCTGAATTGCGCTACATGTGTGACACCACCCACAGACTCATCATCTGCTCTCCTTCATTTCATGGACTTGAACTGTCCAGCCAACGTGATAGTTGACCAGATGCATTTTACAACTATAACCTGTATGTGGTGCATAACACCAGAATATCATAAATTGACGACGTGTATTTACTGATACGACTAAAACAACAGTGACCATCTATGTATAATATATTTTGTGTCATCGTCAAACAAATAAATCTACTTTCTGTACGTCCTAAATACATTTGAATAACGCGGTTATCTCGGGAGCTAATTCAGCACAGATGATGATGATGGATGATGACAACATCCCTTCATTCAATTCTAATTAGTGTTAATAAGATTTTATATAACTAATAAGCGCCCACAGCACTATATAGAGAAAGATATAATACTGACAAATGATCCATCTTTGGCGTGATCTATATCAGATGAAATGAAATTCATGTCTTAAAACCCCAAAGAAAATGGATCAATAACATAAGTTCTCACAGTTGTTGGTAGCTTTCTAAAGATCCCTTGTTGATTTTTGTTCTGCTGCTCTTCTCCATCAGGGCAGGTGAAAAAAACAAAAAAAAAGTTAAAACGCTGTGGCAGATAGAGTACAAAACTGGCGGTAACAATACTACTCCAATAATTAAAATGTCCCACAAATAACGGCGTTAGTTGAGCTGTGTGCATTCGCACTAAACATGTAGGGTGGCTGAACAAAAAGATGTGTTGTCTGTCAGTCTGCTCCTTCGGGCAGAGAGGAAGGCAGCAGTGTGCACATGATAAGGAGAGGCACGCAAGGAGACTCGAAAAACAGGACACCGCATGATGAGATCACCAAGTAATGTCACACTGTTTGTTGTTTCTTCAGGAATATCATGGGCCTGAAGCTTGTCTGCGCGTGCACGCTCCACCAAAACACCGACATTCGATTTCCTCGTCTCCATGAATCATCTTCAATGTCTCAAATGTAAACAAATCAAAGTCTTGACAGGATGTCCCACTCACCTCGCAGAGGACCGATGCGCCAAATAACTTCACTTTCACGTGGTAGAAAATCCGTAACTGTGCCTCTCAGCCCATTCACAGCCGCCGCTTGAGCACCTGTCCGCCCGGCGCTACCCTTCGTCCCACCTTGGGTCCTGATGCTGACGCTGCTGCCTCTGCGCGCCCAGTGGGCGCTTTTCCCCAGCAGCTTCTTGCTTGCCTTTTATAACCTACAATATGGCTTTTGCCTGCTTTTAAATTGGGTTTTTATCTTAATTTCATTTTAAAGAATTTTCGACAGATGTGTCCATATTTAATAACTTTGCCGAACTGTTGTGCTGTGACCTTTGTGTCATAATTTGAGGGAGGAGGTTAGGAGGCGCTTGGCTGCACAATGCGCGGAAAGTGTGCACGCTGCAGGAAGGTGCGGGAGCATTTTTACTCTAACCGGCAGCTGCCGCGTTGTTAATGTATTAATCGGTGGAGTAACCCCGTCAATGTAACAGCATAAACAATCTGCGAAAAAGGTTTTCCTAAATCCTCTTAAGTCACGGTGCCGTCATGTGTAACAGGTCACAATAACGCACCTTTGAGTTTAATGAGAGACACAAACTATGCAGAAACAATTACCACATGCACATGGAATGATAAGGAAAGCGTCGATAGGCCATAGTTCACCATACACATACATTTGAATACGCAAATAGAACGAGGTTATGGCTGAAAAGGTTGTTGTTCGTGCATTCACTAATCAAATGAAGCCTCTTTTAAAAACACAAGCTTTTGGACCTCAGCTGTAAAATCAACACTATATCGTCCGACACTCTCTAGCATTCTGCTTGTATCAGTCCCTTTGGCTTGTTTTCTTTTTTTGTCTAGATTCTCCTGTGAAGAAGCACATTTTCGGACACTTCTAGGTGTACCTGAAGGCAACAATGCCCCATGTTGAGCCCTCTGCTGGACACGGTCGGTTTTTTCACCGACGGAAAACCACCTCCGTTCCCCGTTGTCAAGGAACCGCGTCTCCTGTTGCTATGGCGCAGGTACGACTGCACAACACACGGCGTCGGGCGAAGCGGCTACAAACGACGCACCTCGGCCGTCCCTTTTCCGAATATTATTGTAAACGTCACGGAAGACGCTGCCGACTTCTCTCTTCGGAAGAAGTGGTCGCAATGTGGATACAAACATTTCCTCGTCCGTCCGCTGCCATGTTCGTCTTCGCCCTGAACCGGGTCGGGGGAGTTCGGACGGAGTTCCGCTGACGTTAGCCGAGCCCAGTTAGCATCCAGCTAGCATCCTCGCGGGGAGCTGGACCTGTGTGTCCGCCCGGTGTCAACCCGGATCGGCAGCTTCGGAGGATGCAAGATGTTCAGGGCGCCTTCTTCTACCACTCGTATCCTTTCATCCTGTAGCGATTATGGGAATGTGTAGCCTACTACACGTATAACTTAACTCTTACACTTGTGTTATTAAGAGAAACTAACTCAAGGAAACAGTACCGAGGTGTTTAAAATCTCCCCTAATACTTTTTGATCTCCACAATGATATTAAAGATTGAAACGTCTCCAAAAGTATTGAAGCTAGAATTAATATATAGTCCACTCAAAGTACCAAAGGTAAACGTGCTATGTGTGTGGAATTAAGAACAGAACGTAATGAATCAAATCTATAATGATTAACAGGTGGATTTTAAGCAACAATAATTCCATTTTAAAAGTTTAACATTAGATGGAACTACTCAATTAATGTACAAGCAGCTCAAAATCGTAGACGTACTTTGTCCCTCTCTGCCACTGTCGACCAGCCTGTGGGACTTATGAGATGATTTCATGCTCCCAAGTCACAGCTTAATACCGCGTGTGGGTGCAAATGTCCCTCGGCCAGTCGTAGCCGCTCTCCTTAGCTGCTCACTCCCAGAAATCCCAGGCTGGGAACCAATGGAGGCCTCGAAGATGAGAGACAGCTTTTGGTTGAAGAGCAAAAGTTATGCCGATCCCGAGCTCGCAAGTTCTCCCTGGAAACCAACCGGCGCCGGAGGTCAGTTTTGTGTGCACATTAATTATGCATCGTTGTTTTTATCTTTATTTCAGTCGGAAGCCCAAATCTGCCCAGAACTGCGCCAGTTCTCAATGGGGTCAAAAAGCACCTTCCATTTCTTCCTGGAAGTAGATGGTGCTTTTGCTGGTGGACGGCGTTCCCCTCATTGGCAGCAGCTTATGGTTCTGGCTTTGCACCTTTGGGGGATGGATGGTGTTGACAGGATTTTGTAGTCTAGACCTGGAAATAGATATGTTGTGTGAGGGTGCAGTGACTGCAGCGTCACCTCTCCTAGCTGCTCAAGTCCTGTACAGGTATGACGACTTTTACATCTAAGTTGATTAGCAGTAGCTAAAAGTGTGTTTTACTGTTTTTAAACTAAGAGCTAGAAATAGGGAATAGTTACATACGGATAGTCGTAGATGGAAAACATATTTATTGTGTAATAGTTGTGCAAAGCTGATCATTGTTCCTTAAATAAAGAAGATCGTGTCTGTCGAAAAAACTAAGCGGTATTATATGCGTTTTATGTCCAACTGATAACTGTTAGGATATACTGATGTTTGGAGTGGGACAGAATATCAATAAATAAATAATTGCAATATAACAATTTCTTGCTTGTAACCAAAATAATGTACAATAATGCTTTTGTACAACTCCTGCTCTTCAATGTTCACCTCATCAATCTCCAATTCAATTCCTTTAAAATGTTGAAGCCGAAACTTGAACGAACTAAGATAAAAACATTCATAAGAGGATAAAGAAGCCGTACATTTTCAATGAAAATCAATCTGTCATCTAAATTGTTCATTTTTATCCTGGTTCTCGCTGTTTGAAAAAGGTAAACTACTTTTGTTGACGGTGATTACCATATTTTTCCCATTTAAAAACCCATTAATGCTGAACTCGATTGGCCCGATATTCTTATCGGCTTCCTCCGTGAGCCTCGCTCTTGAGTGGAAGCTTTAACTTATTGATGAATGTGTTGAAATATATCTCGATGAGAGGTCTCCGGTTTCTGTATGTAAAACGTGGCCTGTCAGCATTGAATCAATCACAATGTGCCTCTCTCTCTCTCTCTCTCTCTCTCTCTCTCTCTCTTTCTCTCTCTCTCGGCTCCAGGGCTCTGGAGCAAAGGCAGAAGCAGCGGGACGTGCAGGAGCAACAGCTGACCGAGAACATCCTGCTGCAACGCAGGCAGCGAGTACAGGATGCAACTGAGCGCTTCCAAAGGGCCCACTTGCCCCCCTCTCAGAGACGCAGGCAATGTCAGTGACCTATCCAACTCATGGGCTTTTGGACAGAGACGTAACACACTAGCAGTCGTAACCCTTTCCCCTCTCTGGATGCTTTTCTTCATGCTGTTCTAGCTTTTAGAAGAAATGTCCCGAATATCGAAGACGCGCTCAATCAAATTCAAGGCTCCTCGCCGTTCTCTTTCTTGTCGGGCAACTCTAACATTAGCAGGTAAAAAAAAAAAAAAAGGCTCATCCATGTGTCCCTGCCGCTGCTTTCAGTGTGCACACCTACTCATCCTAACTTTTCATTTGTAATTTTTGATTTGATTTGCGTAACCGGCGTGTTTAATGGTTCATGTTGTCCTGCTTTCTGTTGAAGAAGCTGCACTCCGTGTCCCCGCCAGGCGCTCTCCGCTGTGGAGGCCTACACCAAACTGCTCCACGAGCAGAGCAGGACTTGCTTCAACAGCTGTCCACAAAGGGAAAAGACACACAATCTCAGTCCTCAGGTGTGTTGTTTCATTTAAATGTGCAGGAAAACGTCACCACTCTCCTTTATTGCACTTATTTCCTCACCTGCTCGGTCGCTAACACACATACCCGACCCTTTTATATTTGCATGTCTGGAATGAAGACGACGCCAGCGTTTAACTTTGCTCTTGGTCACAATAACAAAAATGTTTGGTTTTCTTTAACCTTTTTTTGATAAAGTTTAAATCCAGAAATGTGCTTCAATGAAGTGACCATTGTCTGCTGCTTAAAGGTTGCTCAGTCTACAATTCATCAACACATCTTTGTCAATGATTATGTCAAGTACTCACATGGCTTCCATGTTGGGCAGTTCAAATGCCTGTTTTTAAAGTGGACCTCTAGGGGGCAGCAGTGTGACACAACCCCTTTACACACGTTTAGGCTGTTACAGGCTTCAGCACCCATCCTCTGTGAAACGAATAGCTGCGTGAAAACTCTTTTGAGTGGGACCTTAGTTGATCTGCTTGAAGGAGTCTCCTTAAAGAATTAAATAATAATAATTAGTTTGAATGTACCGATCCAGTATTGCCCCGAAAAGGAGACAATCCTACCTTATTCGAGTACATGTCCAGTTTACAATTTATTCTTTCTGCAAAAAGCAGAAATGGTTACATGCCGTCTTCAATTTAGCAACAACAGTTCTCAGCTTTGTTGATACTGGCATACGGTTCACCTTCTAGTACAGACACCTGATTTAACATGACCCAAGAAACTGGAATGGAATCTCATAACCACCCAGTTATAACCAATCAAATGTTTTTCTCCTCCCCAACCAATAACCACTTTTATTGTAGATCTGTTTCACATCTGTATATGGAAGATGTGAATCATATTATTTTCTACTCATCACCTCCTCTCTTTGTTTCCACATCTCAGGACAGCCAAGTGTCTGATTGCAGCAATTCTGAAAGCTTTTCAAGTAAGGACAGTTTAGAGAATGAGAACCACAGCATAAAACATCTACAGTATTCCAATTCGCCGTTTGTGCTCGACTCAGAGAAGCCCCGTCCAGACCCGAGAAAGCAAAATGATTTATGTCCAACATCAGACCTAACTTCATTCTCATCCATGATACTTCTTGCTGATAAATTGCATGAACCTGAGCAAAAGAAACGCACCAACTCCGAGGGGCCTGACAATAAGCTGCATGTGTCCGAAGCGTCGTGGGGGTTCACGCCTAAAACGCAGACTCTGCACAACTGCAACTTGTTCACTCTTTGTGAGGTTGCTACTGCAGGCCCAGAGCAGTTTGGGGTGAACTCACAAAACAGTCCCAGTGACAACGTCATTGCAACAAACAGAGTTGCCCCCGGCAACACAACACTCGATTCTTCATGTCTTAGACAGGAGGCTCTGTTAGGACTCGGGCAGAACAACGTCCTCCACGACAGACAATTAAAGCATCCGTCAGCGACAGAAATTCTTTTGCCTGCTCAAAATGACAACAGCAAAGACATTTTGTGTGGGCCGCCCCCGAAGCCCAATATTTTCCTGAACGTTAGCGCGACAGATAATGCATCCCGAGAGACAACTCTTACAGAAAAAGACAATCACAATCTGTTACCGCAGAAAGAGCTGCGTGCTTCCGTGAACAACCTTAATAAGGTTTCAAACTCACAGCCCAAAAGTGAGGAGCCTGTTGATGCAGCATCGCTGCAGCGCGCATGCTTGTCAGACGTTCAGTCAGATACTCTTACGGGCCTTGGGTGTCCTGAGGGGGAAGCTGAAAACGTGCCTGTTGCTGGGAGGACGTCTCGTTCCGTGCGATTCATTAAAGGAATCCTCAAAAAGCCATCCTGGTACATGCCGGGGGAAACCACGAGTGGGTTTGCCCCAGGACATTTGATTTTTGCAAAACAAGTAGCCTTAGCCATCAGGGACAGCGTTGAATTGGCGAGGACAAAAAGTAAGGGAGTGGAGGGACACACCGCTGTGAAAAAGAAGCTGCGTTGGTTTGATGAGGAGCATGTGGAGAAAGAGGGCAAAGAGCAGAACACAATGGAACAGATGAAAGGAGCATCTTCCAATCACTCTTACTCAAATAACTACTCAAAGGACCACCAGCTAAGTCTCACTACAGTCTCAGGGGCTACGAAGACCATACCCGGCGTGACCCCTGCGGCCTCCACTGGTTATCACTTTACAAAGCAAGCGTGGGCAGATGTTGGGGTTCAAGTCAGCTTGCCTCAAGAGCAAGCGGAGGAGGTCAAGGTGCCGCGCTGCGGCACCAGGACCGCTGGCCCCAAGGTCCCCCAGAGAGAGCGCCCGGCCCGAGCTGGAGGGGGTCCCGTTTCCTCGCGGACTAGAAAGGGCACCGTCATACGACCTCAGTCTGCCACCGAGGTGAGTCAGATTGCCAGAACCCAGGGGGGGCTAATGGTGCCCCGCCCACCCCCGAAGATGGAAGGGGAACGGAGGGCGAGCCTCGCTAAGGCACCATATGGCGCAGAGCGTTGCAGTGTCAACCGTAAACACGCTGAGGCCGAGCAGGAGGCCGAAGGACCACCTCACACACGTGACGCCGTGAGAACAGATAGCACTGTTATGTACACACCGCTGCCACCCTCGCGCACCCACTCCGCCTCAAAGGGCAAGACGAAGGGCCCGCCCAGCTCAGGCCGTCAGCAAAGTCAGGGCTGCGGCCGCAGAAGGAGAGGGATGGTGTGCAACGACAAAGGCCACTGTTTAGCTTGCACTCCCACGGATGAGGAGATCTCACAGCTCTGGCACGGTGTCCGCAGTGCCTTAGCCACCAAGGAGGGTAAAGTAGTCTGCAGAGATGTGAGATTTTTAAATGGATAAATAAATGCTAAGGATTTGAATGTAATGCAATTACAGTGCAACATTATAAAGTAGTAAGATAATGCACACATGTCGTTCTTATTCACAACCTCATCATCATCATCTCCTTTTTTGATCTTCAATCCTCTTTGTTTTGCCGGATTAAGACGGAAACTATCTTGTTATGTCTCCTCTCTAGATGACCCCAAAGTATTTTATGTTGATGTGAGTGTGTGTTTTTTGTTAATGTAATTCTAATAAATTCAGCAAATACATCTTCTTTCAGCAAAAAACATGCTTCAAAGACAGGCCCTGGACCTTGTTGTGAGGAAACTCTGCGTGGAGCAGAGCCGTCCGCCTCCCGGCTCGGGGAACAGGAGGGTTCCGTCGCCCTCTCAGGTACACGCACGCAGGCGCTCTGCAGGAAAGCAAGTTCAGTAAATGGGTGCGTTTGAACTTGTTGAATGAGTTTTATTGCGGCCCCTTTTCATGGCGTACCTATTGTTTATAAAGCTAACTAGACGTCACGATTTATGTCTCCCGAGCAGGACTTTCCGGATGGATGGCGTTGATGCGTAATGTTTTTGTTAAACTTGCTGTACCTGTTTTTTGTGCTTTATGTCCATCACCGATATCTTCTTTGCAGTGTTCTCTAGGCTACATTGCTATTATGTAATGTTTAATTTATTCTGTGTAGCCAAAGGGACAGACTATTCCAGTCGGACCATTTTCCAGTACCTACAACATGGCCTGTCCATATGAAGGTACAGTTTTTAACAAAAAAAGAATCAATATTAGTTCAATGGAAAGTCTGAGCCAATACACTTCTCAATATCTTTTTCCAGGACATTGTGAAATTTATAAAGATAACAGCACATCTTTATTGGACGTGTGTGAAAAGCCACTACAAACAAAACCTTTTCTTTCGGTAGGTTTGGACAGTGCGGCCCAGTTACACCTGGCCGGAGGTCATCCTGGAGGCCTGGTGGAGGAATCGGACATGGTTGCTGCCGTGGAAACAGCCCAAACACAGAGGCCTGGCACAGCGCAGCAGCGCAGCCGAAAGGAGGGACTCGCTGGAATTTCCTTGGAAGAGCAGAACATCCTCTTCTCTCTGGACAGACTCAACCAGCGACTGCACCGTGAGCGCTTTGCACAGGCTGTTCGTGTCAGGCCACCAAACGTGCCGTCATTTCTACATCCAACATCCACTCCCGCTTGTTGCTCCTTGTAGGTGTGCGGGAGCACGTGGGGTCTGACGCCGGCTCGTGTGGTCTCGCACTTATCGATGCGCCCTGTGTGAGTATGAACTTTGTAAGTGATTCGTTGCTACAAACAGGGTTCTATTGCTCTGCTCTTCTACTGTTTTCAGACAGGGGAAGTGAGAGTCACAAACCATCAGAAGCATCGTGCATCAAACAGCCGCTCTCGGTACCAGAAGAAACCCTGACTCTCGGCACGTGGTCCAGAGTGGTCGTCTGTCCCGTCCGTGCATTGCAGCTGTCGGACTGGGATCACAACCACTTCATCGCCCAGTAAAATGAGTCTAGTCCCCTTTAGAGCTACGAATGTCCTAATGGACGATATAAGATCTAAGAGATCGGCAGCACTGAACTGTGGAGGCAATAAAACCTCTCAGCAGAATTGGACCAAACATCATTTTTTAGTTGCTGTTAAAAGTTGTTTGGTATGTTTTTGCAATCTGCCTTGACAAGATCACATTGTTATAAAATAGATATGTGTGCCTTTAAAAAATGATACTGGCTTCCATTGTTTTTAATAATTCACCTATGAAAAATAAATGCCTTCTTACAATTCTATACAAAACTTACACTGTGTATTTCTTTTCAAATGTATTTATTTTATGTAATAAAAGTATAAATTGATGGAAGCTATTTTGGGATGAAACTTGGCAGTGAACCAAATAAAGCCGTTGTTAACGTACTGATTATCTAAGTGGGTGCAGTGTGTTAAGAAGCGTTAGCATGTGATGCACTGAGCGGCTGATAAATAGGGACAGGAAATGTTTTCATAGAGAAACGTGTCGCAACGTTGAAGGTGTGTCTTTCTTTGATGGCTGCAGAAAGGACGATTATATCTTATGCAGTTGACTCAACCTACTGGCTCAACAAGGTGAAACGTTGCCAGAGGACGTCTTGCTTTCTGTTGCAAGTGCGTCTACCCTGAACTTTACTTTTGCTTTAGTTCCCGTTTCATGATTGGTTCTTGAACTATACAGCAACATCTTAGTTGTCCTCTACTATTTTCTTGTGTGAAATTTAAAAAAAAAGATGCAGGGATTATTGATGTGAGTTCAGTTGCCCCTCCTCCACCAGCATGTCTGGATTCGCCTCTTGGTCGACCTGCAAGGACTTGCTCCAAGAGGTGGAGGAAGCCCAAACTCATCTGAAGAGAAACCCTTTTTTGGTTTAACTGCAGGTTTCTGGTTCTATGCAGGCATGCATTCTTGAGCCTTTCAACAAGGTGCTCTGAACATGGATGTGAACGTGACGTCTCGGGTCCTGTACAGTCATGCATCGCCTCCTTGTTATACTAGACAAAAAGACAGAAATATGCTCAGCGTTGGTGCATGATGACGCCTGCAGCAGAAGCAGAGGTGTGCTTAAAAGATTCTCTCAAAAGGACAAGAGAAAGCCCACTGACGTTATTTGAGGAGGGACGTTGGTGTGTCTTCTCACCAAATGGGTTGAAGATGAGAGGGGACAACACAGACACTGTTCATCTGGATGCTCTTGTTTAACTTATTTAAGTGTCGCTGAATCCAGAATGTGTCCAGTAGAAACAACCAGTCCAGACAAATAAGCTCCGCCTTCCTTTTCATATACTCCTTGTATTGTATTTATACAAGGAGCAATGTTCAAGTAAGAGTGCATCCGTGCAAACTGTCTCCTCAGCAAGGAGCAGACTTTGACTCACAATACTTCACTGCAGGTTTTGCCTGAAATCTGTTTTCTTTGGCCTGCGAGCACGTTCGGAGTCATTACACCATACAATGGTGAGCTTAATGACGTTTAAGCCTTAACCAGCCTTAACCAACACCCACAAACTCGACAAGAAAGGGCAAGAGTGCTGAAAATAAGGGAAGACGTTTCCACGGACGCATGTTCAAACTTGTGCTCCGGCTCGTCGTCGAGCTTAATCCCATGATTTGTTACAGTCTATTTAACACCCAATGGATGAGCGTCTGGTCTGGCTCAGTGTCTGTAAAACGGAATAATTAGTTGCATGCTCAACTGACTTGATAGTAGGTTACAACTCTTCTTTGCATCGGTTGCCTTGTTTTCTATTCAGTCCTAGAACCATGTACACTTTACCATGAAGGCATTGAATGAAGGAAATAAAAGTAGGTTCTGCGCATACAACTGCATGAAGAAGACAAATAAGATAAAGAAAGTTCAGGTGACACCAAAGTAACTTATTTCTATAGTGGTCTGAAGTATGTGTTGTACTTAATGAATGCATTTCTAGGAAACGCAGACAGGAAGGTGTTTGTGAGAAAGAGAGAGACAGTGAGCCTGTGCTCTACATGCCCACAGACCGCATGTACCCATTAAAGACTTTAGGGGGCCCTCAAGCTCACATCTGTGGCTGTCTGCAGCAACACTGTGCGTGCGTCACTTTATCCCATAACACCAGACCCAAGCGTTTCACATCAAGACAACTACTACAGCCACCTCACCATCGACGCGTTCAGGGAACATCTTTTCTGCAGGTATCCCGCGGGATCCAACCAAACCATCGGTGCCACTGAGGCGCGTCGGAGGGACCAAAAGTGACCAAACTCTGCTGTGTGGGTGGTCCCCTTTGGGCTGCAGTTCATCTCTTTAATGTGTATGAGTGCGTTACAATGATGTGAAAATGACAAAACAATGGGCATCTTTTGACCGCGCACGGAATGTATCATTCACGCATCACAATATGTGTGTGGGCTTGTTGCACAATCATGAAATGTTGCACAGATTGAGAAAAAAAAAGAAAGATGTGTAGAGCTAGTTATACAATCCTTTGAAGCGCCTTAACTGCACACATGGGAGAAATATGAATTCCTTCAGGGTATTTATATTAACATAGACTGAAAAAGGTGAAGAGGCCAAAATGTATTACCTAACACGAGGAGGCTGTAGTATGCAACATGTTGCATGCCCCTATTTTTTAAACAATTTATTTTTGACTCTTCTTCGATTCTAAGTTTCCAAACTTTTGTAAACCAATTAAAATGAGTACTTTCCATCAATAATTGTACACGGGCAAATTTAACACAAGACGTGCATATGTTAAGAAACACGAGCATGTGACTGGCAGTGCAAAGCCCCTTTAATCTGCTTTACAGTGTCTGCTGGTATTTAATAGGGCTTCATAATCATTCATTCAGTAGATGTATGGGAAAAAGAGGTGAAACAGAGCCTCTGTATCCACAGAGAGTGGATCTTGACAAAATGATTTCTCAATGGAAGAGGGGCCTCATTAGCATGACAATTGTGGGAAACTGCATGGATCTACTTTTCATGAGCACTGTAAAAAAATAGTACCATTATATATACTGATGAGCGAAAGTGTGGCTTTCAGTTATTCCTAAAATCAGTGAGTTGTGATAATCACGCATAATCACGCATAGCAAAATATAGAACATATTTTACACAAACACCAATACCTTCATTGAAAGAAAAAAGTAGATCAAAATGAAGCAGGCCTCAATCACATGAGAATGTTTTAGTATCCCCTAAAACACAAAAGACAAAAATACAAATAATAAAGACTAAACCTTTTTGCAAAACTCTGTGATTTAGTGAGATTTTGCATGTGCGTTTGTGGAGGTTACAAAACAGAACAAATGGTAAAACTTGCATGTTTATTTACGTGTGTATTTTTACATTTGGAAGAGTCATCATTTAATGTTGTCCCAATTGGGCTGGAGTTGGCAGCAGCAGGGGTCCTTATTGTATTCAACGGGGTTGCCAAAAAAATAGGGAACACTTTAATTTGTCAATTGTTGTCCAGATGATCTAATTAATGTGTGATAATTCCCGTTCGGCCGTCCGATCGATTATAGAATACACATTATCAAAACTCACCATGTCACTATGACTATCAAGATGATGCGGAGATTGGAAAAGAAAAGATTGTACAAATACATGTCGTAAAATATTAGTTTTCTTATGCTGAAACTGATGGGATTTCATGTCTTTTTATGTTAAAATAAAAAGCTTTCGGCACAATAAACCCAGCTAGACCCCAGGCCTCCCCGTCTGTACCTTTAAAGACTCTTGTCCCGATGAGTCCTAAGCCCCGCCTCCGGAGCAGACGTCCCATGAGTCATAAAGTTTGATGTCCTGCCCAAAGTTTTAGTCCCGACTGGAGCAAAAGTTTTTTTTTTTCTGGAAAGTGCTGTGCAGAGATTTGTTCTTCGCACTGTGATTCCGTCGTGTGAGAATAGTCCACAACAGCCGACACGCAGCAAGAAGTGCGTTTTGTGGCGTTTGTTTTTCCTCCTTTTGAGGCTGCGTGAACTTTTTTTTTTTTTGTAAGTTTGGGGCCGGACGGCAGCACAGATTCCCGTGTGGAGTAGATATGCGCTTTGTTACATTCTCAAGAATGCCAGCGAGAAACGACAGGAAAGCGCTGTGTTTCACTGCGGATTTCGACAGCTAACACCCGGGAGAAAGAAGCGAACCGGTCGAGTGTTCAACTTTAGAATGACTCGAAATCACTTTTTCTGAGTGTCGTCGATATTTCCTGCTGTGAAAAAAAAAACAGAAAAAAAAGTTTGAGATTGACTCAAACTTAGTTTTAATTATTTTTTTTGCGTGAAGTTTCTGAACGGGATATTTTTGGACACAGAAAGTTCAAAGACTTTTTTTTTTTTTTTTGCGGTCGGGAAAATGGATCCGAGCCAGCACAACCCTCCCGTCGGGCACCAGATCGTCCACGTACGGGGCGACTCCGAGACCGACCTGGAGGCCCTCTTCAACGCCGTGATGAACCCGAAAAACACTATCGTGCCCCCCTCCGTACCCATGAGGATGAGGAAGCTGCCAGACTCCTTCTTCAAACCCCCCGAACCAAAGTCCCACTCCAGACAAGTAAGCCCGCCCCGTCTCTCCTCGGGCCCCCTTCCCAGAAATCCCCACCGGTAGAAACGGGCCCGTCCCGCGAGGACAGGGGCCCGCGGTCCCGCAGTCGGTTCGCATTCGCGTTCGGGATGTCACCGCCGGGCTTCAGAGACCGCTCCTCGACACGTACTTCTTAGGTCGTATTTGCACACTGATGTGTCTACATTCCCTCACTGCTTCTGTCACAGTTCAATTCGAGCTTGATCTTTTCCCACCAGTTTTAATTCGATTGGTAATCTGTGCAAAGATCTGTGCACATTATTGTGACTCACCAACAAGGAAGGAAATCAGTTTGTCTTAAGCGATTGGCTCCACTTGTGGCAAATAATAATATTATTACTTTAACTGATTTGTCTGGTTCCCTTAAAGCGAACTTGCACATATGTGCCAATGTTTTGGTTGGTTTCGTGAACAGAAGGGTAACCAACTTGTGGACATAGTCAAATAATAATGTTATTGTAATATAAGAGGATTTGCTTTCATGAAATCCTGCGATGGTTGAACTCCTGCTATGACCCCCCCACCCCCCCTACACGTCCCCCACCGCTGCTGCTGCTGCTTGTGGTCAGTGTGGAGTTTTTTTTCCTCCTCTGTGCGCATGCGCGTTAGTGCAACGAGTCTGCGCTCTCCGCTCCGTCCCGCACGGGCCGCGGCCTCATCCTTCCAACAACTCTCAAACTTGCCTACACACGCGTGTGAATAGAACTAACTAACTAACTAACTAACTAGCGAACGCAAAGTGATTTATATTGTGCGGGATGTGACTACATTCATTATTTTGTGCACACTTCATGTAGTTCTTGAATCCTTCCTGTTATTTGTGAGCCGGCCTCAAATACAGTATTATCGTTTGTTTATTTAATGTGTTTTTGTTTTGTTAAACGTTCTTATATGATCCCATTAAGGATTTGACCTTTTTTTTACTAATAATTATATAATATATTCATATATATGTGTGTGTTTCATACTCTCTTGTACTTTTGGACAGACTTGTTTTCCATCATAACAATATCCGATGAAACCTCACACTGCCTCTCGTCCAACCCCAAAACCAGGCCAGCACCGACGCTGGGACCGGCGGCGTCCTCACGCCCCACCACGTCCGAGCTCACTCGTCCCCGGCCTCTCTTCAGCTGGGCGCTGTTACCGGTGGCTCCATGTCTGGCATGCCGCCGCCTTCCCCCCAACATCTCCGTCAGTCCTCGTATGAGATTCCCGATGACGTGCCCCTGCCCCCGGGGTGGGAGATGGCCAAGACGGCCTCTGGGCAGAGATACTTCCTCAAGTGAGTACACGCTGGCAACGAGCGTCGACACACCGTTGCTGCCGGACGCTCCGTCTTCTGGGAAACCTGGGAGTTTTTTTCAGCAGGTTGATCTCGTGTGTTTTGTGGGGAATGGACGGGTGGATTTGAGCGGAGGCAAAGTGTTTTTATTGATTTATAGCACGTGGAGTCCTCAGCCAGCCCCGTGGACACCCCTCTGTCCTTCTGGCACCACTTTGCATTCCGATGGAGGCTCTGTAATGCAAATATTTGTTTTTACTAAAAACCTCATTACAATTAATGTATGACTTTGACCTGATAATGTGAGGATTTGTGGGGGGTGGGGGGGGGGGCGTCTGCGGTAACTACCCAAGTGTATCACCAACACATCATAGGAAATGCGTGTCCTTTCTTTATTATTTGTCAAACAAGACCGTGTTTGTCGTTAGAAAGTTCTTGACTTTCACCAAAGTGCAGGAAAGCTGCTTAATACCTGCTGTCTTTTTTTTTATGACCTCTTCAAACAGAGAAGGGTCCCTCCAGTGAACCGATAATATACCAAAAAATGAGCATCTCCCTTGGCTTCAACCTTTTGCAACCGCATTTGAAGAACGGAACACGTCAACTTGGGCTAATGTTTGATAAAAGTCCAACTAGCAGAGACGGGGTCTTGGGATCCAGCTCTGCACAGTGGACATTATGCTGACAATCATTTACAAATCTGCTGCGGTGCACAATGAGGGCCAGTGAGCTCAAAAAGAGACAATTGTAATAGTTGAATTGTGGCTTATTAAATTTGGTGGCGTCTGCCAACAAGGGAGATGTCTTTTGAGGGCCTGCTGCTGTGTGTGGTGTTCCTTTTCTTGGGATCAGGTTTCAGTAGAAACAATGGGTCATTGTAGCCGCCTCAAGACGGCAAAGGACAGACTTCTCCGCACAGCTCATCTGCTAACCAGCACATCTCCTATTGGGGATCCAAAGTATACTCTGAGAAAAGAAATGGGCAGTCCTTATAGCAGAGCCCTCTTTTAAGACGGTCTGCGTCAGTGACCTTTGGGGATGTAAGAGTTCTTATTCTTCTTTTATAAATTATGTATTGGTTATTTGTAGCTCAGCGAAAAAAGCCGGTTTGAAGGGTTGATAAAAGTCGTTCTGGAACGTTCCAAAGTGTATTGAAAAGCTCAGGGGCTCGTGTTTTTGAGGCAATTTGACATTGAAAGTTGTCTCTAACTCCCCTCAAAGGCAAAACGCTGTCTGTTCTGGGCAATATTACTCTGTACTCTGAGATGTTTTAAGGTTTCACATCTGGCAAACATCTGGGCCGTTTTTTTTTTTTTTTAGGAGGCTCTTCAAAAAATGTACAAAAGCACTCGTGGTTTAAGGGAGGGAAGAAGGGAGAAAAAAAAAATCTATTCGCTGGACTCTCCCAGGATCACTGCTTGTGTTTACTGAGGGATCGAATGCGCCTCCAGACAATAAGTAACATAGCAGACCAAGTTCAGTCTGCTAAAGACGAACCTGGATAACGTAACATGACAGAATATAATATCATTATTTGCACTCAAGTGTTGTTTTTTGGAGATATGTCTGTTTTGAAAATCAAACCGTGTAATTTCTTCTTTATAACAAATTGTGTAATTGTCAAAGAGTTGAGTCTTTTTGTTTTACTGCATTTTATATTGAAACCGAAACTGGACTCCAGGTGAACAATTACTGTCTCTGACTAATGATTGCTCAATTGATTGATCATTGACGAGGGCACAATTATTATTTATTTTTTCACCGTGTAGCTGCAGAGCTTCTTTCTCTCTTCTAAAAATAACAATTTACTGGATCCAGATTATCAAATCCAATCCTTGTATGACAATGCAGTCGTTGAATACTCGACTAGACTGATTAGACATTTTAGCCTCTGCTCCTTCTGTGTTTACAAGTCAACTCGAAAAAGCGTTGCATCTTGCACCCTTCGGCTTGTGTCGCTGCGGAGAGCCGCCGCGTTTCCACCGGCGAGCCAGCAAGCGTACGTCTAGCACACCGCGTGTGTCTTCAAAGTCAGGAAAAACTCTGGCAGACCTCGTCCAGCCGCCGCCGCCGCCGCACATCAAAGTGCAGATATTCGATCTGGAATACAGGCGGCCTCAGCAGAGCGGCTGCAAAAGACACTCCCCTATTTATAAACGGGGGTTGTCTGAGCGAGACGAGTTGCAGAAGGAGGGAGAGCGAGAGAGTGTGGGTGGGTGGGTTGTGGAGTCTGTCACCAGCGAGCACAGAGGGGGGGCTCACATTACACTCCGGTGACCGCTGTTGTCCTTAGAGATAAATCAACCCGGGGTGAAAGTTTTTTTCATTTTATTTTATACATTTAAAATAAATCACTTTCTTCAAGTTGTTTACTCGATACACCACAGGATCATGCAGTCGGGTGGGTGGGTGGGGGGCGGCGGTCTCTCTCTCTCTGTGAGTCGCATCGCAGGCCCGGCTCCGCTTTGGGCATGAATGGAGCCGTGGCGCTGTGATGGCGCCTCCTTTGTGTCAGTGGAGTTAAATAACACCCATGCGGAGATGACTAGAAGAGGGGCCAAAGAGAAACTCCGCCCCCCCCCCCTTTGTCCCAGCAGTCAAACAGTGATCTTTATTCAGACCGCAGGCCCGGCGAGACTCATGTGAGCCATCCCAAAATAGACAAATGGTTGACATGAAGTTTTAAAGATGGCGGTGGGAGAGGAGAACGTGCTCCTCAAGACTTTTACCGCGTTCCTCACATCTGAAGTGTTGAGAAACATTGCTTGGAGTGTTTTTTTCCTCCTTTTATTAAGAGTAATCAAATGCTGACCTATATTTGTTTCTAGCCTCTTTTTTTTTTTTTTTTTTTTCTTCCTGTTCTTTGTTTCTCTATCATTTCTAATTGATGTCCACTGGGGTGCTTTTGAAATGTTGATCCAATAAATCAAAAGTTTACCCATTTTAGATAATTTGTTGTGTTAGGAAATAAGAGTTCAATAAGCGAAAAGAAACAACAACTTTTGTTTTGACTATAACACAAATAACTAAATCCTTAAGCTGAGGAGAAGTCTGAGAACTCTGGGAGAATGTCAACAAAGTCTGTTGACCTTTCCTCCTCTTTCTTCCAGCAGTTTTCTGTGCCCTTTGATTTATGACAGCAGGGGCAGGGAGGTTGGGTCACCTTGTTTGGCGGGGAGATAGAGGGGGGGAGGGGGGCAGGGCCGGTCTCCAGGGCTCGGTCATAAAGTAATGAAGGTTTCTAATTTAGACACACCGGTAAACTAGGAGGGGTAATCACTGTTTCCGGGCGCTAATTAAATGCAGCTTTGAATGAGCTTTTAGTCCGTGGGAAGTCAGCCCTAAGCGGAGGGAAGCTTTTGGGGGGGGGGGGCAACTATTGTGTGCCCCCAGGGGCAGGTAGAGCTCAGTGTTGATGGACACTTTTGTCTTTTCTCAATTGGATCTTAAACTGTTTTGATGAGCCCGGTTTCCCACAACCGGAGTGGCTGACTCGCCTATTTCCAAATTCACCAGAGATTTATAAAGGATCAACTTATCCGCTGTGACCAGGTTTAATAATTCAAATCTCTTCGTACTGTAAAAAGCTACTCATTATTTGTCTGTAAATTGTGCTCGGCCCAAGGAACACTAGGCAGGCTGAGAGCAAGGCCGGCTTCAGTGTGTGTTTCCTGGACATCTGTTGCTCTAAAAACGTGTCTGAGAGGGCCCCCATTTAATGCATCACAATATTAATAGAAATGGCTGGTTCTTGTTTTAATATCTACCAACATTGCATTCACTTATTTCCGTCGCCTTTACTTTTTTTAAATGGAAGTCATGAGCGATGTGAATGAATGAGATGGTGCGAGATCTCACAAGGAGACCCAATGCTGTTTACGCGCACGTACGAGGGCTATTGTTCTCTCCACTACTACTAACTATTTTGTGCTGAAAGGCCGCTATTTACTTACTGTTTATAATTCAGCTGGTAACCGTATTATAAAAGCAATGAGGTACTTTGAGGCAGTACTTTATCGTCCAATAATGTACTAGTCTGATGGCTGCAGTATTGGACGATAAAGTGCAGCCTCTCGTACCTTATTGCTTAAGCGCAGCTGACTTACTGTCCAATCACTCGTACCCGCCCTCTTACGTAAGCGTCACGCGTCACGCCTAAATATTTTCTGTATTGACTGTTATGCGATTACTTAAAGCTTGAGGTGCTATGCAGAGCATGTGGCTTTCAAATTGAGCAGGAGGCACAAGTGACGATGTCAGATATTGGTTCTGAGAGCAACAAGCATGGATATCGCCGAGGTGCCCCCCCGACTGCACCCTCATCATTTGGAGCAACTTTGTGTTTGACAAACTTTTGGTATATTGACCACACACAGACAAAGCCCTTCCTGTTCCACTGGGGCCTGTCAGCTCGGTACACAAATGGGACTGTGAGAAAATCCTGCTCGTGTTTACCGAAGTCTTGATGTAACACCTCTGTCCCAGACATCAATGCCTTCACTGTCACCGGGCGCATCTCCACAGAGACGTAGAATCTGGCTCACGGGCCGTCTCAGGTGAAAACCACTCGAACCGGGGCACAAAACTCGGAAACATTCGTACTTGTAATGTTTATTTGAATTATTTTACTCTTAAAATGTGACATGTTGTCTACCAATTTGTTTAATTTGAGATTATGTAACACCTCTATTTAACCTCACATGGCTCTGCTTAAAAAGGGGGCTTAAATACATTAGTCTTTTGAATTGTGCTTTGAAATAAGCAGCTCAGTCCTGTTGCTTTGTGAATTAGTTGCTTCGTTAGGAAGTATGATGAGACAAACCCTCCTTCAAAGGGAAACTTAAAGCCACAATGGGGTCACAGGGGTTGCCACAATAGGGTCACAGAGGTTGCCCCAATAATCTCTCTTGATGATGTCCTGCTGATAGAGAGGCAGCCAGGCATCCCCAGTCAACCAGAGAGGAGGTGGTCTTTCCCATCTTAGAGGCCTGATTACATCTTGCCTCCCTCAGTGCACCCTTTCGTCATCGGCTTCAACCGACTTCCAAGCCCATACTCCCTGGGTGGAGCCACTGTGGCCCGAGGATCCCATTTTTAACATTTGACAACTCAGCTGTGGGGTGTATTTCGTCGCCGCTGCACTCCCCATTGCTTCACTCCCTTGTTTCACAGCAGTCAAACGCAGATTTGGACATCTGGCTTTGAGGAGGGAGCGTTTCAGCGGATCTGCCTGGCCTCAAATCAAGCTTTGATCCGCTGTTTTTTGGCAGGTAGCGGAGCTTATTCACAGACTTTTCAACCGCAGACTAGACTTATTTTTTGGCAAAAACACTCTTCTCAAAGCCCAGATGTAAACTATACAGTTTTCATGCATGTAAACAAGCAGTCGCGGTGTTGGGGCGTTTGTCATACCGCTGTAATCGGACGAGGTCGGTGCAACAAGTGCGACAGTCAGACCTCTTCACTGGGATCTCTTCGGGGATGTTGAACCTCGGCCGAGTTCCTCTTTGAAGCTCAATCCAAAAAAAAAAATCCCTCAGTCGCAGGCTTTTAAACGCACATTGAACTACTGATGGTGAACCGTTCTCAAATGTCCCTGGTGTAGCAAGAAAAACTCTGATTCAACAGGGACCGAAAAAGTTGAATGCCAAATGATTTAAGCAACGTCAAGTTTAGCCTTTATGCGAAAGGTCCCACTCCCTCCTCCTCAGCAAGACGCATTATAAATAACGCTGACACAATAAACGCCACCTCGATAATTGGGCCATCAGTCAAGGAGATGTCAAGTGCCGGGGTGGATCAAGGGTCCTACTCCGCGCTAAGCCACAGTCGGCCATGATGATTGCTTGAGCAAAAACGAGCGAGCGCTGCAGGCGGCTCTTTTGCAGCAGTACCTGGCAAACTTGCACTCAGTCAAGCTAACCGGGGGGGGGCGGATGTTTTGTCTTCAGGGATTGACAAGCGGCCAATATCGACGGTCGGACTGTTCTATATTTGAAGACGTTTGGAAAGTGCTCTCAGTGTGGTGATCAATTTTAATTAAGCATCATGCAGGGTTGAACAAAACAGTAAAAACATCAGATTGTTGTTTTCAACTGTAAGTAGTGTGGAAGAGGCCTAACCCGCAGCCCGCTGGCTCTGTGTCCACTGCCCTGCCCAGTGTGTGTGTGTGTGTGTGTGTGTGTGTGTGTGTGTGTGGGGGGGGGGTTGGAGGGGAGGGGGAGGGTTAGGGTGTGGTGGCCGTCCTGCTAAGCTCGCCGTGGTGTCCTGACATGTAAGGACAACACCGCAGCAGTTGTGACCGCGGAGAGGTTGCAGATCATCAGCAATTCCTGACAGCAACTGGTGGCCTCCAGCCGGCCCGACAGTTGCCATGACATTGCTTTGTTTTATGTTGCGGCGGCGGGAAGCGGCGTCTGGCCCCGGCCGTATAGGGTCGAGTGACTGGATTATCTTTTAGTTTCAAGAATCCGGCGATGAATTACCGGGCAGTCTGTCATTTATTAACCGTTTCCCCTCACGCAGGCTCCTTGGAGTACAGTGTGTCGCTTTGGGAACCCGCGCAGTGCGCGACTTTTTATCACCGGCGTTTTGATAAAAATCCACTCTGTTTCCAGCAGACGCTGTGTTTACATCTGTTTTGATTGATTTGAGGCACAATCATTGGAGAGGTAGGGGGGGGGGGCGGGGGGGGTTGATAGAAAATCCAATCTTTGTACTTTCATCTTTGCTAAGAGAAGCCCATTTAAAGGGGCTGCTGATAAGGATTTATAATCACTGTTCTTGGAGTCTGTGAGCTTTAAAAATGTCCACGTTTGCCACTTGTAGCATTTCTGTACCAGGATGTGCAGGCCGCTCGCTAACCATAATCTCCCCCCCCCCTTCCCTTATCCCGGTGCTTCTCTCCCGAGTCTCCTCCCCTGTATAATAAATGTCATAGTTTCCAGAGTGGGAAGGAGGCAGAGGAGAGGGGGGGGCAGGGCAGGGCGGGCTCTCGCAGTGTAACAAGACCACAGCAACTCGCGCAGCCAATGGAATTTGGGCGGGGGGGATTGCTTCCGTACATGCCCCCCTCCCGCCACCCCGTTTCACCCCCCCACCCCTGTTCTTTTCTGTAGTTGTCTCACCCCGCTCCCTGTGACCCTGCTTTCTCAAAGCCCCCCCTCCCAAACTGAGCACTTCCAGCTATTTTGCTTGGTTTGTGGTGTGTGTGTGTGTGTGTGTGTGTGTGTGTGTGTGTGTGAGGGCTGGGGGAGGGTTTGGTAGGGGATTTGGCAGCTCCTTTGATCAGCAAAGCATAAACAAGAGGGGGCTTCAAAATGGGTTGCATTGTGTAGGGGGAGGGGAGGGGGGTGGGGGGGGGGGTGCTGAGTCAGGCTCTCTGGCCCGGGATAGAGCGCAGACGGGCAGGCTGGGATTACCGCAGAGGCCAAAAAGACCCTCCGAATCGCTCAATTCAACCAGCTGTTTGAAAATGTGGCCTAATGGTGCTGTGGGATCAAGTTAACCGAGGAGCAGGGTGCGACGTATGGATTGCCGAGGGGAATATTTAATTGCATCGTGGGCAAACTCTACTTTTTCTCACTATAAAATAACGTCGTCCCTCCAAAAATACCCAAATTGGTTTGCGGCGTTCCAACAACAGGCTGCTGGAGTCTTGAATGGGATGTTTTGGAAAAACAAAACCAAAAGAACAAGTGAATGGTGGGGTTTTAGGTCGTAGCTCAGTCTGTGCCTTTGTCAAGCAGGTGAAAGCTTTGTAAATGTGGCGCCAGATTGTTAAAGCCCCCCTGACACTCCACAGTGTCCGAGCCACTTCCAGGAAAAAGGACCCCCTGCGTTGAGCCCTGGGACTGACCCTCCCTCAATGGAGAGGTTCCCGCTCGGGAGAGGAGGGCTTCCCGTATTAGCTTTCCATCTTAATCAAGCAACAAGTACCAACAAAGCACTAATTATCAATGCCTTCACAGAATGCAACACAAAGCCCCCCCCCCCCCCCCTCCCGTTCTGGCCGAAACGTGGCGTGAAAATAAAGGCGCCGCATTGTGGTGTGTTTAAAACCAACGTAACCCCCTAAACATTTTTAAGAAAGAGTGTTTGGGCTTCCCAAAGTCCCCAATGGTTGAATTGGTCCATTTTCCGGTGTTGGAGCCCGCTGGCTTATGTCATTTATAAATTCATTTCAAATACGAAAAAAGTCCACTTGATACTTTTCTGAGATCTAGGCGAAAAAAAGAAAAATCTCCCCGCTCTATAATTGAGTTGTGGGGGTCAGACCGGGTGCCAACAGAAGCAGCTGAGTTTGGGTTTCCTGTAAAAGTCACAGTTTACACGAAAGCATGCATTACATTCAGTGAGTCATTTGTTCCCTGATCTCCCGTGTTGCATTAATATATGAGAAATAGTAGGCATAACAAGCCCCCGGTTAACGGCTGATTTAGTTTTGGAAAACCACTGTCATTTATTGGACTTATTTATTTTTTGGGCTTTCAGTGTCTCCTTACAGCCATATTGATCAGAACCACGGCCTGGCAGGATCCTCGCAAAGCCCTGCTCCAGATGAACCAGGCTCCCCCTCCCAGTACCGGGCCAGTCCAGCAGCAGAACATTATGAACCCGGCCAGTGGTACGTACACGTTGACGTTATTCGGTTTAGCGTTCGCACACATGCCGCGCACCACGTGTAACACGGCACCACAAGTTCTACAATGTGGGATTTTCCAGCGTTAAAACTAAACCCGCTGTTATTTCTGGCCGTCGTTTTTTTTTTTAACTTTCGCACCACATACAGTAGAAGTCCGGCGCAGTCTGGTCTCGTTTTTACATGTCACTAAGACTCCGTTTACCTCGGTTGCGGTTGGAATTTGCCCCAGGTGAGGTAAGGCAGAACGTGACGCGTCCTGTCTGACATGTTTGGGAGCTCCGTGACTCTATGATTACTGATGAAGTCTGTATCGGCCTGTAATTTGTTGCGGGCAACCTGTACGATAACCTCCAGGAAGATGCAACAACCTGGATTGTGGGGATAAAATAAGGTTGTATTTGTCTTGTCACTTTTCCAAATAGCCCGTTTTTTAAATTTTTCTCCAATGTAGTGGAAATGATTAATTGATAAATGGATGGATGAGCGGATGGATGGATAGATTTTACAACACAAAGAAGAATCGTCAATAGAATAAACTTTAAGGCTAAACAGAAAATTCCAGATGAATTATTTGAAAAGGAACAGGCCGAGTTAAACCCGTATTATGTCCTGCTCCTCCAACTTAGCTTGACTGTTAAGTTATTGTTAATAAGATACATACATAAGAGAGTTTTCTCTGGTCTGGCCCGGGTTTGATTGACAGCTTTCACACCTGCCCAAACCGCTGAGGGGTTAAAGCACTTTTAGATTTCATTTCCCCTCCTAAGATGACGTAACGTTCCTCTCTGTCTGACAACCTTTTTTTGCATGTTGCCAGAAAGTAAATAGTGTTCAGTGTTGTAGTCTTAGATACTTGCATACATGCCGCTTCATCTCAAACACGCCGTATTTATACCCAAATATGGAACGATGCTCCGGCTGATACCGAGGTAGCCGTTAATGACGCCGTTGTGCAACATATATAGAATCTGAGGCGTGACTGTACCATCGGCATCTGTCCAACGTTATTGTTGCCTGTCATCCCTCAGGTCCTCTCCCTGAGGCCTGGGAACAAGCTATTACATCAGACGGAGAAATTTACTACATCAACCACAAGAACAAGACCACATCCTGGCTTGACCCACGACTTGACCCACGCTTTGGTGAGTTTGCTATAGAGAGGATTTCCTTAGTTTAATTCTTGATTTAATTAGAATACAGTGTCTTATAAATGAACCTGGTTATATCCGGCACCCACGAATCAGTGAAGCTGCTTAAATTGTATAATATGTTTATTGTATATGGAACCGAACGAGACCTCCTTTTCTTCAACATGTTTTAGTGACGGCAGTTTTCTTTCTTTCAGTAGAAAGTTCTAGTTAATCCTTAAAACGTTCATCAGCACGATGAAAAAGTGCGTGCAGTTCTGTAATGATTCATTGTTTATTTCACTGATCTACATTGTTCTGGAGTGACTAACCACACCGTCGGTTGTTAAAACCAGATTTCCTGAAACCGCCCGCCCTCAAAATCTTCACCTAACCTTTTGTCGGCCATTTTAAGCATTGGAGCAACAGCTGAGTTAGCCATTAACACCCCCTCTCCCTCTCCCTCCCCCGGGCCAAGCTTTAGATTGACACTTAGCTTCTCAGTGTGTGTGTTTGTGGGTGTGTGTGGTGGCCGAGGGGGTTCGGTGAATCAGCGACAAGGACCCGCTACATGCGTGGAGATCCCTCCGGCCGCGGGAATGAGCTCATCCTCGTGTGTGAGGAAGCCTCCTGAGAGATGACGGTTCCTGCTTGTCACTGTGACTCATTTACGCTTCATTACAGCCGCGTTCCCCAGGGAGGCAACGTGTGTGTCAATCGCCACGAAGCCTGTTATCCTGTTTAATTTTAGCCGTTTCTTTTTTTTTTTTTTCTCCCCAATTGCACCTAAAAGGCAGTTGTTTTGGGTTTTTTTTCCCATCAGCGAGTCTCTCTCTCTCTCTCTCTCTCTCTCTCTCTCTCTCTCTCTCTCTCTCTCTCTCTCTCTCTCTCTCTCTCTCTCTCTCTCTAAAGACCGGCAGGAAAGTTCAAAACAGAGTTGTAAGGGGAGCGGGGCAGCTGGGGAGAGATGGCGGCTCCGATCGGCGGAGCTCTTTGAAGATTTATAAGTCTTGAACACACAGGGCTGCTGGGCCCCTGAAAGCGAGTGAGCGGGAGAAAGAGATCATCTTAACTCGTTATGTGCAACCGAACGTCGTCGTGCTCCACATGAGAACAAATCTCTCTGTGCGTAAATACTTTAATGACTCCCATTTACATCTCTTGGTGTGCTCACATGCTGTTTTTTTTTTAAACTAGATTTTAAGAAAGAATGCGTGTGACACTTCCAGCTACCTGATATTCCAAGTGTGGTTGAAGGAAAAAAATTAGACTTGTGGGTTTTTTTTTCTCTGCACTGGAGCACAGCCGATGCGCTCCTCGGCTTCAGAAACCCTACTATGCTCCTGCTATGTGGGTCTCCAATCGTAAGCCAGCTGCTTTGATAATGGAGGCTAATTTGAGCCCTGAGAAGAAAAGCAGCGGAGCGCCTTTAGCTGAGGGCTGTAGCCGGCCGGCTCTCCCCCCTGCGTGAGGCCCCGTGCAGGCACAGCCCCATTCTGCTGCAGCTCCAGACAGACTTGAATCTCTGCCAGGCCTCTTTATTCTGTGGTCCAACTCTTAATCTGTTCCAGACCTTTTCAGTCAAAGAACTCCAATGTGAGAGGGGAGGTGGGGAGGTGAGGGGGGGGGGATGAAGGGAGAGGCACGGCGAAAAAGTGGGAAGAAACAAAAAAAACCCCGGAGGAACAGAGGGAAATACGCCGACGGGATAAGCACGCATCCTCTTTAACATCCGAGGAGGTGGCGAGCGGCGAAACAAGCCATGAGGGCGCTGCGGCGAGGGGGGGCTGTACTACTCCAGAGGAGCAGTGTAGATAAAAACAAAGGATACCGTAGAGCGCCGGGAGACCGATTTCGGTTTGCTTTGAAGCCTTAATCTAAAGCGGTTTGTTAAACACATTATCCGTCATGTGAGTTTCTTTCTTTTTTTTTTTCTTCTGTCAAAAGTGCTTCACCAGGAAAGTTGGCATAGCGTGATGGTGCGGGCAGTCAGTCGGTTTAAAGGGATGGTTCCCAAATGGGGGGGGGGGGTCCGCGGCTTCATTTCCAACCCTAACAACAGCCGCGACGGTAAACAACAAAAATAAAAACAAAAGCGAAACCGACACGACGCGCAGCATCAGAACGACAGCGAAAAAGATGAGACGTAGGAAACGAGCAATATACAAAGATGGACAGATTGGCAACGCGAGCTCCTCGACAACGGCAAGAAAAAAAGGTAAACGCTATAAAGCACAACGAGGCATATCTGCTTTACAAGGCCAGGAAGAGGGACCCCAGTGTGTTGTGTGTCTTAAGATTCTGGCAGCTGTAAGTATGAAGGCCACGAAAATAAAAAGACACTTGGAAACCCGCCACCCCGATCATGTGAACAAGCCCCTCGAGTTTCCCAAGGTGGGAAAATATGATGTTTGCACTTTTATGTGCTTGCATACTTATTTGAGATTAGTTTGGAAGAACCTCATGCTCAATGTGAAGTTTTGTACTGTTCCAAACTTCAATTTTAATATTTGAAATAAATGTACTTATTTACTTATATGTTTACAAAATGAAATCAAACCACATTTTCTTTAATAGAGTTTATATACTATAATACTACAAAGAACGAATTACCCAATTTTCTTTTGTTTCGGGTGGAGGGAGGGGGAGGGGGAGGGTGGGGTGTTATTTATATATTATATATTATGTTAAACATTATTATATATTCTCAAAGGGTCCCTGACAAACCATTTGGGAACCACACGTGTAAAGGCTTTGCTTTTAATATTTGCACCAAAACAATGGAACTGAATTTAGTTCACAACTTGGAAAGAAGTTCCTATCAACTATTTGCGGAGGTGGGGGACTAAACATTAAACAGGGATTCCTTCCAGTGGATTCGCGTCGTAGTGAAACTTGCATTCCAGTCCTCAGTTTACTTAAATTACAATACTGCAAGCGTCGACTACAACGCGGTGATCTTGTGTGGCGCTGCGCCGATAAGGGCCAGTGCTGCTGGCCTCGGTGCGGTGCAGGGGCGTGCGTGAAGAAGACAAAAGGCAGACCGCATTAACCTGTCTCTTATCTGCCTGCCCCACCAGCTATCGCCGCCCATATGCGCTGCTGACTCCGACCACGCCACCAAAACCACGCACTCACACACGTCTCCTCCGCCAAGTGTGGCCTCTGTGCGTGTGTGTTTTTAAATTTTTTTTTTATTTATGCTATCGCTGTGGCCCTGAAGTGAACCTGTCCTTCGCTGCTATCTCGCCCTCAGATGTAATTCCCTGCTGCGATACGCTCATTGTTTGGGCCTAGCTCCTCCCGTAACATTGGTTGCTGTTTGGTCTGTGGGGGGAGTCCTTGACTCGGTACTTCAGCAGAATCTCACCTGTGAGGCTGCGTTTGTCAACATACTGTTTTTGTGTGTGGCACCCCACGCACTTTTCACTGTGTACTCTTCCTCAAGACTCCCACCGCCAAGAACAATGCCAGTTGATTTCAACTGGCCGTTATTTACGTAGTTGTGGCTACGATAACGTCGTACAGTAGCTTCAGATAACGCTGTACTCTCCACTCAGATCGCGCAGAAAGTTATGACGAGAAGGTAAAAGCGCAGCGTTGCCGTCTATTCCAAATAAGCGCAGCGTTCTGAGCGTGGTTTGTTGCCCTGTCAAACTTCCGAAAAGCCACACCATGCATCGGGTGCACACCAGATTTCAAAGCTCCGGCCTCACTTGGCCCATGTGCACCGCCGCTCTACCTTGAGACCTGCTAATGGTGCCTGCACGGTGCAGCGATCCAGCCTCAAAGGCCCTCGGTATCTGCAAAAGATAAGAAGTGTAACACTCTCCCATGGTGTATGCGTGTGTGTGTGTGTGTGTGTGACGGGGGGGGGGGGGTGATTCAGTCAGGGTGGGGCCTGCAGAGCTTCCCAGGGAGAGCCTGGAGCCACGGTTCATTCAGCTCCTGAGATAGTGTAAACAGACAGTGATTGAATAGTGATGAGAAAGGTGCCGGGGCGGCCAGGACAGCAGAGAGGCAGCCCTGCATGAAGCGCCGCCCCCCCCCCTCCCGGGAAAGGCTTTGTTTTGGTTGGTGCTTCAAGCGCATAAGCAAACAGCTCTCACCATTGGTTCCATTACTGTCCAGCACATTTGCTTAGTCTTTCCCCACTATGGTGACAAAGTGTGTGTGACCTACTTTGCATGCGTAGACCGCTGCGCTGCTTTCATGTGACATGTTTGTTGGATCCAACCTCGCCAGAGTTAAGAAAAACAAAAATGAAACCGAGGGAGGGCTGTGTTTTTTTTTTTTTTTTTTTTTTTTTTTTTTCCTTTCTTTTTTTTTTCCAATACGCACGCACGTGTTGTGATCATTTCAACCTGCTGTTAGCTCGTCGGCGCACAATGCAATTACATTTCCCGGGCGAAAGATTGTTGATAGTGGTGCAGTGTTTACAGAACCCAATCTATTGTAAAATGCATTTGTCTGATTAGCGCACAGACCGGCCAGTCAGGCCAGGGTCAAGAGACAGTCAGTCTTAAAGGATAATCTGTTAAGAAGGAAACAAAACGCACAATGAAAGGATAAGTCATAACTGATGCAATGTACGAAAGTAACCTGTCTTAGTCAGAGAGTGGGAGGGGATCAGGTCTTACAGGAAGAGTGATTGTTTCACGGACTCGGTAGTAAAAGACTTCCCTTGTCCTACATAACCTGCTGCACTGGCTTCACTCTTTTACAAGTTCACCGTTTAAACAAAAAAAAAAAACACAAGTTGTTCGTCTTGTTACGCAGCCAGTTGTCTATAGGTGTGTGTTCCGGACAAGGTAGTGTATTGTTTGCCTACCGGGGAACCCACGTTCGATATTGAAACACGTCATCGGTAAAACTGCAACGTATCGTTCTGGCTCAACAACAGAAAGGGGACAGAAAGAAAACGTAAGATATCTCATCCCGCTTAATTGAGACCCAGAAGATCTTCCCCCGTTTGCCAGAAAGACACTTTGCTGTTTGGTTTGCACTTTTCTCCACAGAATATAGACTGTACGCAATCTGGTTAAGGGTAAACTGGATTCACCAGTTTCTCTTAGTACCTTTTTCCATTTAGAGTCTCAGTATACAACCTTTAAGCTGACAAACTCATGCAGTATTAACCCTATGCAATGCTTGAAATAACACCAGCAGTAACACATTTGAACTCATTCCTGTCTCTTTCTGCAGCCCTGAACCAGCAAAGGATCTCCCAGAGTGCTCCAGTGAAGCAGGGGGGGCAGCTCCCGCCCGGATTCGCAGTAGGCAACAGCCAGATGAGGCTGCAGCAGATGGAGAAGGAGAGGCTGAGACAAAAGCAACAGGAGCTGCTTCGGCAGAGACCACAGGTCAGGAATCGGGAGGAAAAGAGTAGAAAAAAATGGAAGAAAAGAAGAAATGTTCAAAAGCCTTTTTTGGGAGGTGCCGTGGCCTCACGGAGGAACAACTAACTTGTATCAAAAGGTCTCAAGGTCAATCCTTTCAGTATGTGCACGTCCCCCTGTGTAGCAGCAGGACACCGCTTACTGGTCGGATGAGATCACCGGAAAATGTTTATCTTTTTTAAATGTGATGCTGCTCTCCTCAATAAGCCCTTTTTAATAGGAGACATCATTCCTAGTTATGGCGGTTTAGGCTCCTTTGATCGCTCTTTATTGTTGCAGCACCCTGCAATGAACTGCTGTGAGTCACATGTGGTCATTTTATCACTTCCTAACTGCGATGTGTCACCGCACCGCCCACGCTGGGCGGCGCGGCCGAGTCCCGTCGTTTACTCAAGGTCGTGTCACACCGCCAGTGAGCGAGGGCTTTATTTATATGAATGGGGGGGTGCTGGTGACTTGTTTACCGAGCCATTCCCCTGGGCTGTTGAAAGTCCACCGTGTAGGAAGTGAAAAGATGGTTTGGACTGTCCTTCAAAAAGAGCAACGTAGTATTAAGTTACCTGGTTATTGTTGACTTTCTCAAATGTAATTTGATTTATTTTTCATCATTTACTATTATTTAAAGGCGTTTCACTGCGACCAGGTTATATCAGCGCATGCATTTACTATTCCCTGCCTTCCCACCAGATCTGCTCCTGGTTTGTGTGCATGCAAGGAAGACCTTATGAGGTAGAGTCAGGCCCAACATGGAGAAGGTTAAAGGTCTAATAAGGTCCAAACTCCAGCGACACTTGAAATGTATTCAACAGCTTTAATATTTGACCAGTTGTTCGACATACTTCGGGTGTTGCTGGAGTTTCGACCTCTTCAGAAATCCATTTTGACTCCTAAGCAGAGCAGTCATCAAACCTCAGATATCCTCCCTTTCCAGTAAACAAGGCTCACTGGAAAATTACAGATGATGGGATTGTAGACAGTTTACATTCCAAAAGCTCCACTATCAGGCTTCCGAGTAGATTCTCAACCCCAACTATTGAGTAACCTTTTAGGAAGTTTCAGGATGCCGTACTGCTTTTGCAAATACAGGAGAGCATGAGTATAGTAGGAAATTGTGTGCAGGCTATATGCTTGTGTGGGGAGTTCAACCTCCGGGCAATAACAGCCACACCCAAATGGGTTCCACATGGCAGCAGTGCGATGAAGAGCGGCGACGTGTGCAGCTTGCCGGTGGCAGTCCAGTGCCGACGCCGCTAGGCCATGCTCAAAAAGGAAGCCCAGAAGACCATTCCGGTTGTTGACAGTACACAACCCTCATAACCCGTCTGAATCCACATCAGATTGTTTACATGTGTAAGGATGTAGTAGAAGGAAACTCCTTGCTGCACCACTACGACCACAGCTGGGGAAACAGCATTTTTTATTTCGATTTTTGCCTCTGACAATGTTCTGTCCAACTCCCCTCAACCACGACCAATAGAAGCTTTTAATTAAGCCCTTTAAGGTGTCCCGCTGCGTCCCCCCCCCCCATCTATACAAGCAACCTCCCATTGGCTCCCTGTTGTTGTCTATGACCCCGTAAAGGTTTAATGAGATGTCAAACGGCGACGTTGGTCAAGTCACTTCACCTTCCCGTTCAAGGACTTCCAGAGGAAGGAGGTGGAAAAGAGCATGACTTCATATCCGTTGCCTTATCTGATCCGAGCAGGGTCTGAGCATGTGTGGAAAACAATTGTGCCCAACTGTTGTCGGCCTCCCGTGTAATGTGACACCCTGTATGGGGAGGAATGGACAGCACCATGTTGGCGGTCTGTCTGTAATTCCTTGAACATTTTTACGCAGCGACAGCAGCGCAGCAGGGGTAGAAAACTGTTGTGCCGTGTATTATTAGCCGCTGAGGTTGGGTGTGGGGGTTGATTTAAACCCTCCATGGGTTTAAAATGTTCTTCTTTTCGGCTTTCATTTTCCGCAGGAGCTCTCCATAAGGAATCAGCTGCCTACAAGTATGGATCAAGATGGCGGCACGAACCCTGTGTCCTCCCCTATGGCCCAGGATGCCCGGACCATGACCGCCAACAGCACTGACCCATTCCTCAACAGGTCGGTTTAATGCAAAAACCCAGCAGCAGCATCATTCCCACACTACTCCTCCAGCGCCACCACAGTTGAGGAGCAGTTGGCGAGGGCTTCCATTCTGGCTGAGCTCGTCAGACGGGATGGATGTTTGAGCTCCTAGAGTTACACAAGCAGGGCGAACAGAAGGCCACTCTCTGGGCTTAACCCTCCTCACATGGTAATGTCTCATAAGGACGCCGTCCACTGCACGACGATGACCCCTGGTGTACAAACGGCAGCACTGGAGGCCAGCGGAAGCTACATGGCGGACGGGACCCCCAATATGAAAAGAAACTCCACACTTTCATTCAAAGTTGAGATTTTTGCGGTTTTGGTTTAGTAACGACGCAAACACCCGACCCATCTGAAACCGCTGCATTCTGGGTACGCGCCCCGAGCAGTTCAAGCTCGAGTTCCTTCAGTGAGCAGAGGAAGTGAGGAAAGCGCTGAATAGCAAGCAGGCCATGAGAACATGTGGTCCAGTCAGTAGACAGGCCAACCTAATCTCCCCCCTCCCCCCACCCCCACCCCCATGCCTCCACTCCCCTACTCTCACAATGGCCTCATTCATCCTGCCTCTGCCATACTCTGCCTACATATTTTTCCTCTGCTAATTAGTATAGGCTTGTCAAATGTCCTCTCTCGGCCTCTTTGTCTCTCTCTCTCTCGTCCCCTTCATTGCTCTTTTCCCTGTGTTCTGTCGGAAAGTGCCAGATATTGAAGCTCGGTGTCACCGTGAATTTACTCCCCATAGCGGTCCAAACAAATATAACGGTGGAAATGTGGATGTGTGTGCAGAAGGTCCCCGAGGGAATTGAGGCCACACTGTTACTTTTCAGCCTGTGTGCTTTTAATAACCGGGTGCGCTGTTTGCTTTGTTTGATCAGTTAATTAGATTCACCTAGTTCAGTTTCAAAGCGGCTAAATGAAGGTCATCGAGGTCGCCCACAAAACTCGGCCCCAGACAAGAACGCTTTTGTCATTTCCTTCAGCTTGATGGAAATCGGGGATGTTCATTAGTGCTGGCGCAGAGTTCACAGAGCTTTCTGTCTTGTCTTTTTTTTTTTTTTTTTTTGTTACGTTTCCAGCGGGACCTACCACTCCAGGGATGAGAGCACCGACAGCGGCTTGAGCATGAGCAGCTACAGCGTCCCTCGCACTCCAGACGACTTCCTCAACAGCGTGGATGAGATGGACACAGGTGAGCTGGAAGCAAAACTCTTCTCCTCTTTCTGGACGAGCCCTCCCTACTCTGCTCGGCTTGGTATAGGACGGCCGGTTTCGGCGAAGAACATAACGCCCCCCCCCCGTGTTGGAAAGTGCTCGCTTATATTTCACAATTCTTTCCAGCTTGGGTCAGATGTCGTACAACACGGTGCCGTAAATAATTGTTAATGGTAGTGGCCAAGAACTGGCTGAAGATACTCTGACGCCGACTACCTCCATCAGCCCCATCTGACATATGATGGCCGGCCTCGGGTCCCACTGTTGACTGCATTCGTTCTGACCCCACCCATACTGCCCTGCACATATTCAGCCATGACATCACGAAGCCTTCAGACTTTTCTGTACACACAAAAAAAAAACACTGGTGTCTTTTCTTTCTTTTTTTTCTTCTTTTTTTTTTGCCACACGTTCCCTCGCCAGATCGCATAATAGAAAATATGAATAACGTAAGTTAGCGAGACGTAGACGATTGTTCCGGCTCGGTTCCACGTCGCACCGTAGCGGCCTTCTCCAGCGCTCTAGTCGTCAGTTTGACATGAATCTGTAACATAGGATCCAGGCTGGAAAACAAGCACACACCTGCGCTTACAGGTCGCAGTGGGAGGAACTCCAGTAAATACAGTTGTTTTGAATGTTGCACCTGCAACTCTCATCTGTCAGGCAGCGTCACAACCCTGGCAGACATCCGCTGCTATAAAAGCCAAATGATGCCGTGTTGTGTTGTTTTGAGGATCAGCAATACTACAGGCCGCAGAAACCAGAGCGAGGCATCCTAATCCGTTCGTGGCGTATGTATAATACTTTTATTCTTCACCAGGGGACGCTCTTCCACCCTCCATGGCAACGCAGCCAAGCCGTTTCCCCGACTACCTGGACGCCATCCCGGGAACAGATGTCGACCTGGGCACCCTGGAGAGCGAGAGCATGGCGGTGGAGGGCGAGGAGCTGATGCCCAGTCTCCAGGAGGCCCTGAGCTCCGACATCCTCAATGACATGGAATCGGTGCTGGCAGCTACCAAGATCGACAAGGAGAGCTTCCTCACGTGGTTATAGAGGGTTTGAGGAGGGCTCCGAACTCCTCTCCCCACACTTTGAACTGCTGCCTGCTCTCATCTGTGAAGGAGTCACGGATGCTTTGGCGAGACATTTCAGCGTTGCCTCCCTGGACCTCGGCATGTAAGGCCAATCTCTTTCGAGGCAGCGTTGTTCTTTTCTTCTTCACTGGTGTGTTATCGCTTTATTTTGTCTGTGTCTTCAAGGCTGGCCCATGAACAGACAATAACGCAAGGGCTCCCCCCGAATCTTTCACAGATCTCTCAGTGAAACTAGGGCATCTTTAACTTGAAGCAGGGTGTTCCTTTCCCTGGTCTCCCTTCAAAGCTGAGCTGGGTGGGTGCATGAACTCTTCTGCAACTCTTTTGCCATCCTCAGTTATCTCCGGAAGCCTCTGGTGCCGCTTTTTTCCTGCAATACAGCATGAAGCAGCGCTACTTAACGGCGTTTGAGACTATTGCATCTAGCTTTTATAGCTTTATATTGGGTCTGGGGTGTTTTTATCCTTTTTAAATTTTTTTTTTTTTTAGTGTGTTGTCAACGAGCCTGACAAACCAAAAATGATGTGTTTGAAGCATAAAGTACAATACTGATTTGGAGTAAAGGTAATGAGGCCAAGTTTGGACATGTTGGCTTTTGGGAGGGGGGGGGGGGGGGTTGTAGCCCGGGGACCGACTACATTGCTGCTTGGCTGTGCCAGCAAGTCTAAGTTAAACCTTTTAATAGATCAAGTGCCTTCAGTAGTATTTTTTTTTTTTTTTGAGACGCGAGCAACATGAACAATTACTAAAAGCAATATGCTGCGTTCGCTTACATCAGCCACACTTTCCTCTATGTAATGTTCAATAATCAAAATTGTATTTTTGTTTTCTAAACGCATAAGGGTATGTAGAGATTTCTGTTTTATGTTTCTCTAAACCCTAGCTTCTAAGTATCTGTCTTATCCAGGCCTGAATCATGAGTCATTCTTTGTTTTATCTTTTCACTCTCCTTTTTGTTTTTAGATTAATACATATGTATGATAGCTTTGAGCAAATTATTTTGTTTCTTGTTTTTTAAATTTCTTTCATAGATTAACTAACATTTTGTTAACGACTTCAACTGTTCGCAGCACACCACTTTCCCAAGATGAAGTCTGCAAAGACACAGAATGGAGTTTGGGCTTAAAGGTGTTTTTATTTTTTTTAATTTTTTTTATTTTTCATTCTTTTGCGGATTCACTTCTTGTCTCTGATTTACTTTATGCGTATTAGAGTTATTGTGATGATCAAATCCTGCTTTTGCTATTTTTGCATTGAAGCATTGATGATCAAATGGAGCTCTTGCTACCTTTCCTAAACCGTAACCAAAAAGGTAAATCTACAGTTCTTCGATCAATCGAACCTCGTGACAATGTACAGTGAACAAACAGCTCCACGGGAGCGTAGCCGCTCTGTACTAAAATGAGGGGTTTATAGACCACAGCCAGGACAAGTTTAAGCAGGTTTGAGACCCATGTGGGGGGGGGGGGGGGGGTGTAATAGTGTAGAAGGCCAGGGATTGACTGATGGTGGTGACTTGCGGATTGTTTTTAGTGTTTTTATTTTATTTTTATTTTTTTTTAGTTTAATTATTTCACAAAAGAATGAACAATCAGTTATTATCCAGTCAGGAATTGTGGTGGCAGATTCCAAAGATGTCTTTTTTTTGTTTTATGACACTAACATTTAATATCGCTTCCATTTTCACAGAGTCCAGAAACCAGTATGGTTTGTAAATCAGCCTCTAAAACACACTGTATAAGCTAATGAGAAAATGATGAAAGTTTCAAGTGTTAATGGACATGTCTATGAATAGGTCTAGCTCAGAGATTTTTCTTTTTAGACAGTTTTGAGTGACTAACCCTAAGATTTTAAAGTTGAGGTTTCAGAACAGAGCAGCAAGTGATTCCTCTATAAGCGCTCGCATGTTTACATTATCTCTGCGTAGGAAACTGCTACATCTGCAGTGGAGACGACACACTGACAATTCTCTCATAATCCCATTACTTTGATGTTTACACCATGACTACATCTTTGCATGACGGCAGTAACCTTTGAAAAGTCAGCCTGCTGTGTGTGACCTCGTTTGAGTCCTTGCAGGTTATCATTGGTTCTGTCGCCAACAAATAGTTTGTGGCATTAACTTGATGGAACAATAATTTTTTTTTTTTTTAGATCAGTGATCATGAACAATTTATTTTTATGTGTGAGAAACCTCTTTTTAGTTTTGATTTTATTGATCATTAAATCATGTGTTGATGATGAATTTGAGATGGATAAACAGTGTTGAGAACAATGCAAGTAAAATGAGTGGTACACTACAGTGCTTGTATTGCAGGGCTACGGTTTTCATTTTGATGCAATGCCGCATTTTGTCACACAAACCTGATTTTATGCTTTCTTAGTGTGTAACTGAGCGTATTAGCTGTTGACTGTCATTTTAGCAGTAGAACTAATCACACAAGTTAAAGGATTTTGTATTTGGAGTTTTCTAAATGCACATGAAATGAATTTATATTCAGTAATGATCTGTTCTTTTATTTTCGATAGATATGTGCATGTGTTTTAGAACATTAAATTCTGTTACATTATATCTTGCTTCATATGATACTTTGAAATTGGCCTGAAATAAAGTATATACTTTTGTGGTAATAGTTTTGTGTGTTATTGTGTTTCTTTTCTCTTTTTTTATAAATGAATTGTACATGTCTGTATCTACCCTATAAGCTTGTATTGTGCTCATGGACAGAACGTAAAATGTCTAGTTCTTGTATTTTACATAAAATAAACCTGCATCTTCCCAGTTAGTGCAAATACACCCTTATATGGTGCATGTAGGTTGTTTAAGAAGGGTTGTCGGTCAGTAATACAGTGCAGCCGGAAAGTATTCACAGCGCTTCACTTTTTCCACATTTTGTTATGTTACAGCCTGATTCCAAAATTGATTAAATTCATTATTTTCCTTGGACTTCATAGCTTGGTTTATGCTCTGATATGCACTGTCAACTGTGATACCTTATATAGACAGGTGTGTGCCTTTCTCAATCATGTCCAATCAACCGTATTTAGCACAGGTGGACTCAATCAGGTTGTGGAAACATCTCAAGGATGATCAGTGGAAACAGGATGCACCTGAGCTCAATTTTGAGTGTCATGGCAAAGGCTGTGAATACTTATGTACATGTTATGTTTTCGTTCTTTATTTTTAAGAGATTTGCAAATATTTGCAAAAAACAGTTTTCACTTTGTCATTATGGGGTTGTTGTGTGTAGAATGTTGAGGAAAATAATGAATTTAATCCATTTTGGAATAAGGCTGTAGCATAACAAAAAGTGAAGCGCTGTGAATACTTTCTGGATGCACTGTACCTGTATGCTAGTGAGGAAGTGTACATGTAAACAGAATGATCTGGTGATTCCAGAAGGATATCAGCCAGGAAACTCACTGGAGTTTGTCTTGAGGGGAAAAAAAGTTTTTTCAAGAATCATGCCATACTCATGACACCCATTACATTATGACATTAAAAAAAAAAAAAAAAAACGTATTAGTTATTTTGCATTCCAGTCCCATGCCCTTTTTTACATTTCTTCCAGATGGTATGCAATTACATTTTAGTTCTATATTATTACTTATTTTAACCATACAATTTTTTTTTTACTTGAAAGTAAATCTTAGTAGGATTAGTACAGGATATAATGTGCATTTCTTTTGACATACTACATGACTTCATACGACATACTAAACTATATAACGACTGTTCAGATTAATATACTGGGATTTTTTTGCCTGACATTCTTTGTATATTTAAATATTATATTTTATATATAGTATAGTCGCAGCTACAGGAGCAATGTTGGGTTGTCGTCTTGCCCAAGGACACATCGACATGCGAGTTAGCCAGGCCTGGGATCAAACCGACAACCCTCTGATTGGAGGACGACCGTGCTCCCCACTCACCCACAGTCGCCCAATAAAACAGACAATAAATACAATTCTGATTCTAAAGACATTTCAATTTGTGGAAATTGGTTGAAAAAAAATAATGGTCTTATTAACCAAAACTTTTGTGACCCCCTCCCTGCAGTACCACCGCAGACCCCCTGTTGAGGACCTCTGGCTTACTATACTCTGCCTTTTGTTTTGACAAAATATCCTAAAGATTTATTTTTATTATTTTTGACTTTACTGCTATTCTTTTTTATGACTGTTACGTCCTTTTTGTGCATTTTTTCACCATGCAATGCCATTTTATGACTCTTTTTGACATACAATACTGTGGCTTTTCTATTTTCAACATGGTATACTACATGTGGGCTTGTTTTAAACTCGATTCAGTAACTTCTTAAGTATTTTTCCTTGGATTTTTTATGTTTTGTTTTTTTAGGACATATACAATAAGATTTCACCATATTATCATACTACCATTTTTGTTCTGAAACCCTGAAGAATTACTGTTCTACAACATATATTGACATGCTACTTATTATATATCAATATAAAATACAAAAAAAATGACTTTATAAAACATGTTTATGGCCTTCTATACCAAGATATTGCGACATGTCTTTGGGACTTGTCTTTGATATTCTTAAAAAGTTTTTAAGCATTTTAATGTCTATTTCAAGGTATTTTATGTCTACTTCATTTATATTTTACAGCATACTATACAGGGACTTCAATATATATTTTTTTTATCACGCACTATACGATGACATTTTCTATGACATATAGTGTACTCTCATAAATGTAATTGCTTACCATCAACTAAGATGCAGTGGTTGGTGGGATACTACGCTTCATGGTTATATTGGTTGCCTTCAATAAAGCTATTTCCATTGTCTGGTTGTAAATTGAGAAAAAATATCTGTAAATTGATTTTCGTGACAAAAAATAAATACTAAACAAAATGCATCATTGACCGGTAGTATCGGACCTAACTGCTGGACTAATGGCAACACTGCCACCAACAAGTGTGACTCTAAAGTACGCTCTCTAAATCAAATTTCACGTAATCACTGAAATGTAAAGACTTGTATTCGGATGTGCTATTCGGTGGCAATATAAAGCCATCAGTGCCTTTGTCATGTTGTGTCACCTGCGCGCTCACCTAACTGAGAGGCTTAGTGGCTTGAAGGAAAACCACCGGTGGATACAAAAACACATTTCTTTTTTCTTGTGCTCTCTTTAATATTAAACAAGTTTTTTGGTCATCGTACCTTCTTCAGGTACTCAAGGCCAACAAAACAAAGGCACCCTTAGGTGCACAGCGTTTCCAATTAACCCCCAATACAAAACGTCTGTGTATTCTTGTCTCTTAGCAGACTTGGCCAACTAAAAGGTAGGGCAAGAATACAGCTAGGAGGATGTGATATGCCCTAAACAACAATGTTGGTAAAAACAGTTCTCCTATAAATCCAACAAGCCTGGAAAACCATCATCTCTTACCAAAGTTCCTTCACTCGTCTAAGATCTGTTGGTGTTATTCTCCATTAAAAAATGGGTCTTTACAAGATACATACGGTTGCTAAGTGCAAAGGAACCATCATTGCTGTCTATAGACCAACTAATTAGTATAAAGCATTTGCAAATAATCATTGAAAAACAATTACAGACTAGTTGAAGGGGTCATTCATACGATTGACATTCAAATTCTTAAATAACATTTGAATGGTGACAGTTTTTTGCGGTTGTTTGAACACAAATTTAAAAACTGGGTTTATCGCTACACACAGTTTATACAAACACACAAATAAGTAGCAGAACACATACACTCTTCTTAAAAACTTACTTTATACTGCCATACTCGATTTGAAACATTTTTAGTCAATACTTTTCTAATGTTAGAGTCTGGGATTGAAATTTCACAGATATTGCCAAAGTGAAATGCAACAATATAAACACAGCAAAAAAAGCACAAAGTAGTGAAAGCAGGCTTCCTGCCGCTGTGCAGTTATATACTTTTATTGAACACCTTTAGATGTGGTTTTTAGATTGATGTTGTTTAATCTAGTTGCATATGCCTTTTTCTGGTGTTATTCTTTATGATGGGTTTGTGTCGATTGTGGACTTTCTATTGTCTGTATGACATTTTTATGGTGGCAAATTAATTTCTTTGCTCAAAATTAATAAAGTTATTCAATTCAATTCATAGGTTTCCATCGTTGTTATGTTATGGTATCTTTTTAAAGGTTCGACACCCGGATTGACAAGCAATAAGGTGCTCGGCCAGCGGGAAGATGTTGGCATTTTTGAAATATTAGGGTAGAGAACTACGTTCAGCGTGATGAAAAAGAAGTGCCATGTTATATTACAAATCGTGTGCCAAGCAGAAAACATGTTTAGAGTTTTTGAAGACGACCTGAGGTTCCCCTCACCTGGTGTCAATCTTAATAATTAATAAAAGATGGTGTCATCTTACAGAAAAAAACTAAAACTACAAAAACTGAAAGCGCCTTTTCTGCACAGTAGTTAAAATGTAGATACATATATATTTGTACAATTAGATTCTTGTGGTGATTTTAGCCAGCATTGTTTTTACTCATGTGGTCTAAAATACATGACTAGTAAATAGATTAAAGATATTTTTTGCGCATTACAACATATAGTCAAAGTATGCAGTGTTTAAATAAAAAAAAGAATGCAGAAAATGCACCTACACTTTACATTGTTTAAATATGTCCCCAGAAGAGCACTTTTGATGTATTGATTTATTGAAATTAATTTTATTACATGTATTTTCATGATCATAATGTCACATTACTATCCCAATAATTATTAAATATCACATAAAAAATAATGGTTACATTACTTGAGTTGGAACCAAAAACCACCACAGAGGAAAAAGCTTGAAAAATAAGCACAAAAAAAAAAAAAAAAAACATTTGTTGTGGAAAGATTCTGTGTTTATGGTAGCAAAACTTCTGAAGGTAAATACCATATCATGCTATATAGTGGATGCAGATTAAAAACGAAACTCGGATTATCGACATGACCTTGAAAAGCAACACAGCAATGTTTTCTTTTCACAGTGTGAATTTGGTATTTTATCCTATACAGTAGTACAGCATGAGTATGATGAACAGACCACAAAACAGACTGCAAAGAAAGGACGTTTCTTGGCCAATATACTGTGAATAGAATATGCAGAGTACTACAGAAGGGACACACATTCATTTCACAGTAAATACAATACAAAACAATACACTATAAATGGATAACAAATAATATCAGTTTATAAAATTCCATTTTAACATCATTTACAAATGTTTCTCGTTCCACCTTTCATCAATGACTTGGAGCAGCGGGTTAATCTTTAGCAATCTGTGACGCAAATTCAAGAGTGACTGCCCAGAATCTCATCCAAATTGATATCTTTCATCCAATCATCGTTCCCAGAGCCCGACTTGAGCAGAGAGTCTATGAAGTCGGAGTCCGTGTTGATCCCTGGAACGGTGTTATCGCCCTCCGGGAGAAAGTCAAAGGTCAGTCTGTTGGCTCGGTTATTCTGGTAGCTGCTGGAGCTCGGACTGGGCTCCGCAAAGTGGCCTGCTGGTACCCTCTGTTCAGGAGAGGCCTGGTTCAGGTTCCCCACTGCTGATGGGGATCCCATCATTGGCTGACTAAGTCTTGGGCCGGTGTCCCTTATCAAGGGGTTAAGCGGGAGCATCCCAATGTCTGGCGCTACCTGGTTGGGAGGGCCCACGAACCGCTGTTGGTACGGGAGGTTTGACATGTCCAGCTGCGCACCCGGAGACTGAAGGGGATTGGGTAGCCGCCTAATGCCCAGTCCAGTTGTCACTTGCTTGTTGGCCGAGCCCCAGCCCATGTTGACATTTTTCATCAGGCCTCCCAGACCGTGGCCTGGCAACCCCGAGGAATGCAGGTCAGCTGTTGTTCTTGGGTGTTGTACACCTGCTACGTTGTTCATCCCAAAAGAATTTGCATGCGTGTTTGGACCCAGGAATCTCGCCTTGTTTTGATTTAGCCCAATCCGATTCTGATTGTTATGCTGCTGGACTTGGCCGATACAAGAACTCGGACGGCATTCAGTGCCGATACCGTATCTGCGGTCCGACGGAGTAATCTTTGAACCAGACCCACTCGGAAGGTGACAGGACATGGACTGGATGTCATTCTCGGTGCCATTGCTGGAGGACTGGGAGGGATTTTGACCTATAGAGATATCAAGAAGTAAAAAGTCATACGTCTCCCGTCAGCATGTACATTTTTGCATTCAGCATTTTCGTCTAATCAGAACGTCACGGTACCTGTGAAGATGTTTCCCTGCTGAGCTCCCACCATCCCTCTGGACTGCTTGTAATCAGGCGGCGGTCTTGTGAGATGACGATTGAACTGATCGTGTACATTGTCTTTGTCCTTGAAAGGGAAGACAAAGTCGTGAGTACAAATGACGTGACAAATAAACTTGAGCAAAGGCCGAGCTGCTTATTACTTGGGAAAACTGTATGATATTTGCGCATTTTCTTACTGAATTGCTAATGCTGTGCTGCTGTTGATTGAGCGGTCTCTGCATGGCCTGGCTTTTGACCGCGCCCTTTTGCTGGTTGTTGGGAACTGGGACCCGTGGCTGCGACTGGGTTGACATGCCTAAGTTTCCATTGGTTGGAAGCCTCGGACCAGGAGCAACGCCCTTAAAAGAAGAGACACGTGATGGTTTAACGTTTTGTACCTTTTCGTTTTTTTCAATACGCCTCTGCGTCTTCTCCGCTGACTACCTGTCAAGTGCCATGAAAGCAGTTTTGTAAAAAACACAAAACCCCACAAATGCAATACCACGACTGGACCACTAGAGAGCACAGCGCTACAAGTCATCCTAGATCTGGGTCAAAGATGCTATTCAACCTCCAGAATGTGGTCAAGGCTACTCCCTCTGCAGATGAAAAACTGGGACTTGGAGAGAGGCTTTTTTTTTTTTTTAAGGGGGGAGCGCAAGCTCTCCTCAAGGCCTGCTTCTCCCTTGATAATTGTGTCTAAAGAGAGTGGAAAGAATCCCTGAGACAGCAGGAAGTGTGTGCCAATGGAGAGTTAAGCGCCAGCACCATGACTACCTCCATTTAATAGGCTCTCCTTTACTGATCACTGTGTTGGGTTTGGCACGGAGGCATTCCATCCCCCCCGAAACCCATTTGGCTCCTGACACTATCACATGGACAAAAACGTTGTAGCCGGCAGCACTCAAATGAAATTTAGTTAGCCAAACCGGCTTTTTGTTTAGTCCCGAATGGACACTTTGTACACTTTCCCGATCAAATGCATATTTCTCTCCGTTATTTTCAGGCAGAGTAAAACCTTTGTTATGGACGCAAGGACACTCACTATGCTCAAGCTTAGACCAAGTGCAAGCATTTGTCATGAAAGAGGGTTAATGTGCACCAAATGCGAGTCAACACACACACTGTGTATACAATGTTAGTCCTTGTGTTGACTTAAAATGTTTCCCAGGGTGAAATGGATTAGAAATCCAACAGTGGATTTAGCAGAAACTATTACTTAGAAGACAGATTCTTTTCGGAGGATGAATCCCTACAGGGTGGTGACGTTGGGGTCCTAGAGAAAGAAAAAAAAAAAGAAGCAAGTGTGTGTGTGTGTGAGAATGATAATGAATGGGGCTGAAATTTGGAGAACTAACGAGACGAGGTCAGAGAATGAGGGAAGTTGAAGCTCCACGTCACAAGACATTTCACATGAGCTAATTTACACCTTTTAGCAGAGCAACCCACTCGACCAAGCAAGCAGGGCACTGAGCCTACAAAAGGTCTAAAAACATCAAAACGGCGGTTTCTCCTGTTACGCCGGTAAGCCGCCACTGATTTTGATTCAAAAACCCAACGAGGGGTGTTTGAACACGTACAACTGAGTAATCCTCTCTGTCATCCCGATGTGTCACGAAGCTGTTTTCCATGTCGTCGTCCCCCCCCCCCCCAGTCTCATTCTTTACAAGCTTGTTGTTAACGAACACCACATGTGGCTGCGGCCTCAGAGAAGGAGCCGAGTGATTTAGTCTCCCATCCTGCGGCGGCGCAGGCAGCTGACAGCGATCGGGCCCCAGCTTTGCCGGCTCTCACACTGCACTTCCTCCAGTCTGCACTCGGGATGCTGTCCCCCGGGGAGCACCTCGGCATCTGGACTTGGCCGCGCCTCCCTTTCCCAGGAAACAAGCACTCCCTTCACAGCGCTGCCAGAGTGACCTGGCAGGCTCGACCCCAGCGGCCTTACTCTTGTCCCCGCCGAGGGACGCCGTGCCACGAGATCACCAACAAAAAGCTGAAGTGAATTATTTGGTGGCAGCAAAACCGGTCTTGAAAGGAATACTTCATTTACACAATTACCATTGGTTTATAAATTATTCAACCCAAGGCTTGATGAAATAAATGAGAGACTACGGCTAAACAACCCCAATTTTTTCCAAAGTTCTCACTCAGCTTGTGCAGTATAATCCGTCTCGTTCGCTCATTACTTCTCAAGCATCCGCCTCTTTTGCTGAAACCGTACTATTCAGTAACACATTGCATGAAAGAGTCTCAAACTTGTGCGAAGTGTTTTGAGTCGGAAGGTGTTTTTTATGACGGTTTAACTTTCCCTTTTTTTTTTTCGTTCTCTGTTTAGAGATATTTGAAGAAAAAAAAAACTTGTTTCTTTAAGGGTTTATGGGAACACGGGGTGATTAACTCATGTACAAATAGTAATTTTGTAGTTGGGGTTCTACGTTATTTCTGAAGAAAGCAAAGTACAAGCTTGTATGTAGTATTTACATGTGAACCCATATTAGCTGGAGCTAAATCACTAGGATGATGAAATATCCCACGTATCTGCCTTCACTCCATCCAACAGGTCTGTGCTGAGCAGAAGTACAAGTCACTCTGGATAAAACTGTCTGCTAAATGCTGTAAATGTCAATTAGAAGTTAAATGTAGGACTCGTTCAAGCGCTCAATTATTAAAGTAAAAAGCTTTAAGGACATGTATAAATCTATAAAAGCCCACTTAGTACTTTGAGTTAAACTCTTTTCACCTGTATGGGCCACAATTATTGCATTTAGTTTAAAGAAAACTCGATACAGATATTTAAAAAATGGGGCAGAAACCAGTCACCATTCTGCAATTGCAAAAATAGAAATCAATTTTACATCAGCCATAATAAATAACAAAGAGCCTGTACTAACAGTCACTAGAGCAGGACTTTCTTTCATTCCATTATTTATACTGGCATGAACACAACCTCAGCCTAAACACACAACGCAGCTACAATACTGATGGCACTAGCTAAATGTTGTCCTTGGAATGGCATTGCCAGCCAAACCACAGCAACTCAGGTTTCACGATGCATTAGTGTCCTCGACCGTAAGCTGCCAGAGAATGTATTCATCCCTTTTCTTGTGGGCGTGTGTGTGTGGTGTGTGTGTGTGTGACCTCACAGCTCGGGAGTTGCAGAGTGGTGGATTTGAATTTTGACGCGTTGGACTCCGCAGCCGATTATTGAACTGTAAAAAGCCTCAATCGAGCACCAAAGCTCACGTCTCTGTCTGCGTAAAGAAGGTCCTGGGCTCCGCTCAGTGGGAGGAGGCCCGCTCCTGCTCGCTGGTGTTTCACAGGGGATCAAGGGACTCTTTCAGGACCTTTATTCCTCCGGCATTACCAATTCAATTCACTGTGGGAAGAGACTCCGCTCCCTTTCTCCTCTGCGAGTTGTCCCCTCCTTATTAGACGTTTAACCCTGTCCATGCTGACTGCAAAAGCCACCGAGGAGGCTCCACAATCATAAGGCTGCCATCGTCTTTGCACATGTCGTTTGTTCAAATGCACATTTAGCGTCCTTGGGAAAGTTGTCTCACAGAGCCTGAACTCGAGCACAATTACATGTCCTCAGTATTTTAAAGACCGAAGTGAATGGACTTTCGCTTCCAGTAGCTCCGGGCTATGGTAAAACAAAAGTCATTAAAGCCTTTTTTCAGTATTTGACTTTGAGCCTCATCTTCTTTCTCAAAACCTTTAGTTCACGTAATGTTTTTTGCTGCTTCGATTTATGTACTAAATGAATGTTTAGAACCACAAAAATGTTATTACAGATCGTTACTAAGGTTGACTGTAGAACTGATAATAATGCTAATTCAAAAACAACATAGAACTTTTAACAACAAACACATGTTATGTGTTGTAAGTTTACAGAAAATAATCAAATTTGCAAGATTTAGTATATTTTTTCTCCCCAATTCATTAAAAAAAAGGTAATAATGAGTGAGCGTTAAGTCAACATCTACAGCATTACATTCAGGTTAAAAATGTCTGGCGCAGTGTCTTTGTTAAACTGGTTCCATTTAACCCACATGTGAGGATGTTTTTTTCCATCCTACCCTGTTTACTTCCATTTCACGAGTGACTCCCCCCCCCACCACCCCTTCCTCCCCTCCCCCCTCCCAGTCACTCAAGCATCTCCCGTGATCTGTAGAGGTTATGAGAGCGCTCTTGTGCAGCTCGCATTATCATTTCACACAAAGACAGCCACAGATACTGTTCGAGCCAAAATGAAAGAGAGGGACGGTCTAAATCTCCCCAATCATAACAAATCAGTGATTCAACCTCCGGCACCGAGCTAAGCAGATTACTGTCATTTTCCACCACTTGTCCCTTGTAGCCAACAACCTCCAATTAGCAAATCCCGCTGTGCATATCTGCGGCCTGCCAGGGAGCCACCGTGACAAGCGGAGAAATTAGAAGTCCTGCATGTTAATCTACCGTGCTCTGGCAATCTGTGTCATCGTCAAAACACTTTAAGGCGAAATACATATTCAAGAGAGTCACAACAGCAAAGGCACAGTCAAGCAGCTGGAACAATGGTAATAAGCCACAAAACAAACAGCATTGCCGCTGTCGCCGACAGTAGGGTTGAGCTGGCGGGAATAAATGGATGAGGTCAACAACGCCGGTCACTTCATTTGAAAAAATATTATATTACCTTAGATTTTGAATGACTGGCTTGTTTATTTTCCAAAAAATGTGCATTGAGTGAAAATTGTCCATTTAAGTTAAGGGATTTGGGACACTATATATAGATTACGGTTATTGCTTTAGGGTAAACTAATGCCTCATCTCATTTTTAAAAGATCAGACATTTGCCAATTCCAAATTCAAAGCAAACATATTTCATCACGGATTAAGTTTGTTTTTTAAAGTTATTACAAGTATGTCTCTAATCTCGCGAACATCTGTAGGGAGGTGGTTAGGTGGGTAAAACGTATACAGGATTTCATTTATTCTTTTTTCATTTATCCTTAATCCATAACAGAAATAACACTTATTTTACAAAAACATTTTTTACAACCTAATAAAGTGTTTTTGCTTCCAAAACATAAACAAGTAGTTCTGTTTCATTTTACCACGTGTTAAAAAAAAAAAAAAGAATTCCCTCGCACATAATTGGGGATGTGGTCAAGTTGTATCGGAACATAATTTTGTAGAAGACCGGTTTGCCCATGAAATTAGATAAAAGTTAGCGTTCAGTGTTTATAGTATACTTGGTTCCCAGGCTCCTTTGCAAAGTAAAAATAAAAAAAAGATTACTTTTTGATAAGATCTGCTTAGCCGTCAGCCTGAGCGGGAGGCCGCTTTGTTCCTCAAACACTTGGGAGATAAAAAGGTGTAAGAGCAATCTTGTGCAGTGGGTTCGACAGTGCTTACCTGACGCTGCTGGGACAGTTTGAACGGCAGCCCGGCGGGACCCGGCTTGGGTTGCAGGCAAAGAGCCCCCGATGTGGACATCTGTTGGTTCTGGAAGTGGAGAGCTGGATGTGGCTGATTCTGGCCGCTCGACGGCGACTGCTGCTGCTGCTGCTGCTGCTGGGGTGACGTCTTCACCGAGCTCGCCATGACAGGCATCGGCTGGCTGGCAGGGTGGGGTGCTTTGGGGCTGAAGTGCAGCGTGGGCTTGGTGCTGAGACCCTTCATGTCCAAGTGATGGGGGCCATTTGACTTGAAGAGGCAATTGTTGATCCCTTTACCTTGAGAGGCGATCCTTTGCTGGCCAAGCGCTGCCGGGGTGGAAGCCTTGTCCTGGGGGAAGGCGCTGTTTGAGGAGTGGGTGCTCATGGCGGGAGCCCAGTTGGTCAATCCTGCAGGTGGTGTCTGGTGGTGGTGGAGGTGGTGGTGATGAAGCAGAGAGCTCGGCTGCTGCTGGTTTGCCGCCATCTGCTTCAGCTGCTCCGCGTGGGATATTTCTGGCCAGCAGGGCAGGGCCCTGGGGTGGCCTGCCTGCGAGGCGGCTTTCTGCGACGTGGTGGTAGAAGAGGTGCTGGTCAGCGTGAAAGAAGGTCCCGCCGAGGCCGGTCGAAGCTGTGGCGAGCCGCCATGAACGTGGCCAAAATCTGGCGAGTGCTCCATCTTTATCGGCTTATCCATGGGGGAACAGAGACTCGCAGCTGCTCCCGCTGAGCTTGGCCGACCTAGATCCAGACCGAATGCATCATCCTGCTTTAGCATCTTCTCGAACTCCAGGTCATTCAGGGTGGGCACGGTCTTTGTCAGCTCATCAAAGAGATCCTGGAGGTCCGGGTCGATCTGACCGCCGCCTTCGTCCTTGAAGTCAAAAATCATCTCTGCATTTGACTGGCCACAAGACTGCACCTCAATGGGCTCTTTTTTCATTTCTTTCAGGGTCATGTTGAATATGTCTGAGCCCACACCGTGGGGCATCATGTAATTCTTCCTCTGCATGCCCATGGATGAGGAGCCCTGCAGAGAATGAGACTGGGCTAAGTTGTGGTTGCAAGCCCCATGTCCCAGAGCACCGGCATCCACACGTGCCCGCTTAAACTCCGATCCGGAAAAACCACAGGAGAGCCCGTTCTGCTTCGGTGCGTGCGCCTCAATCTTCCTTCGCAGAGACCCTTGAAGCTGCAACACACAACAGGATAGAGGTTTTATTTTTTTTAAAAGCAATGAAGAAAATTCCTGGTACCGTCACCTCAGCCTTGTTTATAACCTAAACGCTCATTATTAAAACAGGTCAAGTGGTTGTTTTTTTAACGCCGCCATGGCAGTAAAGCAGTCTGAGTAACCCAGAGAAAAGGTCAATTACTATAACTACACAATTTGACAGCCAATGTTCAGCTTGGGAAATTTAGGAAGATCACATTTATTAACAGACAGTTTTTCTAATTTCAGTAGAATAACATCTCACATAAAGTAGATACATTAGGATAAAAAATACATTTCATTCAGTCAACGAGGCAAAATGCTTTTATATAATGTAGTGGCAGCGGAATCTGATACAGTTGACAGACTGCAGAGAGAAGAACGGGGTCTTTGTTTCCCTCATTTGCATAATATGCATTATATTTTCTTCCATTGTGCTTCCTTAGATAGTTACTCCTTTGTGGCTGAGATTCTGCTTAACATGCTGGTGCAGATATCTGCCTTCCTTTTGTCCAATCCCCATGTCTCTATTTGAGGTAATAAGCACGAACCGTGTAGCCATGACTCACAACTCAAACCACACAGTAACGTCTCCATAAAACTGCAGCACTAAAAACCCTCACAAAAGTGTGAGAAAATATTGTAAAAACACATTTATTTTCAGGGAATAGTTAAGAACGTAATTATTTTTTCTTCAATAACACTAATTCCTGGAGGAAGATTTTATACGTGTGTACACATAAAAAACGCCCGTCTCCTCATGGAGGTTCCAGCATGGAAACAAACCGGCTCGGGTTGTTCATCAACCTGAACACAGGAGGGAAGAGAGTTGCATATTTCACCGTGGGAGCAAATTTGAGTCTTCTCCACCTGCTGGCGCACATTGCATTAAGATGATTCATAGCCTAAAGGGTTGGGAGTGAATACTGCAGTTTCACTACATATCAGCTCTGTTTTCACAATGCTTCAATTGTACATCTTAGCGGTTAAATCAAAGCACAAATTGTGACTCGCAGAGTCTCCTTTATCAAAGCCAATTAGCGTTTGAAAGACATTAAATGGATTCTGCCATTCAGAGGCTCGGGCCAGTGGCTTTGCTGCTCTGTTATGCTTCAGAAAATGTTCTGTACCAACGTCAAGTATGATCGCAAATAAACTGGCTGAAGTAACCATTGAGTTTCTACAAGTAAAGTGGCAAAATAGGCAGATTCCAATTTGATTGCTACCTAATCAGAGTTATGTTGTGTGAGAAAGGCCCACACGAAAAGACTGCAGTTGTTACTGATGTTCTGTGTGTCTCTGGGGCGCCGCTGCAGAATCTATTGTCCTTCAGCATCCCCGTAACACACTTGGAAGGAAAAGAACTAAACAGCGCTACTTCAGCTGTGTAATATTTGGAGCGCATTGTCACTCACACACCGCTTGGTTCACGTCATTGACAGCAAAAATCAAAACCCCAAATATCCACCTAGGTTTGACAATGTAGATTAGTACATTATTTTGTACATGAATGCAGCGGTGTTCAGATGGAGAGAAGATGGCCGAGAAAAGCATCATCATCTTCCCTTGACCCCGCGACGTTCTCCGCAGAGGTCAAGGACTAGTGGTTAGGAACAGACGTTAGGAGGTCATTTTTTTGACAATCCGAATCCAGCCAGGATCTTTTTGCACGCGATGCATCCTGGTAGATGTAGTCTCATCTGTCACGGCTCCATAGCAGGAGAGATCCAGGTGCTTTTCCAGGCATATAACACGCACCGGGGAATTCATTTCTTTAGTGGACCACATTTACCATCAGCACTGATTGGACAGCCACCTAAAAAAGGTGGCATATTTTCACTTTAAAAATGGCGTGAGACACGTAACAACAACAAGTGTCGACGCATCATCCCGTTCAGGTCATGGCGAAAAGAGGGATGGGGGGGAACTTTATGTTTCAAAGCTGATATGCCTGATGTATAAATCATGTATAAACTCTGTAGTCAAGCAATCATCAAAGATGCAGGTTGTAAAAAGATCCTCATTGATTTAGTCATTTCTTTGCATTAAATGTTCTATTTTTACATTCAACTTTCAAAAAAAATGTGCATCTGTATTACAGCATGGCAGCTACTAAATTTGAACAAACTACTGGTGACAAATAGATTAATGTATTACGTAACTAACGGTAATGCGTTCTGAAATAATGCAATGAACCAAAACAATACAGGAAGTAAATTAACCATCATTGTAAAATGCACAATATGTGCACTTCATAGTAAAAAGAAAGTGAAGTGTAATTTAGCCTTTGCTTATGTCACCTTTTTATGGATGTATTTAAATAACATGAGGCTTCCGTGTATCAAAAATTTAACACGAAAAATGCTTGCAAAAGAAAAGAGACTTTCATTTGAAAGATATACTTTGCCACAAAAGCTAACCTCAGTAAAAAAGTTCCTAGGAGAGACTAGAGGGAGAGAAATCTTCTTGGATGACGTAATTACTGGCTGCATGATGCAAAGTTAATACAGAGACCATTTTAACTTGGAGATTTTCCATCAGTTCATCCACAGTAGGTCTCATTCACGAGCTCACTTCTGCCATCCTCACTGAAATCCAGACTATTAAACATTGTGTCTCTATAGACTATTGGACATCTGTTTTTTTGCCGAATGCAGATGAAAACAGGCCCTCTGGTGTGTGCGGCTCATGCACACTTTCTCTCGTTCCAGAGGGCTCTTTCTGCAGAAGACAGGGAGCGGTACTCCTCATGGTTCAAGGCGCTGTCTGAGAAAACACATCATGAATAATGGAAAGGAAGGTAGATGCGATGCAAAAAAGCCATTGTGGGACGGCCTGGGTTGCCTCGCTCCTGCACATGTGCCATTTAAACATGGACTCCAGTCAAGAGCGGTTTTATTTGATCAAACTCAACAACAAAGCTGCTCAAGGAGTGCAGTCGAGTTTCTGTCAAAGGTTGCATAACTGTCAGGACAGTGTCCTTCTTTTGGGGGAAGAAAAAAAAAAGAAAAGAAAAAAAGCATAGATATACAAATCTCAACTCAACACACTTTCACTTTCAACAAAGGAAAGGCGCATCCTGTTCACGGAGCACTGAGAAGCAGTGGCCTCCTGGCTGGCCTGGAATCCTCATGACAGATCTCCATGCGATCTGAAAATAGATTTTTTGATTAACATTTAATGAGCTTAGAAGCTCTGAATCACTTTGAAAGGGACTCCTGCTGCATGAAGGACCTAAACATATGTGATGTATAGCGACCAGCTTAGAGATGAATGAATAACTGCTTACCCACAGTGTCTTATGTTCGCCACTGTCAACATCTGGATTAGTGTTCATTGAAGGATTTCATCTGGAGGCCAACAACTGAATGTGCTTTTGTAGACTTCTCACAGTTCCAATGAATAGAAAACACAACACACAACCTGTTTTTAAAGCTTGTGACTGTCGGTGGAACCCATCCAAACTACAGCTTTTAAATTGTAATTTCCCAGAACATACATTTTAGCGATTCCAAAATGGATATAATTTGTGAGCATGACATTTCCAATGCTTCTTATCGATGCCCTTTGACCGTAGCAGTGTGGAACCGGCCCGTGGCCACGTCGGAGGAGGCTATCTATTGCTGGGCGCTGGAGGGCTGTCAAGCTGAGCGGTGTGGTGATGCTGAGCGCTGTGGATGGGGCTCCGGGTGAGCCGTGGCCTCCCCGGTGCCATCTGTCAGTCCGGCGCCGCCGCCGCCGCCCTCAAGGTTTGCGAGCGTTCGAAGGGGTTTTGTGTTTGAACACGAGACCGTGGCTCAACAAAAGATCGAGCCCGCCAGCCTTTAATCTATTCACAAGAGCCCCGGACATGTTGCAATCCGCTCCTGTGAGAGTTGGAAACCTCCCTCTCTGCATTTGACATGGAAAAAACAGTCCCAAAATAAAAGGAATAAATATGACTATTGTGTTCCTAAGGAGACATAATATTTATGCGCTTCCGCAGGTTGCATACTGTTGCGAGAGGGGGATTTCAGCTTGTTTATTGCCAGATATGAAACAAGAGCCCTCAGACCAGTGCCAATGTCATACACAATTCAGCTATCTGCTTGCAGAGTGCTGAGAAAGTGTGCAGCGCTCGGTTTAATTATAGGGTTTACTAGCTGCCTAAAGCTGTAAGCCATTATATCATATCCAGAGAAATTGAATTAAACATCCTGGATAGCTTGGAAATGTTTAATTATTTAAAATGAAAGTAAGGAAGCTGAGGCTGTAGCGATATAGCATGTATTCACAAGGCAAGTTTCAGTGAAATCAGGTCAGGGCGGGCTGCTGTGCCTTTCCTGTAACCAGTTCTCTACCAAGTCATGGCTTGTTTTGTTTTTTTATTCAGCACATTTCAGGTAACCACAAGGTGTGCACAATGTATTTGAAACCATGACCACAATAAGAAAAAGTTACATAATTAGGATGATGCCGAGAGGAGAGAATACTGTTAAAGAAATTTGCTAAATTGTAGTTGCAATTTAGCAAATTCCTTTTCCTGTAAGCCTCACAAAGCCTTTATTTAAAAGAGTACACGCCAAGACCGCCGCCATTATCAAAAGTGATTCAGAAATTTGGGACCGCCTCAAATTGAAAATATTATTTTTATAATCCTGATGACAAACCTACAAAAAAATATTGACGTACATACATATAATGTATGACTTATATGACGAAAAATATACTGAAGCCGGGTTTACACTGTTGCAGCGAGCGGACACTTTGACGGGTAGTTTTACTTTATTTAAAATACCAGTCTGTTTTAGTAATGATACTCATTAATAATTATTTAATTGTTGTTTTTCTCATTATTTTTTTTCCAAACAACCCTTTGAATCCTATTCCAATAACGAAATAGACCTATTTAATCTGTTCAGATCAGGCAAGGGCCATAAGGTTGCAGAGGGATGTGCGTTTAGGTTCACGCTGCACTTTCCTAATCAGGCTGCCGTGTG